TTAAGTAAACAAAATGGATAAACGCTTGTGAATGCAAAGAAAGTAAATGTTGGGAGAGTGGTTATTAACATACATGTTTTGAGCCAGGATGCCTTTTCCAGTTCTGGATTAGTTAAATTTTGTTTCCTAAAAGCCTTTCTTTCTTTATATATATTTCTTCGTGATAGTGGAAGACTGGGCAGACCAATGTCGATCTTTGCCTCTTTATCTAAGATTTAAAAGAAAAGAGATTATGCAAAATAAATCTTGTAGCTTTCTATACAATATACTGATGGACAACCCATAACTACTTGAAAAATTGGGCAGAGTCAATGTCTTGTTTAAATAACAGGCCTTAAAGATGAAAATAACCACTTATTTTCTATCTTAGAATATGTAGAAAGTGCCTGTTGTAGACTTTAAATCTCTGATGTATAGAACTCTTAAGGTTGCAGAATTCATTACAAGTTAAAGGGGGAAACAAATCAGTGCATTTTTCTAATAGATGCCTTGCTTTTTGAACAGAAACAATTGTTCTGTTTCATTTTCAAGATATAATTACAAAAGCCAAATCATTAACTTTATTTTGTTTATACTTTCCTGTTCACTTTCTCAACAGAATTGAATATTACAATCCAATTCATTGTATGCTTATTCAAAAATATATTCTATCATGGTCAATAAAATGTATAAGTATACAAAATGCATTGGGAAAAATATTAAACTATTTGATCAAAGCTACTGGAAGGGGGAAAAAAACTGAACTGGGATTTTGTGCCCTTCGATGGTCAATACCTTCCTCTGGAGTGATGTATTTCTTATATGTTCGCCACCAAGGAGTTTTTTTATTTTCTTTTTCTGCTACCTTGAAATAGCGAGTGAAAACACGATATTTTTCCAGTGCTTCCAAATTACTAACATCAATGTCTTCATTAGGCATTGGTCCCAGAGGTACACCCAGTTTGCAGAGGACAGCTAAAACAAAAACATAAAACAAAATAATTTGTATTTGTGTAACAAATTATCCTGTTGGATCAAAAACACAGTAGGCTAGATCTTCATTTGGGCTTCTCCTATTCAAATGTAACCATCCCACAATGGACATAGGAGCAAAATGAAGAAAAAAGACTGCAAAAACAGATAATTATATTAAAATGTACATTTAATTTACATGTTTAAATTGTTAGACTTAAACACAGTATGAAAAAAGGTGAAAGAATCAAACACTGAATCATGACATTTATTTCTACATTTATCTGTGAACTATATGAAATAAATAGCATAATATAGCACCAAAACATACCATCAATTTTTCTGTCTCTCCATCTGCAAAAGTATAAAATCTATTTCCAAGATGATTTTTAAAAACAGAGTAGTTAGTAACTGTACTCTTCTTCTAAAATGAAGATACCTTTATATCTGTATCTACATTTAGTTTATTGGAAATATAGATACACAATGAGTGATCACAGAATGCCTAATTTTAACCATTAAAACAATGTATTTTAGCTGCAATCAAAATCAATATAATGTTTATATACATAAAAAGGCACCAATACTACTAGCCACTTTTAATAATCTGTTTTATGTTAGTTTCCAAATACTGCAGTTATTAATGGCATAAGTAAACACGAATAACTACTGTTCCCTTCAACCTGGGACCAGTCCTTTGTGGGCATTTTTGATAAGCATTTTACAGAATGAAAAAACGATATATCCATAACCAACCTCTTCATACAAGTTGAGAGCACTGTCCTCATTTCAAAAGTGATTTTAAAGAAATGCTTTGGCCCTCATGCATCCAAGACCTTTCTTGCCTTTATTAAAATGACTGCATTTTAAAAAATGCTTTACGGATCCACCTTTCATAGCAAATTACAGACAGCTTTAAGGATCCTCCTTTCAGAGCAAATTTCTTGCACAGAAGCTTTAAAAAAAATCAACAAATTAACAGCAGAGATGTGCACCACTGGTGCAAGGTTTAAACCACATCTATCAAAATATTTTCAGTCTCGGTAATCTATTATTGTATGATTGTTTGGGTATCTGCAGTTCAGAGAGTGTAAACCTAGCAGAACCTTACAAGTTAAGATGCATACTATGCTTGCAGAAAAACCTAAATCCATCCAACTCTAAGTGAAAAGACCACCATTCCTGGAATATTTCAACAAAGCCTATAAAGGTGATATCAACATTCCAGACACAGGGATGCCCTGGAATATAAGAGCTGAAGAAGCTTCTTGGATGAGAAGCGAAACGTCTTCAAAGAAAAACAAGAAAGTCCAGTTGCCTCTTGAAAAAGCATCTTTGGGACAACCATGACCTGCATGACTCAGAATCTCCATCGACATTGGAATATAATGGAACAAAATTTAACAGGAGGAATGGTCAGAGGTGGACTTCTAAAGCGGGGAAGCCCGTTTCATGAAGCGCTGAAAGATCACCGGGAAAAAAATGCCCCAATTTTCTCTCCCATTCTAGCATCACCCACCAGTAGTACTAAAGCCTCTGCTATTCCGGAATCCGCGCAGGGCGACGTTTAGAACGGGCGCCGCCATTTTTGTAGGATCTTAGGTTCCCTCTCTTGGAAAGGGTCCCTCAGGGCGCTATTGGCGCATATGAGTGACGTCACGCCGAAGTTGTTCCCCGAGTGCCTGCAAAGGTTTTTTTTAAAAAAATATTTTAATTCTTTTAATAATTCTTCTAAGCGTCCGCTTCATCTGTCGATTCGTAAAATCGTATGCTATAACAAGCAGTGTGTTTCTTTGAAATTAGCTGACTTTCCACTGAGGCTACAGTACAGTAAATGTACTTAATTAAAATGTACTTAGTTAAAATGTATTTAATTAAAATGAGGATTGCCAGTCAGGAGCAAAATGTATAAACACACAGAAAACTCCCTGTAATAATTAGTTTTATTCTTTTAGAATTTTCATATGACAACAACTTTGCTACTTTGTTGGAGTGGTAAGGATCACTTTACAGTATAAATTTTACAATTATAAATTAAGGAACAAGTCAAGCTGATGCCATTGGCGGTGTTAAACAAGATAGTTAAATATCCAGGGCCTTCTTTCATTGTGATTTAACTTCTAAGCTCAAGTCTAGTTTTTTTTTAAAAAAATACCTGCTTACTGAAGGTAATTCAGCAGATCTGAAATAAGAACGGTGGGAAACTGATCCTTAATGGTCATACAGTTAAGGGGTCTAACCAGGAGCAGGTCTCAAAATAATTTTTTTTTTCTGAGACAAAAAAAAAAGTGATTTGGGCACTTGCTATGATATGATTTACAGTTCCAGTTAGCATCTGATTCAAAGGTGCAAGCCTTAGCTAGGTGTCCTGAGGCTTTACAGCAGAAACAAACCAAGGTCTCCTCCGTTTCTTTGGTGCAGACAGGGATCTCTTTTTCTATTTGCATGGTTCTCCAATCTTGATGTCCAAGCAGACCATAATAAGGTAGGATAGGGGAGAAAAAAAGTGGAAAATTTTCCCCCTTATTTCCCCCACAATCACCCACTGGTTGATGCACATTATAAGTTCTTTCATGTCTCAATAATTGAAACAGGTTCGAGCAAGATCATTCCATCCCACATTTCTGGCATATAATTAAAAATACCACACAGATTCACGATGTCAGTCCTGCTTCAGTTTATGCATCTCTTCATTTGCTATTGCTATTGCTCTCCTGATCAGATTGTGAGATGCAGCTCAATCTTTGCATGAAGTTCTGGTAATTATCCAGCAAAGTATCACGGCCTTCAATGAGGGACACAGCCAGAGGTGGTATTCAGCAGGTACTGACCAATTCTGAAGAACTCATAGCGGAAATTTTGAGTAGTTCGGAGAACCAGTAAATACCACCTCTGACTGGCCCCGCCCCCATCTATTCTCTGCCTCCGGAGCCCCAGCTGATCAGGAGGAAATGGGGATTTTGCAGTAACCTTTCCCTGGAGTGGGGAGGGAATGGAGATTTTACAGTACCAAGCCACGCCCACAGAACTGGTAGTAAAAAAAATTGAATCCCATTACTGGCACACAGCTCTTTATTTCAGGAGACTCGGAACAAAGGTCACCCTAGTGATCTGTAGGAAGTTCTGCTGGTTGATCTTCCATAAACAATTCTTTCTGGGCTTTTCAGCTTCAGCAAACTCCCATAAGAGTGACGAAATATTGGTTGGGCTGGACTGCTTTTGACTGAAGTAAGCATTGTCACAATTATCATGCCAATTGAACCATGGCATATTTCAGAGTGATTTGTATATCCACTTATTAATGTAATAGTGTTTGGTGCTGAGTTTGGTTGTTTTCTTGCAGAAGTAACAAGGTAACATCATCAGTGCTAGTCAAAATGGGCAATGAAACATTTGTAAGAAAAAAACCAAGCTCAGAAAGCACCAAGGACCCCTCATTTTAACATTGAGGTACAAATATTTTCCTTTATTGGTTGTAATAGTGTTTCAGCAAGTTGTTCTTCAGATAAAGGGGTGCCCTGACACAATCCAAGACAAAGTTTGATGTTTTTCTGAATGTGTGTGGAAGCTTTGAAAATTGATATCAACTCCTCAAAATAGGCTAGGTGAGGAAACAGACATCACAAAGACTGTTAGGATTCTATTGTTGTAGAGTATAACAGAACGTCAAAAGCTTGCGTTTCCCACTACTTTGACTAATAGTAAAGAGAATCAAGGCAGAGTTATCCAGCAGTTCTTTCCGAGTCTCTCTTCTTCCTAGGGCTAAATATTCATTCCTCCTTCACGGTTAAACTCCATAATCTCTACACTCTGGATTGCCTACTCCAACTTGAATCAGCTTGACCTGTTAGATCATGTATGAAGGAAATCCTTGTAGTCTCATGATTCTGGGATAGAAGGGGAACTGAAACTAGGATAAACTGCTTCTCAGCAGTAGTAGTATTTTGGAACAATCTCAATGTCTTATATTATGTGAGCTGCTGAAAGGCATCAGATTGTGGCAGGATATATGTGCAATAAATAAATTAAATTATTACAAGAGACAAAGGTGATGTGAAAATATATTGGGGATATACAAAGACAGACCACTGTTCTGAAGGACCATTCTTCAAAGCCAGCTAATAGGCAAAGAGTTTCAGCAAAACACGAAACTGTTGATCTGCCAACAGTAGTGTAAGGAAACATTTAAAAATATTTATTTTACAAAATATAGCTTCTGCCTAAATTGAATTTGGCAGTTATTTATGTGCTTGATTTCATGTTAACCATTCAAAGTGATAACATCATTTTTTTTTTTATTTGGAGGAAATGTGAATCTTGGCACAGCTATCTTTAGGACTGATCCTCTCTCATGCTGATTGGAAGGAAGTCTTATAGGAAGTTCTCTTCAAGGTTTCTAAAAAGAACTGCTCTTCTTCCAAGAAGTCATGATCCTATTAGAAAAAACAAAAACAGAATGAAAATGGTGAAACGGCTCAAAAGTGAACCAAAAACATATAAGCTTCATGACCACGTATCAGAATTTCACTGTCCTTCCCATTTCCATAACTTGGTGTTTCATGCAAATTTTGAATTCAACTGAGCTCTTTTTCAGATAATAATTTTACCTGAAAGACAGTGAAATAAAATTAGATGAAATTAATGCTAAATAGAATAGTATTGTTACATGACTGCAAGATGGGTTTTCATATAAATTTAAAAAATAAAATAAAAACAGCTGTAAATTATAACCTCAGGACAGATGTTAATGTTCTCAATTCATAGTAGACCAAAAGCTGGACAATGTAATCTTACTCGTTCAGCTGTAATTTTATGCAACACCAATTTGGCACATAAATCTGCTGTATCTGGTCTTGGAAGTCCTTGAGAAGCTCCGGTGTTTCCAGGGTTGACTTTAGGTGGAACAGTAACTGGAAGAGGCAAAACTGGGAAGAAAAACAAGTTAGATATGGTATATAGTCATCTGTGTCATCTACACAGATACTTGTATAGATCAAAGAGGCAATGGAACAATGAAACAAGTTGTAGAACTCTCTTTTTATTTTGCTCTTTAGTTACTTTTTAAAAAATGTAATGAAGCAACGTTTAACTAAATTTTCCCTATTAGCTTATTGTCAGATGCTCCTCTGTATTTTGAGGGCCAGCGTTAAGAGTGCCAGGACCACTTTGTGTGGAAGAAACTGAAATTTGTGCTCCAAGACCCACTATTTAAATAATACATGAATTAGTCCCCCTCTGTCCCTTCAGTGAAAGTCATTTACATATAAAAGTCCTTGAAAATACATAGAACGGAATTTTACCTTCTTCCTTTATTTTGCCTATCAAGAATGCCCACCCCAAATGGCTGTGCAGGTACTTACAATGCACGTTGGAGATTAATTTGTCAGGAGTTCCCGATAATGGCACCTGAGCCATGTTCTGAAATGCCCGTGGGTTGCTTGGAAGTTCCATCCGTAGCTGTTCAAGCTGCCTCCTCTGGTGTGACAAACTGAGCCGCTCCTGGCTCATTGCAAAGGAAGAAAAATATTGTAGCAGTAGGCTCTGGTGTATCATACCTCAACCATCTCATGCTGAGCAGACCATTTTTAAATTTGCCATAATTTCTTAGATTATCAGAACAAACTGTAATTTTCCAATTTAGGAAGAGCTCCGGAACCCGCTCTTGCTTAAGAACGATTTTTTTCAGATGTGCAAGTTGTGGTCCATTTTGGAAAGCTGCAGTATGACCAGCAGCGTCTATGCTTCTGAAACTTCAAGCCCTTTTTTGGTGAAATTATGTTACAGACTGTAATACCGAAGTTATTAGAAGCAACAGCTCTTTGCACTGATGGTCTATTCACTTTCTAGGCAGTTTAAGAGGCTGGTACGGACTATTAAAACCCATCATAACTTGAGACCAGGTAGCTATGGTGTCTTCTGTTCGCTATTCATCACTTCTAATTTTGGGAGGCAGCCTTCTGATCTTTCTCAGCTTCTTTATCTAAGCATTCAGTGTTCCACAAAAAATAATTATGAGATATACATGTACATTTTTTTAATAAAAGCATTTGAAAGTGCTCAACTCCATTCTGTGATAGCACACTTGTATAATCTGGAGACAAATTAATCTGTAAAGTAAGAAAAGGATTTAAAAAAATAGTGTGCCTATGTACCTCTTAAATCTAGGCATGCTGTTGCTTACCTTGACTTCATGCAATTTTACAATGAGCTGATCTGTTTTACTATTATTTTATTAAATCAAATTATAGAGCCATGCAATTAAAATGCAACACAAATCAAAACAGCATGAACTGTTTTCATTCAATAAAACAGGATTGTCTGATTTTTGTATTCTGAGGCATATATGTCAATATTTGGATATCCTATACTTTCAAACATTGATTTAATATGTTAATTGTATTTTAATTCTGTTTTTAAGTATTTGGTCATCTAAAGGAAGCCTTAATAAAGGTTTCTCTACTTTAAAAATTGCTTCTCTTAGATGACAAGATAAGTAATAACAGAATAAAAAAAAACAATAATAAACAGTAATAATAGTAGTCCCAAAGGTGCTTTTTCAAGAGGCAACTGGACTTTCTTGTTATTCTTTGAAGACATTTCGTTTCTCGTCCAAGAAGCTTCTTCAGCTCTGACTGTATAGTGGGGAATGGAAGGATTTATATTCCTTGCAGACAGCTGGTCATTTGCATTCTTCAACGTCTTCAAAGAAAAACCAGAAAGTCCAGTTGCCTCTTGAAAAAGCACCTTTGGGACAACCATGACCCGAATGACTGAGAATCTCCATGGACAGTAACTATAGTCCGTAGGAACTGAAAATTTCCATAGGTTGGAAGAGATTACCTGATGCAAATGTTCCTCCTGCTGTCTGAGCCATTCCATTTGTTGCTGCAGAGTCTGGAGTCTGGCCTGATGTTCAGATTCTACCTTCTTGGCCTCCACCAGGGCTTTCTCTCCTTCTTCATACTTGTGAGAGGACAGCTTTAGGGCAGAAGGAGCAAGAGCCAGGTTTTGATCTGAGCTACAGTCTTAAACCTGTTTTTGCCTTAGGATTTAACCTGATATAATTGCATTCATGCAGCATGCTAAATAATGGATTGTTTCTGGTTTAATGGATTGGTTGTGCTATATAGCCACACACAATAGGAACGCAGTGGTTCAGTGGCTAAGACGCTGAGCTTGTCAATAGAAAGGTTGGCAGTTCAGCAGTTCGAATCCCTAGTGCCACGTAACAGGGTGAGCTCCCATTACTTGTCCCAGCTTCTGCCAACCTAGCAGTTCGAAAGCAGGTAGAAAATGCAAGTAGAAAAATAGGGACCACCTTTGGTGGGAAGGTAACAGTGTTCCGTGCGCCTTTGGTGTTTAGTCATGCCAGCCACATGACCACGGAGATGTTTTCAGATAGCGCTGGCTCTTTGGCTTTGAAATGGAGATGAGCATTGCCCCCTAGAGTCGGGATCGATAGCACATATGTGCGAGGGGAACCTTTACCTTTATATAACCACACAAGAGTTGCTTAACTGAGTATGATCCTGTCCATTATGTATTAGTCTACAAATTATTGTTAAAAATAAAGGTGGAATGTAAGAAACCAGCAGCAAGTTGTGACTGGTTTTATACGGTATTCATAGAGCGTCTGATGTGTCTGATGTGTCTGAGTGTCTGATGTGTAGCATATTTATTATACATCTTCTAGTGCACATTTTTCATGATGAAAGTATTTGTAAATTTTTGGGGGACTAATTTGCAATATAGCATCTGGTTTAAATGACATCATTTTTGTTCAATAACCCACATGCTATTAATGTTAGGCCACAGTTCTCTGACCATTTTCCTTCACATGCCTGCCTTTAACAAATCTTAGTTCATTAATCTGAACTTTCCCCACATCTCGAAAAGTGTAGTTTAAGGGTAGTTTATCACCCTTGATAGGTGATAAAACCTGGAGATGCAGATGTGGCTGGATTTTCCCCCTTCCCCTTTCCTAGGAAGTCATATTATGTAATTATGCTATCTGTGGAAAACTTGGCTTTAAGATTACATACTTAAGGTTCTCTTATAAAATCAACCAGGACAGATTAGTTTATTTTCAAGTAAATGACTTTCAGCATTACAACCTAGAGTCACTGTGAGGTTTTCCTCTCTTTTCATTATAGTAAATCGGGGAAAATCAAAAATGCAAGACAGCATTAGGTGCCTTCTCAAAAAACCACCTGCCAATAACTCTGTAAATGTGGCAATTACACTATTTAGTGTTTGGATTTGGAATCAGTAATTTAAAAGCTTATTCCCTAGCTTTCAAAGGAGCATATTACAGATTCTTTAAAGACTGTTTGCTGACCAAGGCTTTTTTTTTTTTTTTTTTGGCTCCTATGATACAATCCAGCCTTTTTTTATCTGATACATCCAGAAGTGCCAGGATATGCAATTTCCAGAATATGTAGCCAGCTGAGTCATATCAGCTTTTCTTGCTTGAATAGTGGATATAGAAAGGCAGTTTCTCTACCTTGCTCATGTTATTGATTTCATCTGCCCTCTGCTTGACATGCAAAGCTGTTGCATTAACCCTTTCTTTCTCCAGTCTCAGCTCCTGTTTCTCTTGCTCTAGAAGCTCTCGGTCCCTCACCAGCTGCTCCTCCCTTGATCTCAATTCACTGGATTTGATCTTCAGGTCTGCTTGTTCCTAAGAGGAGGAGAAGGAAAAATAGCTGTAGAGATTTGCTATTTTATATTTCTGTTTTATACTGAATTTAATCCACTTGAATCATATTTTTTAAAAAACACTTGAAAAAAGACCTTTTACGCAACACTTGGTATTTCCGTTTCCATGTCAATACAAATGATAAATGGTTATAACTGCAATCTAACCACTGCTTCAGTGCCCAAATATTCTTCTGGACTCTCTTCCCAGATTGTTCAGTAAAAAGACCGTCCAAGAATTAATTAAAGGGACAAAGATTGCAGCCCTTTACCTTTGCAAGACTCATGATGGCCCCTTCTCTTTGAGAGTCAATTTGCAAAGCCCGGTCAACCTCCCGCTCTGAACGTTCCTTGCTCAGCCTCTGCTGGACGTGCAGCTCTGACCACTCTGCCGCCACTTTACGGCGCTCTTCGGCACATTTCTGCATGACTGCTTTCTGTTCCTCAAGCAAAGAATTCTAGGAACAAGGAACAGGAGAAGGACTGGGAAATCAGTGTTGTTTTTGACAGCACTACAAAAAGTGAACCAAAGCAAAAATCATATCATAAGGCTGGAATGGACATTGGAGATCTTCTAGTCCAACCCCACTGCCCAAGGCAGAAGTCCTTAATCCATTGTGAACAAATCGTTGCGCAAAGTTTTCTTGAAAACCCCCCAGCGATGGAATATTACTCCAGGAAGCAAGTTGTTCCATTGACTAATAGTTCTCATTGTCAGGAAATTTCTCCTTAGTTCCAAGTTGGATTTCCCTCTGACTAGCTTTCATCCATTGCTTCTTATCTAGCCTCAGGTACTTTGGAGAATAAATCAAGCCCCTCTTCCCCGTGACAACTCACCCCAACCACACCTGTTATAGTCACTTTAAAAAGGCTGCTGCAACTTTACTTGGGTTTAATTGATGTATCTTGATTTTTTTCCTCTTAGTGTCTTTGAAAGCAAAGTACTATTTCTCTTTGAAACAGAATATGAATTCTATTTTAAATCTTCTCTGCTTCTATTATAAAAATTCTCTATAAATCGAGGAATAGCTAAAATATAAATGGAGGTACAAGGATATTGCTCTTGAGTTTTTTGAGTTTCTGTACAGAATGTATTTATGTACAATATGGTTCCAGATGGATGGATTCTAGTATTATAAAGCATTATAAAAACTACCGTGGAATTAGTCAGTTTTTCCTTATGCAGTAAAAGCAATTTTAAAAAATCAGAAAAGCAGTGAGGAAAATATGGGAGAATAAAAAGTGGATGAGGATATCAGATTCCTCCTTTTAGTAAAATTCAGTAAATGACATATACCCAGTTGCATTTAGTCCTCACTTCACAACATGCTCATTAACCACACAAGCAACAGGAGCACTTCTAACCTTTGCCCTCTCTAACTCTTCCCTCTCCATGGTTAGTTGCTGGGTCATGACTCTTCTCTGTTCCTCCAGGGAGCGCTGCAAAGATTCTACTTTGGCTTGTTCAGTGGTGACCCTCCAACGTTCCTAAGGCAGAAGAACACATTCGTCAGCTCCTGAAAGGCTTAATCCATCTTCAAGCAAGATAGCGTGTGAAACAAGCAGGAAATGCAAGCATAATTAGACTAAGCCACCCCAAATTCCAGCTGGAGTTTCCTTTTGAAGCCCTTCTGTGTCACAGAGGCAGTATCTATCCAAAAGGAAAATATTTTCTATATGTCTTAATTAATTGTTAATGGAAACACCATTTAAAACTGCAAGATATACCATTTATACCCAGCATGGGCAATTTGAGAAAATCTATTTATATGGATGTTAGGAGTCGAAAACAACTTGATGACAAGTAGTAATAATAATATAAAACCTTGACCATTATGTAATACTAAGAAGATAGTTTAAACTCTCAGGTGCCTTCCTTACAAATGCTCTGTTTGTCAAGTGTAACATTAGCTTGCACATTCTGTGCAGATCTGCAAACCCCACTCTTCCCAATACACAACACTTAGCTGTAGGTCATCTGTCATTTCCTTACATTGACCTTCCCAGGAAATATTCAGACTTCCTGACTGAGGAAGAGTCGGGAAGGACTGGGGAAGACACCTGTCAGTTGTTAGAGAGAAAATTCACTTCACCTAACTCCATTCTGACTCTTATCTTGAAGGGATAGTGACCGGATATGGCAATCATTCGGTATAGAAGCTCATTAAGATCTCTGTCACAGTAAACATTAAAAAAAAAAAAAGCTAAATCTGACTAGTCTTAAAGTTAAAAGTTGCCTTCAATTCTCACATTTCTGCCACCACCAATACCAACCAGGAGCCAGTTTAGCATTAGCTCACCTGTTCCAGAAGGCGGGTTTGCTCGTTTAGTCTGGCCTCCATCTTAGAAATAACCTCTTGTAGCCGGCCTCGTTCATCTTCCATGTCTCTCTGTTGCCGGTTCAAACGGTCTTGCAAAACTTTCAAATTGGGACAAGGAAAGAATTAGCATCTTTTTGCAGCCACCTGGGTGGTAGGCAGAACTTTTTTTGGGGGGGGGGCGCAGCAGTGGCGGGGGAGCAAACTCAAAATCCTCAAATTCTTGAACTAGAACATCTGCACTGATTTTCAAAAAAGTTATCATGATCATGGAGATAAGACAGAAGACGAGGCACTTCTAGAGGAGCACTTACCCTACCCCACCCCCCCTCCCATTATACTCCTATGCTACTCAGCCATATGATCCACCAGGAGCAGCAGCACACCTGTCTCAGGACGAGGGACAGAATAGGACATTATTACAATAACATGATTGAAGTAGGGTGCCCAAGAATAAGAGTTGACCTAAAGCAAGTAGGGTCCCAATCATCAAAAGGCACATACCCCTAAGCTGCTCATCTCTTTGGCGAGCTCCCATCTCAAGACCTTGGTGGGTAGTATGGTGAGTGGCTTCCACCTTACTGGCAAGATCATTCAGGTTGCTGGAGAACTTCTCCATTTGGTCTATAACGCCATTCAAAGACCTGCAGGAGGCAAGCAGAGCACCACATTGCCTAGCCATTTCCATGTTTCTTACTGACTTCTCATAACAAAAGAATGAAAATCAAAAGCTACCTTCAATAATTTATACATTATTTTGTTCCCCTGGATATGAACCAAATCACTTCTGGGGACCTGGGCTCATACATGACTTTATTTTTGAGCTGTAGGCTTCTGCAACTTAGCAATTGATTTGTAGGTTTCTGTATCCAAATTTGCCCATGTGGCATTTCTGGTCAGCGTTGCTGGAATTATTGACTTGAATCCCTTTTAATACAGCCTTAAAACTCTTGGTATTTTGCTCTAATATGGACTGCACATGTCCATGGATGCAGTCATAGGTACCCCTCATCCTTTTTCTTTCATAGGAGCACTGTAAACTAAAGAAGCAAACTGTGGAGCTTATTCCACTTACCAAGTCTGCATTGATTACCAGATATAACTATTTATGACCCTTACAACTGGGTATAAGTTCCAATCGGGTGAAATGCTCCCGGTGTTGGACCGGATCACCCGATCTGGTAACGATGGTGGTGGGTTGTTCAGAGAACCGGTAGCAAAAATCCCTGCCCCCCCCCCCCGCCCAGCTGAGCCACGCAATCATCAGAGGCTTTTTAAAATTATTTTTAAAAACATTTTTTCTACAACCTCTTCGGCCAAAAAAATGCTTTTAAAAGTAAAAAAAAAAGGCTCTGATGATCGCGCGGCTCAGCTGGGATCGTCAGAGGCTTTTAAAAACCTCTTCGGCCAAAGAGGTTGCAGAAAAAAATGCTTTTAAAAGCCTCTGACATCAGGCAACACAGCTGAAGAGGTTGTAGAAAAAATGGTTTTAAAAGTTAAAAAAAAAAGTTGCCCATGCCCACTCAGTCACATTACCCCCCCCCCCAAACCACACCTACAGAACCGGTAGTAACAAATTTTACGTTTCAGCACTGTTCCAATGCTCTAATGCTTTAAGGTAATTAGCTCCTGTTACCTGGTGTAAGAAGTGGCACTGGTCACTGCATCAATCTCCTGACTCTTCAGTTGTTTCAACCGTTGTAACTGCTCTTCATGATCCTTGCGCATTTCCAGGATGGACATCCTGCAAAAGTCCAAAGGGCCATAAACAAACAAACAAACACTGCTTCTCAATTTATTTCAGTGTATACATAAAGCTTGGCTAAATGCGTAGAGACTCAGATTCAGATTTGTCAAACAAAACAAGCTTACATGTTTGACTTATTGCTTCTGTAAAGCATAACAATAACCATCCGTTCAAAGTCTAAGAAAATTTCCTTCATCTTCCCCCACAATATTACCGCTGAAGCTCCTGTAGGCGATCAATTTCCTTGGCTTTTTCCTGCTCTAGCTCAGTCAATCGACGCTGATGCTGGGCTAACATCTCCGATTTCGCCTGCTCTGCGCTCTGACAGCGAGAAAGGTATTGTGCAACCAACTCCTCATTTTCTTGCCGGAGACGATCCTCACGCTGACGATACGAGTCCTCAACAACCTTCACACGGTTCCTAGCTCCCCAGTTGGCAGTGTTGGGGAGAGGGGAAGAATGCAACATATTTTTGTGCAGCCATGGGAATATTTTCTGATGATCAAGTCTACATTTAAAAGGAGCTGGCATGATCTTGGAGCTGGTTTCATGTTTGAAAACTGTGCTCCTCATATCAGTTTAGACCTATGTTTTCCTTGCCCTTCCCAAAAGTGGTATTATCCAGACGTATGTAAACCACAATTTCTTTGTCTAAGCTGTCTATACATTTCAGGAATTGAGCCTGAATATATCAAGATGGTACCAGGTTGGAAAATGCAGATAAAGATAGTAGGAGAAATAACTTTTCATGTATATTTTTATCTGCTGCTGTTTGTCTCTTAATGGTGTAGTTTTATAAACTTTCATGTTAGGTTTTCCACTTGCTCCAAAATATTCATGCTCTGTTTGGGAATGACAATGAACTACAATGCAAGGATATAATTAAAGCATTTCAATAAAGAACCCTGGTCCTCGGAAATAAGACCCAGACAGAATTCCTTAAAATATCCCTGAGAATTTGAAAGCAGGAATCTAAATCAATATAACCTTAGCTCTGAGTAGGATAATACTAAAATTGGGAGTATTTGATAAATGTGCATTCCTCCTAGAATACAATCTCAACCTCAGTCTCAAGGATGGGACCTCTTCTAAATAATAATTTTAAAAAATCTGTCTCGATTCTAAATTATGAGAAGATTCTATAAAAATAGCTCTTGTAACAATAACCCACAAAGCCCTGCAAACATAGAAACCACAAGAGTTCCTGCTTATGGGACTTCCAGTGGTGAGGGGATTAGAATTTATATTTAAGCGTCGCCTTCCAGTTTTCCATGTGGTTCCCACTTCATAATTTTTTCACTTTATATATGTAGTACTAGACATACTTCAATAACCTTTAATAACCTTGAGTGGTTTCCTCCATTTCTACCTGTGTGCATTCTCAATAAGTTCCAAATCCTCTTGGTGACGTCGTTGCAGACTTTCCAGCAAGAGTTTCTGCTGGTTCTTCTCCAGTTCAAGTCGCCTTACCTGAAATGTTTTTTTAATAGTTATTTTTAAAGCATGTTTAGGAAGGAAGGAAGGAAGGAAGGAAGGGAGGGAGGGAGGGAGGGAGGGAGGGAGGGAGGGAGAGGGGGAAAGATCACAATGTAGAATAAACATAACTGTAATATAACATAACCTTGATAAGAATGGTGAAAAGAAGAGGAGGCAAAACCTGCTCCCTACCTAATCATTCTGAGGGAGCAATTCAAACCTCTTCTTGCAGAGAATTGTGAAATAGATATATGTGTAGATACTCGAAAAGAAAATAAGTGTGTACTTGTGACCATGCATAGCATTATGGCTATCGAGGCGTATGTGAGAATGGACATCTGGTTATAGGAACAATTACAAGAATGCGATATGTGTGCATGAAAGTCCTGACTTGTTCTCTATTACTCTAACTATTAGTAGAGCTTCTTGATTGCAAGCGTAGCCCTTTATCAAATAAAAAAAAATAAAAAAAATAATAAAATTCTTGCAAGTCTTTGATATATAAACCAGTGCTTTTGTATTAAAAGGAGACTTCTACCTAACTTTTTATTTCTAAGACCCATTTCTACCTAAATCATATGAAGAAAGATGCAGGATATGTTTACTGAAAAGAAGGACTAAGGGTGACATGATAGCAGCGTTCCAATATCTGAGGGGCTGTTAGAAGAGGGGGTCAACCTATTCTCCAAAGCACCAGAAGGCAAAACAAGAAACAATGGATGGAAACTAAACAAGGAGAGAACTAGCTAGAACTAAGGAGAAATTTCCTGATAGTGAGAACAATAAACCAGTGGAACGACTTGCCTCCAGAAGTTGTGGGGTTCTCCAACACTGGAAGTTTTAAAAAAGAGATTGGACAACCATTTGTCTGAAATGGTATGAGGTTTCCTGTTTGAGCAGGGGGTTGGACTAGAGGACTTCCAAGGTCCCTTCCAATGCTGATATTCTGTTATTTGCACAATGCCCTTACCTGAACCTCAAGCTCAGTGAGGCGAGTCTGGGCACTCAAAAGCTCGGCCTGATAGGTTCCCAGGGTCTCTCGGAGCTGCGCTTGCACTCCCGCCATTCTTTTTTCATAGTCAGCATTATTAGGTGAGCTCAGGAGATGGGGTTCCGAGATCAGAGCCTAAGAAAGAACGAAAAATGTCATAGCTTTAAATATCCAGCATACTTTTAAAAAGGTAGACATCATTCTCTATTCCACTTTATCAATTACCAATTTCATAAAGGTTTCTGGAAAACCTGTGCAAAGTTTTGTACTCATTTCACTGGTTTTAATAAAGGGAAGTTGGGTGTGGAGTCTCCCCTAAGTACCAAGAGCTATGAAACCTTTTTAGAAGCGATGTAAATAAGTGTTTCTAAGACATAAACTGAAGGGCTGTGTTGTGAATTTTTCTTTCTGCTTCTCCAGGTTTCACAAGCAAAAAAGGGAACGTGTCTGCAGCTCCTTAAAACCTAGTGTGCCTTTCTGTACACCTGATCTATAGCTGCGAAGGGCAGATGTGCAAGCCTGGGAAAAGATGGAGATGCTGGTTTGATGTGAGTGCCTGCCATTCCAAAGCACCTTTCTCCCTGCAAATCCCCAGAGCCATGCATCCGGAATAAACATATGTAGGAGTAAGTCTTAATTTACATAAAACTAGTCAAGGAGTGAATTATACAAGAAAAAAAAAAGGAATTCCTTTCCCTGGATATTTATTTAACCGCAATAGGTAGGTTATTATTTGAAATTATTTAAATCAGGATGCTATAGAAGTTCCCTCTGGGCTAGAAAAAAAATTGAGAGCATTTATTAATATGAATGTATGCTTCAACTGATTCTTATAATTGGAAGGGAAAGAAACTCCTCTAGATTATTATTTGGGTTTTTTATGTAGCTACTCCAGAACTCAAGGCACAATCTTCTGGACAAATGTTTCTTCTTAACATAGGCAAAAAAAAAAAAAGGAATACATTTGCAAGTCCAGGAAGTGCAAGGTCCAGGATACTACAGATAACCAGATGTTGAAGAGATATACTAATTTATCATTCCTGCTGATATTCATTATTTAAAATGAGTGCATTACTCCACACCTACCTGGGAATTAACAGGAACCTTAGTAATTTCTTGATGTCCTTGCCAAAAGGTTGCAGATGCTGAAATCCAAGCCACAAAAATATCAGATGTAGTAATCAATTTAGGTTTTCCATTTCAGAGAAACTGAATTATAGGGAGAAAATATTGCTATTAAGAGCACATAATGCCCACTGTTATCAGATTTAAGAACTAAGATACTTGTGGCCTTCATGCTGTTTCCTGCAGTTCCTGCATAGGAATCACTATGTCTGGTATCCTGTAATTGACTTGCATTTTTGGATTAACGTCTAGAAGAGAGACTGCTTAGACAAGCTAGCTCTTCCTGTTTACTCTTGCAAAGTTGTAAGATAACAGGGAAGAAAGGTGAACTGAAGATAGCGCTATTAAAAGTGGAGCCAATAGAGCAGCTCTTTGTAATTCCTCCCTGGATAAGGAAAAGATTTGAGATCGCCCACAAGTGCTCCAGATAGTTGCACCTTGCAAGGAGATTGCAAGACTGTGCTCTGAGACAGGTTTAGAGCTCTGGGAGCCGAGGGAAGAGACATTCAGCTGTCAAAAAGACACTGAATTCACATATTAGTTTTCTAATCACTTTTGGAAATTGCTTGTTAATTGCTTTTCCGCTATTAGAAATCTTTGGAACATCAAGTCTGCGGATTCTGGGGGAATCTCCTTCAATCCTTAGCAAAACAAGTGTCAGCCCCAGAGGCCATCTTTTTCTTTGGATCTTCAGGGCTACCACACTTAGTGCTGTGGGAAAGTGGGAGGGGGGTTGTTTGGAGTTAGTGGAGATATATAGACATAACAACATTCTTTTCTCTGGGAGTCAAGGACGTTCAACCTGCACCTCGAGAGGTGTGACTGGGAGGCATCTCCAATTGGGATGGTGGATTGAATGGAACATGTGATGGACATGTGGGTGCAAGGGAAGGAACTTGGACTTTCCTTTGGGTGGGGAAAATCCAGGGGCTTTCAGATTTGGGTTTTCCCCAGATGTGCCAATATGACATCTCTAATAAAATGAAACTTTGAGGAACTGCTTGCCTCAGAGTCTTATTTAGTTGGGGGTGTTACTTGGAACCCTGACAAGAAGTTTTAAGTACAAGTTTAGGGACTTATTTTTTTAAAAAAAACAAATAGCAAAAGGTTGAATAGAACTTTGTTTTGGGAAAGTTACAAATAGACTAAAAATCCAGATGGATTTGATTTTGGATTTAATTATAAGAATCCTTCCCATGGGAAAGTGCTTGTGTTTTGAATTCTTAAAAAAAACAAACCCAGGATAGGACACTAGATGGAACTAAAGATTTCAATTTAAAGGAGAAGAATGCTTAGTCTGAATTTACCAATACAGAATGGAGTAAAAAATCTTAACATTGGACATAATGACTGTTTTTGAACCATGGATCCAGAAGTTAATTTTAAGAGTATCTGCCTCTATAAGTAGACTATGTTTAAAAGAAAGACTACAGTTGTTACTTTAGTAACACGGTTGTTAAATGAATCTGGCTTCCTCATTGACTTTGCTTGTTAGAAGGTCACAAAAGTGATCCCATGATCTCAGAGCACTGCAACCATCATAAACACATGCCAGCTGGCCAAGGATCCAAATTTTCCTTATGTGAACATGGGGATGCTGCAATGGTCGCAAGTGTGAAAAATGGTGATAAGTCACTTTTTTCACTGCTACTGTAACTTTGAACAGTCGCTAAATGAAAGTCGAGGACTGCATTTGATCAAGGTTAAAACAGATATCCTGCAAGCCCTTGATGGAATTCTGTGGACATTAGGACTAAAATGACAAGGCTTTAAAGATTTGATTATAGCTAAGAGATGGGATTTGGAAGAAGAAATCATTTATTTATTTATTTTCTTTACTATATACTTGTGCTCTTTTTTTTTCTTTTCTTTTCTTCTTTTATTTTTGGGGGTAAGTGTATTCATTTTTTTATCATTGTAATTATAATTACAATATTTTAAAAATAAAATTCCTATGAAAAGTTGTGAGATCACAAACTTCCTGCTCTAACCCCAGTTAGATAATTATTTCCCTATTTTGTCTTAGCTAGGTGTTCCATGCAAAATAGACACTTAACCCCAATGAATATGTAAGCTGTCCTTGCTGGTGACTAAAATAAATAATTCAGGGAGAGGGAGAAGTTGAAGGGATAGAAGACCTGCTCAGTAAAGTAAACACTTTCTGAATTAATTCCATGGAATTTCCTCCCTACTGCTTTGGCTCACCACTGGAGCTATAGAAGAAATCTCTCTGATGCTCTAAACCAGGGGTATCAAACGTGACGTATCATGACTTTTCCCCCCTTCGCTAAAATGGGAGTGGGCGTGGCCAGGGCATGACGCATCCGGCCCGCGGGCCCCAAGTTTGACACCCCTGCTGTAAACATAGAGGTCATGTTAATAAACATTTAAAGATGCACCCTGGCATCTTTTCCTGTATACAGTGTACAACCTCTTCAATATTCAACTTGCAAGTTCTAAATTAGCTGGTATGGAGTGGAGAAGAGAACTTAATAGAGAAGTAACAGAGATGGAAGGAACTAAAAAGTACTGTTCTCTTATATTGCAGAGCAGGGGGGTGGACAATCAATATACCATCCATGAACTCTTTCATTCCATCTTCCAATCGTGGACCAGATAAGATTGAGCAACTGATTTGGCAGCAAATCAACAACAACAAAGGCTATTTTGTGTAAAACCAAGCTCTCAAAGAAGAGATGCATCAATTCCCCAACATGCTTAACACATCTATTTTGCTTAAATCCTACTCACAGGTAGTCCTCGACTCATGGCCACAGTTAAGCCCAAAATTTCTGTTGTTAAATGAGACATTTGTGAAGTGAGTTTTGCCCCATTTTACGAACTTTCTTGCCACAGATGTTAAGTGAATCACTGCAGTTGTTAAGTTAATAACACGACTGTAAAGTGAATCTGGCTTCCCCATTGAGTTTGCTTGTCAGAAGGTCGCAAAAGGTGATCACATGACCTTGGGACATAACAACTGTCATAAATGTGAACCAGTTGCCAAGCATCTGAATTCTGAACACATAAACATGGGGATACTGCAAAGGTCGCAACTCTGAAAAACTCATGTCATATTTTTCAGTGCCGTTGTAACTTTGAACGGTCACTAAATGAACTGTTGTAAATCAAGGATTACCTGTACATCAATACATTTTAAAGAGGCTGTAAGATTTGCCCTGCTCCCTTCACTGGATTATAGCTCCACTTCCTGCAGCTCTCCAAAAGACTAGAGTCTGGCTCTTGGCGGTATTAAATACTTCCCCCTTCCCTGTTATACTGAACCAAGAATGTCTTCCGAAGGCTTTCTAAAAGCAGGAAGAAATGAAGATTCCTGGAAAGACCAGATGCAATAGTACAGTGTCTCACACCCTGGATGACAGAGTTGTAAGAGAATGACAGGAATGGATCTGAGGTAGATCTAAAGCAGAGATATGTCTTTGAGCCAAGAACCATTATATTAAATGAGGCTCCGTTCCAATAAGAGGAAATGGAGGATTTAAAAATATGATTTAACTGCAAATGTAATCTAGTTCCCCTGTGTTTAATCATGTTTCACTTAAATGTACAATTTGTTGGCAACATTTAGAGAGAATTTGCAGACCAACCTCAAGGTTTTCAGGAGCTGTGTAGTAGGGGAGTGGGGGTGGGATAGATTATGTACTTCTAGCCCAAAGAAAACCGATGAGGAACAAAGAAAGAAATGAAGATAAAATCAGGATGTTTGCATCTCACTCTTTAACAGAATCTAACAGTACTCATACTGTGTTACTGGGTAACCCAAGCTTGAAATGTTTCTACCATTGTTTTTCCCCCACCCCCCGCAATGAAAATTAAGCAGCTTGCCTTGAAAACAAGCCAGTAGAACAGGCCATCTTATAACATTATTAGATGCCTTGTCTATCAATGATGACTCTGCTATAATGTGAATGTGCATTTCTTGGATAGTCCGGCTGGAGCTTGAATCTTACCTCTTGAAATTGTATCTCCAAAGGGAGTCCCTTTCCTGGAATCAGATGGAAAAAGAGGGGCACTTTGTTCCTGAGATCTTTCCCAAGGAACGAAAGACCTGAAGTAAGCAGAGGATGGTAAGGTTAAATGAGAGAGGAATCAAATGCAGTTTCTCATTTTTGGAATAAGGGCTGTGAAAATAACCCTTCGAAGCCAATGAAAATAAGGTAGTCGGCAAGTGGTGGAGTCCCCTATGATTTTGTTGCCAGAGCCAACTGTCTTTTGGGAAGGGAAGAGGGGAAAGTATCCTGACCTTGCCCTTCCAACATCAGTGCTCCGATTAAGGTGAAGGCTAAATAATGACTATTCTGCCAGATTTAGCCAAACATCTGATAAGTATCTGATCCAGCATTCTGTCTCCTGGTTCATCAGTTAGATCTGTATTTCTCAACCTCAGCAATTTTAAGATGTGTGTACAGGTAGTCCTTGACTTACAACAGTTCATTTAGTGACTGTTGGAAGTTACAACGGCAGTGAAAAAAGTGACTTATGCCCATTTTACATTTATGACCAATGCAGTATCCCCATGGTCACGTGATTTACATTAGGAAGCTTGACAACTGACTCAAATTTATGACGCAGTGTCTTGGAGTCATGTGATCTCCTTTTGCGACCTTCTGACAAGCAAAGCCAATGGGGAAATCAGATTCACTTAACAATCGTGTTACTAATTTAAGAACTGCAGTGATTCACTTAACAAATGTGACAAGAAAAATCGTAAAATGGAGCAAAACTCACTTAACAAATTTCTCACTTGACATAAATGTTGGGTTCTATTGTGGCCGTAAATTGAGGATTACCTGTACTTTAACTCCCAGTATTCCCTAATGTGAGAGCTCCCTTCCACCAATATGCTGCAGAATTTTGGGAGTTGAAGTCCACACATTTTCAAGTTGGTGAGGTTGAGAAACACCGAATCAGATGCCTCTGAAAAACTATCATGCAAGTTCTTACTCCAATTGTTCCAATCTGGCAGGTTTATCTGATGTGGCAGCAGATAGATGTTGTTCTTGAGTGGAGATTACCTGTTGGCTGATAAAAAGAAAACAAAAATGTGAATTCAAACTGTCATGTGTTAATTAAAGCAAAGATCTGGCTACCTTGAATGGGAATTGCAGAAATCAGTCTAACACATGCAGAGACCATCAGGATTTGGAAATCTGCATTAAAGAAACTACTTTCTTGCTCCTCCAGTATAAGCTACAAGATCTGTCATGAAGGAGGACGACACATCAAATACTGATGATTACTTTCCCTTAAGTACCCGCATGGAATATACAACTTGATATATTGTCTATGGAGATTCTCAGTCATCCAGGTCATGGTTGTCCCAAAGATGCTTTTCCGAAAGGCAACTGGAGTTTCTGGCTTTTCTTTGAAGACGTTTCGCTTCTCATCCAAGGAGCTTCTTCAGCTTTGAAGAACTGAAGAAGAGTTGAAGAAGCTTCTTAGATGAGAAGCGAAATGTCTTCAAAGAAAAAACAGAAACTCCAGTTGCCTCTTGAAAAAGCACCTTTGGGACAATTTGATTTATTGAATTTATTTGAGACAGTGAAAGTAACTGACAGCCTTTGAGAGGAAATGAGATTTTTCATTTATAGAAATTGAAAAATGTCAAGTGGACAAATGAAAAGCCCTCTACTCTTACCTGGTGGGATGATCCCCATGTGTCTGAACATCTAAGGATCCGGATCTCTTCTTCATTTTCTCCCGTGTTTGAGATATTTTTTGAGACAATACATTATTCAGCCAGCTATCACCATCATTCTCAGCTGGTTCTTTCTTCTGAATGACTTCTTCAGTAACTTGTTTGGTTGTCAAAGGACCCTGGATGGTGGTTGGAAGTGGAGGAGGAGGATGCTTAGCTTCTGAAGGAAATGATGGCATATCCAGTGTGGTTCCTCTTGCGCTGCTTTTGCTAGGTTCTTTGAGTGGAGATGATGGTAGCAAGTCACTATCTTCATCCTTCAATCCCAGCCAGTCAGCCCCAGACTTGTTGCGTACGGGACTGTTAGATGCTGAGGGGGAAGGCATTGATCTCTGTTCTGATTTCAGGTCACTGAGGTTCTCGGAGGAAAACCTACAAAAGTTTTTGCCAAGTGAAAATAATTTTAAAGACAGACTTATGGGATCAAAATCAAAAGGTTAACCTGGCCTACTGTTACCTGACAGACTGCCGTCTCGACCTCCGTCCCTCTGGAGTTGAGGCCATAGTAGGTTGGTAGGCGCCAAAGGTGAAATCATCTCCCAGAGCATCTTCCTTATCTGTACAATGGCATTGGGATATATTTTTTAAAAAGAAAACTTTCATGCTGCTGTTGTAAATTTTAGAGTCTCCAGACTGAAGCCCAAACAGGTCAAAACAGAAGATAAAATATAATGTGGAGATTGTAGATCCCCCACAGGGATATCAGTTTTCAATTCTTAAATAAGTGTTGTGGCCTGTCAGCGGCCTGTGTAGATTGTAGCTGATTCCGACAACGAGGAGGCTGGTATGGTGCTGCATCAGCAGCCTGTGCAGCTGGTGCTAGAGTTGGACAGTGAGGAGGCTGGAGAAGATGTGGTGCCAGAGGCAGAGATTCAGCCAGGCCCTTCAGAACCTCCAGAAGCTCCTTTAAGTGAAGAGGATGAAGAGGAGGAGCCTCTTCTCAATGCACGGGTACGCACAGCTGCCAAAAGGCAGGAGTGGCTCCTCAGGAGGAGGTCTCCTCGAGAGTAAGGCTTGGGGCTAATTGGCCACTCCCTTAGCCTATTTAAAAAGGAACGCCGCTTGCAACAAGCTGTAGAGAACAACTTTAGTTCACTCTCCTTCGTGTCTGCAAAATTGCTTCTGGGCTTTCTGCCAACTCTAGTAAGAGTGATTACCTTATCTTAGAATTCTGGTAGGCTGTTAAGACAGTTCATTAACAGCCTTTGAATGATAAAGACTAAGTTATTTGAGTAAAATAAGCTTTGTATAGAGTTTGTGTATGCTCCATTCTTTGGGGTCCATAGCTGGGGCAGAACAATAAGGAAATAAAAAGAAGAGCTCATGGATTTTGGGTAAAATGCAGTGGTGGGTTCCAACCGGTGTTACCACCGGTTCTCTTCACGCATGTGCTTTCTCTGGAACCGGTACTTAAAAATGCTTTAAAAAGTAAGAAAAAAAAGTTCCAACGATCGCGCGTCGCTCAGCTGATCATCGGAACTTTTTTTTTTTTTTTTTACTTTTTAGGCATTTTTTTACTACCATTTCGGGGGACTAGGTAGTAAAAAATGATTTTAAAAAGTAAAAAAAAGGCTCTGACGATCACAGCTGTGGTGCGCGATTGTCAGAGCCTTTTTTTTACCTTTTAAATGCATTTTTTTACTACCGGCTCCGGCGAATAGGTAGTAAAAAAATGCTTTTAAAAGGTTAAAAAAAAGGTTCCAACAATTGTGCGCCACAGCTGATCACTCCCCCGTGCGCTGTTCTACTTACCTTCGCAAGCCTTCTTTTGGTGTGCACTGCGTGCGCATGGGCGTGCCCACACCTCGCATTTGGTTGGTGGTATGCACTGTTTGGCGCACAGGGCGCATGCGCAGCCCGCGAACCAGTAGTATACCAGTTCAGATTTCACCACTGATATGAGCCCCCAGTAAAACATCAAGCAAACACATGAGGTAACAAATTCCTTCTTTTTTTTCAAACAACAGACACTCCTTTAGGTTTCTAATGCAGATAAACAACACCATAATTATTTCAACAAAAAAGTAAGAGTACTGTTTGTATGATAGCGGTCCCTATCATGCTTACCTGTCTGCTTCTGATATTTCTTATCCAGCTTAAACTCCTTCGGTTCTCCTGTGCTTGGTCGCTCTAGCAGCTTTTTTGCTGTTCCTAGACCCAGCAACTCATCTTGCCTTGCTCGCACTGGACCAGATTCTTTTCTTTAATAAAAAACATAACCAAACGATGTTATGAATTAAAGAAACTGAGGATGACAGAAAGAGAATGGCTTTTTTCAGGATTTCTATGTTGTATTCCAGCTTTTACCTCATGGCTGACAAACAGCAGACTGAAAACTCATAGGTGGTTTCGGCTTAATGCTAAGAAACTAGAATACTTGATGAGAGTTTCCAGAAATCCATAAAAGTCTGCCACTATAACAAGTAAGAGATTAGATGCGATCTACAGACTACACTGGGAAATTTTCTTCTCTTTCCTCTTAAGTAGGACTGATCAGTGGCATTATTTGGGATATAGAGCCTTGGTGGCGCAGCAGACTAAAGCACTGTTAAGTGCTGTTAAGTAACACCAGCTGCCTGCAATTACTGCAAGTTCAAATCTCACCAGGCTCAAGTCTTCCATGCTTTTGAGGTAGGTAAAATGAGGACCCGGTTTGTGGGGGCAATAAGCTGACTTTGTATAAAAAAGAACACCGCTTGGGGGGGCCGAAAGCCCTACTAAGCAGGTATATACAAAAGTATGAAGGCTACTGCTTAATGCATTGTAAGCCGCCCTGAGTCTCCGGAGAAGGGCGGCATATAAATCGAACCAATAAATAAATAAATAAAGGTAATGAACCCGTTGTTAAGCAGAACATCATGATTGCCCCACTTAGCAACAACAGTTCTAGAAGTCCCAGTGCAATTAAGCAAATCGCCAGCAGTCATTGAGACATCATGTGATAACTTGCAACGTCTAGCCAGTTTCCCCATTGATGTTGCTCATCAGAAGCCAGTTGGGAAAAGCATGAATGGGGATCATGTGACCGTAAGATGCTGTGACTATCATAAATGTGTGATGGTTGCCAAGAGCCCAAATGGCAACCAAGTGACTGCAAAGATGCTTGGGATGGTTGCATGTAGAAGAACCAGTTATAAGTCACTTTTTTTCAGCACTGTTATAACTTTGAATGGTCTCTAAACGAATAGTTAAGTGATATAATCAACAATTGGGATTTTTAAAAAGAGGTTAGTTAATTCTTAATTAATTGGTCCTTCTGTTATGCTACAGATAGTACAATAAAATCAATGGTGGTAGTATGAAGTTGCTCATAATTCATCCTTCTTTATTCAGCTGACCTTCATCTTAATGGAAATGCAGTTGCCAGATTTCCCAGGCTTTTGATCATGCCAATTAAGAGAAAGGTATTTTAATTTACTCCTACTATGAAACTATTGTAGTTTTTTGCATATCCAATAATGCCATGATTCCTCTTCCAGAGAAAGATATTAGTGGCTCATTTTATTTTATTATTTGTCAAATTTATATGACTACCCACCTCACACAAAGTGATTTTGGATGGCATACAATAAAACTAACAATTAAAAATGTTCTGCAAAACATTTTGAACAGAGACTTATTTCTTATTTTTTTTCCAATGCATGCTTTCCTTTTCTACCTACAAGGCATTTAAGGTGGTTAATAATTAAAAAAATACCATTTAAAGCTCATTAAACAGAGGCAAATTCTAATGAATCTAAGCCTAACTGTCTAGCTTACTCTTCATTCCTTCTGCCAGATTTCACTTCTGCCTTCGAGGTATCACCAAACCCCAGAGCCTCCATAAGATCATCCCCATCATCTTCAAAGGTTAATTCCTCTTGTTTTTGCTTAGGAGCAACAGCATGGCCATGAACTGTAAGTAGAGATACATGGACAGGTTTTCTAGAGTTTGTAGAAGCCAAAGAAGTCTCAAGCAAAACAGTTCTAGAACCGTATTTTACCTTTCTCATTAGGGGTCCCATTGATTTCTGGAGTAGTTTTGGTGATGGAGGAATGTGTTTTCTTCACTGGGGTTTCTTCATCATCAGACAGAAGGCCAGCCAAAGGATCATCTATATCTAGAAAAAGGACATATCTATGAACTTCAAGAGAGCAATAATTTCAAAACAAGCACAACTGAGGAAAATGAAAAGAACTGCTGTACGATTAGGAGATTTTATAGGTCAGAAATTAGGCCCAAACTCAAACCACCTTGAAGGCTAACTCAGCACAATAGTCTTAGGAGATTTATACATTAAAACAATCAATAGGTTTAAGGAAGCTACCACAAAATGATTTTTAGTAAAATTCAGGCAGTTTAACAATTGCTTAACATTTGTAATTGGGGCAGGAATTTCTGTTGCTAAGCAATGCAGGTGTAAAGTGTGATGTCACATGACTGCATTGCTTAGCAACGGGAATCCTGGCACTCCCTATCGCCATCAAGCGAGGATCATGGGTTGTTAAGCAAGGACCTCCTTGCAACTTCCTGCCAGCTTTCAACAAGCAAAATCAGAGGGGAAATTGGCAGGAAGTTTTAAATCTTAGGGAAACAAGCTAGGGTGCCGGCAAGTGGTTGTTGCTGTGTGCACAAGGGTGCTTGAAGGGCTGGGGTGGCAGGGTATGAGTGTAGTTTAGTGTGCCTGTTGCAGAAGCAGGAAGGTGGCACAACACAAGCCTGGTGGGGCTTGGGGGTGACTGCTGCAGAGTGCAGGACTTCGGTGGGGTCTTGGGGTGGTTGCTGTGGGGTGGGGGGGAGATTGGTGAGGTGGGGCAGGAGCGTAGTGGATTGGGAATGGCTGCAGCAGGGCAGGGGAGACTTGCCCCCAAATGCCCAGATCGCAGTCATGTGACTGCAGAGCAGCTGATATGGCGAAACCTTTGATGGCTGGACATAAGTACTATTTGCTATAGCTTCAAATGGTTGCCGAACGAGTAGTCGTTAAGCAAAAACTATTGGTAATGTAACAAAATAAAATTCAGGGTTTTATTTTTCCTATGGGTAGTCCTTGACTTACAACACATCGTTTAGGGACTGTTCGAAGTTACAACAGCATTGAAAAAAGTGACTTATGACCATTTTTCACACTTTAACAATCATTTGCAGCATCCCTGTGGTCACGTGATCAAAATTCAAATGCTTGGCAAGTGGTTCATACTTACGACGGTTGCAGTGTCCCGGGGTCCTCTTATCCCCTTTTGAGACCTTCTGATAAGCAAAATCAATGGGGAAGCCAGATTCACTTAACAATCGTGTTACTAATTTAACAACTGCAGTGATTCACTTAACAACTGTGGCAAGAAAAGTTGTAAAATGGGGCAAAGCTCACTTAACAAATTTCTCACTTAGCAACATAAATTCTGGGCTCAGTTGTGGTCATTAGTCGGGGACCATGTGTATATTATGAGAGATCATGATTTTATGCACAATTTATTCTATCCTTCAGCAAAAGATGTTAAGTCAAAGTACACATCACTTTTTTCAGTACTGTTGTAACTTCGCACTGTTATTAAATGAACGGTTGTAAGTTGAGGACTACCTCTACTGTTCTTGTGCGAGATAGTGTCTGTTCCTGAATGTGTTTTGGTATGTGTATAGGGGGCATTTAAGAAAGGAGAATGAAGGAGGAGATTTTATGGGCTGCACCACATTGAATAGAGGGGAAAAAAATAAAAAGAAAGAACAGAATCAGTATGTGTGTTACAATTCAACATATTTAGAAAGCACCAGTCAGAGAATGTTTGTATTAGGGTAATATTATCTATGGTTTTTGAATTTAATAGATATTAATAGCAACAAAAGTTCAGAGTTGGATTGATTGTTGGTCAGATATAAATATTGCCACATAAAGATCTGATCTTTCCAAATTCCCTTCATGTTCAAAATTACGTAAATTTAAAAATATATTGTATGCAAACTCCTACCTTCAAGGGAGAACCGTTGTTTCAGTGGTTTGGAAGCAGAGGGAACAGAACCAAGATCCTTACTGACTTCACTTGCAGAATCTCCTGAATATAAAGATTGTAGTTTTTTTAAAAAAAATAAAGGCATAGTAGATATTGTCTCCAATTTTCTGGTCTCACATAGCAAGAAGCCCTGAATAAATCTTTCTGATTTAAAGAACAGTTGATTTAATTGGAGAGTTGTGAACTGTATAAAAGAACTCAATACCTTCCAGCTTTTTTATAGTACCCGTAATTCCAAGATGCCATGGCCAATGGAGTCCAACACAAACTTGGCAAGGCAAATCTAAAGAATTCACAATGTTCTGGGAGGTCGGGTTGTGTTGTGAGAGCAATTGTAGTACTTATCGGCATAGAGCCAAGATGGTGCAGTGGTTAAGAGTGCAGTACTGCGGACTACTTCAGCTGACTGCTAGCTGCAGTTCAAATCTCACCGGTTCAACGTTGACTCAGCCTTTCATCCTTCCGAGATGGGTATAATGAGGACCCAGATTGTTGGAGGCAATATGCTGACTCTGTAAACCGCTTAGAGAGGGCTATAAAAGCACTGTGAAGCGGTATATAAGTCTAAATGCTATTGCTATTATCAACAGTTCCTTAAACCAGGGATCCCCAGCCCCCATGGACTATTCTGAACTGGGCCCTGTGACAGGCAGGCTAGTGTGCACATGTGCACAGGCAGCTTGACTTTCATGAGCAATGGCTGGCGCGCACGAGCCTGTGTACAGTCCGGTTCCCTACCTGCTGGGCCCCAAGCCGCAAAGGTTGGGACCTCTGCTTTAAACCAAACGTGTTTCCAGTATCAAGCTGCAACTGCAGAAACCAGTCACACAATCTCAGAAAAAGAGAAAGTTGCTTTATAGATTTGCGGAGAGGTGCTAGAGCCCCTGCATGGTCTTATGCATCTTTTTGTTTTATTCCAAAGCACTCCATAGTCCTCACAGGTGCAGAAGTTTTTCTAATATGACCCTCTTCTAGATTGTAGCCAGGCCTTTTTGTTGAAGGTCACCTTTTCGTGCTGCCAGGCATAGCACAGAAGTGATCTCTAAATGTCAACAGCCCCTTAGCAGTCTCTATGGCACTACCCTATTTCCCCCCAAAATAAGACATCCCCTGATAATAAGCCCAATTGGGCTTTTGAGCGCATGGCAATAAGGCCAAGCGCTTATTTCAGGGTTCAAAAAAATATAAGGCAGGGTCTTATTTTTGGGGAAACACAGTAGTATGAGACAACAAACTGATGTTATTCAATTTTGTCTCATTTATATCCAGATTTTGCTCCAGGAGTTCAGTATGGTGAGCTTTAAGATCTTCCAATTTCAATTTCAAATTCAATTTCAGTTTCACAATGCTAGCTGGCTTTTATGCATTATTGTTGAATGAATGAGGGTAAAATGTTTATCACCGATATTGCATCAAGGAGAAAAAGATGGAAAAAGAACTACCGTTAAAAATACCTATTTTAATAGTTCAGACTGGAAATAATGTCTATATACATTAACAATTGTATTCCGAGACATCACAGTCATTTTATGGGGGTGGGAGGCACCGTGTTGCGGTGGTTCTCCTCCTATCTCTCTGACCGGTCGCAGTCTGTGTTGGCAGGGGGGCAGAGGTCGACCTCGAGGCGCCTTGCTTGCGGGGTGCCGCAAGGGTCGGTCCTCTCGCCGCTCCTGTTCAACATTTATGTGAAGCCGCTGGGTGAGATCATCCGTGGTTTTGGGGTGCGATGCCATCTGTACGCTGATGACACTCAGCTGTACATTTCCACCCCAGACCACCCCAATGATGCCCTCGAAGTGATGTCCCAGTGTCTGGAGGCCGTGCGGGTCTGGATGGGGAAGAACAGGCTTCGGCTCAACCCTTCCAAGACCGAGTGGCTGTGGATGCCGGCGTCCCGGTATAGCCAGCTGGTGCCATCGCTGGCTATTGGGGGCGAGTCATTGACCCCCACAGAGGGGGCTCGCAACTTGGGCGTCCTCCTGGACACACGGCTGTCTTTAGAAGAGCATATGACGGCCGTGGCCAGGGGGGCTTTTTATCAGGTTCGCCTGATACGCCAGTTGCGCCCCTTTCTGGATCGGGACTCCTTGTGCACAGTCACTCATGCCTTGGTTACGTCACGCCTGGACTACTGTAACGCTCTCTACATGGGGCTCCCCCTGAGGAGCACCCGGAGGCTCCAGCTGGTGCAGAATGCGGCCGCGCGGGTGATTATGGGAGCGACGTGGCGCTCCCACGTAACACCTCTCCTGCGCGAGCTGCATTGGCTCCCGGTGGTCTTCCGGGTGCGCTTTAAGGTGTTGGTTCTCATCTTTAAAGCGCTCCATGGCTTAGGGCCAGGGTATTTGCGAGACCGCCTGCTGCTACCGATAACCTCCCACCGGCCAATACGCTCTCACAGAGAGGGCCTCCTCGGGGTGCCGTCGGTTAGGCAATGTCGGCTGGCGGCCCCCAGGGGGCAAGCCTTCTCTGTGGGGGCACCCGCCCTGTGGAATGAGCTGCCTCCTGGAATACGATTGATCCCGGACCTCCGGACCTTCCATAAAGCCCTGAAGACGTTTTTATTTCATCAAGCCGGCCTAGCCTAAATGGTTTTTTAATTGGGATTTTAAATTTTATGGATTTGGGGTTTTAAATTTGGGTAGCCAATGATTTAATTCTTTTAATTATCTTAACTTTTGCATTTGTATGTTTTTTAATTTTGGCTGTTCACCGCCCTGAGTCCCTTCTGGGAGAAGGGCGGTATACAAATTAAATTAATAAATAATAAATAAATAAACAATTGTATTCCGAGACATCACAGTCATTTTGTAAACGGATTCAAAAGGCTAAACACTCACCTCTTTCTATCTTGGTTGTTGTCTTAGTTTTTGCTGCCTCAGCTAAAGGCTCTGCTGTTCCTACACCTTTAACAGCCTTCTGAGGAGACTTTGGGTTTGTTTTCTTTATGCCCAAAATATCAGCTTCCATCTCATCCATATCCTGACCAGTGAGAAAACATATATTGTTGTTTTGTGTATGCTAGTTCGTGATTTAACAATAGCTCACTAAACACATCAGAAATATGTTAAGGTCTGGCTTTTCTTTTGAAAAAAATGATCATGGCTTCTTTGCATAAGACAGTTTCTATTACCTCCATTTTTAGCTGCATATCTTTTGCACCCCGTTGTCTGGTTCAAAAACTTGAGAGAGTTAAACTAAAAACATTTCAGCAAACAATAAATAAATAGTGCCTCCTTATTAACAAAACATGCTATGCAAGAGCTGTGCTCACTATACTAACAAATCGGTTCTCTATCCCTAACCCATCTCACTCCTACCTCCCATTTGCACTTTATGCTAAACTGAAAACAAACCAACCATTTCTTGATGAGTGCATTCAGCTGTTTTGCATCATTTGCAAAACACAGTAAAATTGTTTTTTTTAATACACTGCAAGATATATCCTTCAGTTTACCTTCAAGGTCTCTAGAACAGCTTCTGGATCCACATCTGAGATATCAAACTCCTGAGAAAGGAACAAATAATTAATAGATGAGGCTTCAATGGAAAAATGTCAAATAAATACTGCAATAATCATTCAAGACAATAATCTGGGCATACCGAGCAGAATTCATCGCTCATCATTACTAGCTACAACTGAATCCATCCTGTATTTTCAGGCACAGGTTTCCCAGACAAAGAACCTGGACTGTTATACATTCTCACCTCTGCATCTGCTCCTTCCTCCACAGCCATTTTGCTAAAGAAATCATCATCCAATAGGCCCCTGAAATACAGAGGAAACAAGTAAGGAGAAGAATGGATCCCGCCGCAAACAGCACTTGTTACAGGTTTTACCAAAAGTCCCTAGATTGCTCAGATATTTTAATCAAGGAGTAGTTTCCAAATCTCATTTCAATGTAGAAGAATTTTTAAAGCAATGCAGCTTAAGGAAAGACCCATCAATATATGCAGTTCACAGCAAGAAATGTTAAAGAGGAGACAACAACAGCAACATTAGTAATAGGTTCAGTAATATTAGTAATAGGTTCAAGAGGCTCCGTTAGTCAGTCCCACTGCCATTCCATACTCTGAACATGCTCAGAATTAAAGTACAATACCATTACATACTTTCTGTTGGTCTGTGGCACGATTTCTCTGGCTTTTCCATCAGTGCTGCCAAATGAGGTAGCTTTGCCCGAATTAGCAGGAATATCATCTTAAAATGAGAGATGAAGATGTAAACATTTAAGTACAGGTTGTATCCTTTGCTCTAAGAGATGCATTTTAATCAACTGGTATGCTCAGCAAAGTAGAGACGGAGTAAACGTACATGACTTAAAAACAGACTCAGTGCGGAGAGAACTGGCTCAAGTCGACTTGTACCTATGAAATTTTAGTCAGTGACTTGAGACAGTCCCTCTCGTATCCCAAACTACCTCTCAAGATGAAAAACTGAAGAACAGCAAGTAGAGACATCATTCTAACATGTTAATTAGTAAATGACTGGGCCCCAAAAAGGTAAGGAAGGAGTTCATGAGTACGTACTATGGCTATACCTCAACGTCTGTCTCATTGCATGGCTGCTATTAAATAAGTGATGTACAGTACAAATGTATATTCATAAACATGTAAACCCTGTGTTTTTCCTAAAGTAGCACTCAGGATAGCTTACAAAATTAAAGACAGTATGCCCATAGAACTATATTAAAAGAATATATTAAAACAATGCTAGCAGTACATAACTGCAGGAATAAAAAGAACACAATTTGGGTCCCATCATACAAAATGTACTTTTAACTATAGTTTGAACATGTCATAGCCATCTAATTCATCACAATAGGCCAGAACCAAATAAACCACATTATGATTTAGTCTGTCGTATGAATTTAAGCAGTCAAAAACTATGCATATAATGCCAGATGCTGATTTAGAACTTATGCGTAAATAGAAAGAGGTTTGTGAGAAGTCCTGGGATTATACAGCATCCCCTCTTCTTTCCTTTTCCTGCACAGCCAGGTAGGAAAAAGCAACAGCAATTTATGTCATGTCAATAGACATTTATGGTTATGGGGACTATAGCTTAAATGACCAGTTTGATCATTAAATAAGGCTCATCTGAAATTACATACCATGATCTGCACATAACAATCCAAAGAGAAACCAAGTCCTGGTTTATTCTTTATCTTGTCTGTAGTAGAATGGTGAGAGAAAATGGGTGTGTGTTGTTTTGCAAAAGCTTCTTTTGCCTGATGCAGATAATGTTACATTTTAGTTTAGCACAAGGCTAGCAAACTGATCATTTTAGGAGTTGTGGTTTCAATTCTGATTACAAAGCCAAACGTTATAATGCTGTTAAGACATAGCTCTGGTCCAGGCATTGGACGAAGATGGGGACTGAGCCTAGCACATCTATATTTGGGATCAGAATGTTATGGTGCTTGATTGTGTAATATAGTTTTATTTTGTGTTTTGATATTTTTAAATGTTACTACAAGCCACCCATTTTATAGTGCATGAGGAGGGTGGCCATATAAATGTTTTAAATAAATCAATATATTATAAATTCATAGCCATGCTGACTAAAATCTCCAAATTAGAGATGGAATTGGACAATGTACAATGTTATTTGTGAAAGCAGCCAAGACTGAGGAAGTCATTATTAAAAGACAGAATTCCTCTGATTAAATCATTATAGTAATGGGATGATTTCCAGTAGCCTCCACCCAAACTCTAAAGGAGGAAGGGAAGCCATGTGGAGCAGAACATTTGAAACTATTTCTTCATGCACAAGTTCCCATTATATTTTTTCTTCCACTTTACCATCATCACCAAGGAGATCACCAAGGACATCATCAATGGAACCTACAACAAGCCAGACAAAAGAATGAGTAGAAAATTCTGGGATAGCTGAAGCAAATTCAAGACCGTATCTTGAAAGGAAGACTCCAGACAGCAGTTGTGAATAACAAAAATAAAGTCAAGTCTACATGGACATCACATAGAGAGAATGGGGCCAAATAAAATGACTACAGAGTATGTTACAGAATGTTCTGAAAACCTGCTTCCAATTGGATTCAGCAAGGAAGTGCTGAAAAGCAAGGTTCTCATAAGGAAAATCTGTCCTAGAGAGCATAAATTTTTCAGTGTTCCCAGATCAATGACATGGGGCTCCCGGAAATCTGATGATAAGCTCATATACTATCAGAGGATTCAGTCAGAAATCTGAAGGTTTTCATGGATTCAATATCACATCCTAAAATATGGATGTCCAACCTTCTGGCTAGCCTGAGCCACAGTGTGTGAGGAGGAATTGTTTTGGGTCACATATAAACTATATAATATAGTTGTGAAGTTTCTGAAAGATGTCCTAATTAATTCATGAGCCACGAGCCAAACTTGAAAAGAAATACAGTCATTTATTAGGAGCACCATTTCGGCAATATTCGGATACAGTTAGAACTAATCCCACATAGATTTACATTCCCCTATGACCCTGTCTCTCCCCTCCTCCCTGGCCACGTCATAAATCACATTCTCCAATTAACCACTTTGGCTGGCCTCCTCCCTGGCCATGTCATAAATCACATTCTCCAATTAACCACTTTGGCTGGCTGTGAAACTCAAAACACTCCTACTGATTGTGGTAAGAAAGCATCTGTGGAATGTAGTTTCAGTTAGGGAAATCAATCAGCTCCATCAGTTCTCCCTCCCTCTTGCTCATGGCAACTTGAAAGCTTTGCAAGTTGACATTAGTTCATGTATTTAAATAACAAACTTTCTCTAATTTTACATATTTTTTATTATATCTTGTGAGGCCGCATTACCAGCTGTCCAGGGCTGCATGTGGGCCACAGGTTGGACATGCCTATCCTAGAGTATAAGTAAAAATGTAATAACATCTTTCTAAGACAAGAAAGTATAGAAAAGACACCTGGGAATCTCCATATTTGACAAATGACCAATCAAAGAAAACATGAAGCAGTTGGACACAATATAAAGCTTTTGTCTCAACTTTTCCAGCTAAGAATACTTGGCCTAAGAAAGAAGGAAACCCCACCTATAGCCATGGAACATGGGATCAACCCATCTTCCCTAGCATACCACATCAGCTGATTAGATCAGCTACCCAATGTATGATGAAGTATGAGTGATTTATCATACGTTGTCAAATTTTGTTCCTTTTGATTCACTTCTCCTGTAACAGTAAAATAGTAGTATGTCATATTTGGGAGTTTCTCTTTAATAATTGGCTTGCCTGAAATCCACAGAGCAGACTGCTTTATTTTTGGAATGAAACCAATTAAAGTTTGCCAGTTAATTTAATATATTTTAGATGTTCAGTGTCAACCCAATACCCATTCTATGTTATCATTTATTTTAGCTACAGCAGTTGAAATACATAACTATCTGGATGCATAGACATCATTCCCAAATTACCATGGTTAGGTATACATCAAAACAATACCAAATAAACCAAAGTATGCTTTAACATGCTTGACCCAGTTATAATATTGACTTCATGTTCTTTTTTAATCAGGGTTTGGAATGGGTTGACCAAAACACAGTTGTGATGCAAGCTGAAGAGAGTTATGCAAGTTAGGACATGGAAGCACTGTCAAATGTAAAACATGCCTCTCAGTGAGCCACTATGTCTGCAGATTCTTTTTCAACTTTCTTGCTTTATGCCACTTACGTAAAATGATAGGATGCCATTCAGATCAAAATTTTTGTAACAAAGCATATATAATAGAAAACATTTTCTTTTGTACCTTTGAGTCATCTCCACTCCAGGCAAGTGCCTGGAGAAGTCAATACAGGTAGCCCTTGACTTAACGACCCCAACTGAGCCCAAAATTTCTGTTGCTAAGTGAGACAGTTAAGTGAGCTTTGCCTCATTTAATGGCTTTTCTTGCCATAATTGTTAAGTGAATCACCGCAATTGTTCAGTTTGTCAGGTATGCCTCCTTTCAGTAGTCAAGAAAGAAAAACCCTGACTCCATTTTTATAGAGAAAGGTACTTTTACTGAGTATGAACTGAATGCAACCAAAGAATAGCAAGGTCTGAGGCAATAGGCGCAAAAATCACATACAGAAAGCATCCCCAAAACCCTCCCCCCAAGGGACCAGTCAGGATTGACCAATCCACATCCCCCCAAGGTGTCAGGTGGGGTGCAGCTTCAGATGGCTCCATCCTTCTGGTATGCCAGAAGGTATGCCAGGACAGTTGACTTTGACTGGTTATCAGCACGCCTCCCAGCAGCAGAGAAAGCGCTGAGGGAAACTTTCTCCAATTCACTCCCTGTTACGAGACATCTCCACCAGCTTGCTTCCCCCCACCCAACTACCAATACAGCTCCTCCCCCTCCGTTACAATGGCAGCCGTAGCAAGCAAACAATATAGAAGCGGAGGCTGACACAGTTAATAACACAGTTGTTAAATGAATCTGGCTTCCCCACTGACTTTGCTTGTCAAAAGATTGCAAAAGGGGATCACATGACCCCAGGACCCTGCAACCATCATAGTCAGTTGCCAAGGGGCTGAAGTTTGATCATGTGACCATAGGCAAGCTACAACGGATCATAAATGTGAAAAATGGTCATAAATCACTTTTTCAGTGCTATTGTAACTTTGAATGGACACTAAATGAACTGTTGTAAGTCAAGGACTACCTGTATAGTTTTAGTGGCAGGATTTTTGGAAGTGATTTGCCTTTGCCTTCTTGCTATGGCTGACAAAGAGAGACTGGTGGGACTAGAATTCACAACAGCCTGGTGCTTTAATCACTACACCAAACTAGCTCACATGTAATTATATAAGAGTCATCAAATCAAAACATGGCAGAATGAGCACTTTGCCACAGAGATGAAAATAACAAGAGAGCAATTTGACTGCCCCAAATCCTTCAAAGTCCCTTCCAAGCACAACTGCTACAAACTGGTGGCATCACTTTCTGATATTCTAAAGTACAAAACATTTGAACATTGTAGTGCAAATCCTAAATTTAGTTTCCCCTATCTATCTCTGCTCATAAGCATATGGTCCTGTCCACTCTGGCTTTCATTTCTCAAAAATGAGTTAGTGCAGCCTCCTCTATGGATCATCTTTGATCTTAATGATAACTAGAAGAATTTAATTAAATGCATCAATTAATATACTTCTAAGAAAAAATAAACATTGCATGTTTTATTACTGTATTTGGAAACACAATTTACCAGGATGATGGTGCTTTTTTTTTATTATTATGTAACTACTATTGAGAAATGCCTGTCTTTCACCCAGTTAACCCAACTGATCTTACTGGGAGGGACAGGAGTAGGAACTTCAAAGCTGCTCTTGATGCAATCTCTTGAAACTGGCTTCCAATGACATTGCACGATCCATCGGAGCAACCTGTGAGGCTAATACTTAATGGATCCCAAGAAAGTAGAAACACAAATGCACTTACTTCTTAAACTTTTCTTAAGTTTCTTTGCCTAAAGAAGAAAAAGGATAAATATTTGGGTAGAAAAAAGAAAGCAAAGAGGGCAAATTGTCAAAACTGGATTAAATCTGGAAGTAAACAGATACAAGAATGAACAATTATGAACCTTTGGTTCTCTCTTATAAACCTTGAACTGACATATACTTCAAGGTAGTTTCTATTCAATCCAGATCAAATATAAATTAGATTTTATTTATTCTAATGTGAATACATTTTACCCTAAAAAAAGATACAATATACAATATACAATTCTGCTTCACCGATGAAAGTATTGCACCCTGGTACTTTTCAAACACATCAGATACCATTCTGCACAATCCCCAAAGGTCTTGGAATTATCAGATTTGATGGCCAAGACATCTGGAGGTTGCCCGATTGGACAAAGGCTACTTTTGATATTGTTCTGTTGCTTCCAACTCTTTGTGACCAAATAGACAATGTATATTTTGAAATTTTGCCTAGATTTGTCAGTATTTCTTCCAAGAAGTAGCTGTCTCTATTTCATGGAGACAATCACCACTCCTGTAGATTCTTGAGCTCAGGAAGATAATGTGTGTTATTGCTTTGGCTAGCTTTTTTAGCAGTTTGCATTGGGTTAATTGGCAGATTTGTAGGAGGTTGGGTTTTTTTTTTTTTAATGCTGAGCTTTCTTTCCCTTTTAACAACAGTCTTAAGTCTTCCTCACTTGCAGCTACCAAAATGATATTGTTAGCGTGTCTGAAGTTTAGTCTTTCTTTTACCTTCCAACATTTGTTTCTTCTAGCATCAGTGAACAATTTTCATAAGATAAATTCAATCAAACTTATTTATTTATTTATTTATTTTATTTTATTTCTATACCGCCCTTCTCCTGCGGGACTCAGGGCGGTGTACAGCCAAGATAAAACATTGCATATAAAATTTAAAAACAATTTAAAAAACAATTAAATAATTTCGGCCCAAGATTTAAAAACAACCCAATTAAAACCGAATTCAATTAAAACTGAGAGGATGGGATCAAGCCAGCCCGGCTAGATGGAATAGGTGTGTTTTCAGGGCCCGACAAAAAGTCTGGAGGTCTGATATCGTGCATATCTCAGGGGTTAGGTCATTCCAGAGGGCGGGTCTTGCCACAGAGAAGGCTCTCCCCCTGGGGGTCGCCAGCCGGCACTGTCTGGCCGACGGCACCCTGAGGAGGCCCTCTCTGTGCGAGCGAACTGGTCAGTGGGAGGCTATTGGCGGCAGAAGGCGGTCTCGTAGATACCCCGGCCCTAAGCCATGGAGCGCTTTAAAGGTGGTCACCAACATCTTGAAGCGCACCCGGAAGACCACAGGAAGCCAGTGCAGCTCGCGCAGGAGAGGTGTCATATGTGAACGCCCCGTCGCTCCCATAATCCCCCACGCGGCCGCATTCTGGACTAACTGTAGCCTCCGGGTGCACCCCAAGGGGAGCCCCATGTAGAGAGCATTGCAGTAGTCCAGGCGGGAAGTGACGAGTGCTTGAGTGACCGTGCATAGGGAGTCTCGATCCAGAAAGGGGCGCAACTGGCGTATCAGGCGAACCTGATAAAAAGCCCCCCTGGCCACGGCCGTCATGTGCTCTTCTAAAGACAGCCGTGCATCCAGGAGGACACCTAAGTTGCGAGCCCTCTCCGTGGGGGCCAGTGATTCGCCCCCAATAGCCAGCGATGGCACCAGCTGGCTATATCGGGACGCCGGAAGCCACAGCCACTCGGTCTTGGAAGGGTTGAGTCGGAGCTTGTTTCTCCCCATCCAGGCCCGCACGGCCTCCAGGCACTGGGACATCACTTCAAGGGCATCGTTGGGGTGGCCTGGGGTGGAGATGTACAGCTGAGTATCGTCAGCGTACTGATGGAACTCCACCCCAAAGCCACGGATGATCTCACCCAGCGGCTTTACATAAATGTTGAAATGTGGTGTTCCACATTCCATCTATTGTTGTAAAGGTATGTGACAATAATCTTGAGGGATGAGGGAAAGAGATGCTACCTGGGAAATGATCAGATAAGATTAAGCCTATGGGAACTCCTCCCTCTTTTGTCTACTCATTTTCTAGGCAACATCTCTCCCCCTTGTCCCTCAAGGTCATTGTCATGTACCATTACAACTGCTAACAAGATAGCTAACAAAGTAAATGATCATCTTGATTCATGTGGACTTCTATGCTACACAAATATGGTGATCCTTGCAATGGATAAACAGGAGAATGGTAGCTAGATTCCAAGATATTGCTGAAAAAAAAGACTACACTGAATTTGATTTCAAAACAATTAAGAATTGTTTTGTATTCAACTGATGCAATCTAAGGGATTGGTTTATTCATCTATTGAATATATTTCCCACAGATTTCACTCTGGACTTATGTCTTGACTTACTGTACTCTAAGGGCAATGGATAATATAGAGGACAGCATGGTTATTACTTATATTGGTTTCTATATAAGTGATATGAACCATTTCACTGAAGTATTCATGAGCCTCGGTTGCCCAAGAGTTGGGTTGAGTAAGGATTTTATGAGAAGAGAGTTAAAATGAAGAAGTAAAGATGCAGGATGAACTCCAAGTGTGATATCTCTTCATTAGACTCTTTCTGTGTACATAAGGTCACCTCCCTTTTAATGGACAATAAAAGACCCACCAAGAATTGCTGAATTTGAAATCTTATCAATTCTAACAAACATAGTCTAATACATACGGTGTCATCTAATAACCTTGGGAAAGTTTGTTTTACCTAATTTGCTCTAAAGAGACATGCTTGGAGAGATGGAGTTCTTGTTTTCTTGATGGCTAAATTGGCTGAAAGTAGGCTATTCTACATTACAGATACTTCTCACTTAACAAATTACCCCAGTAATTTGTACTGGGGATGCTAAGTGATGCAGTCACATTACATCATGCTATATTTCTAAAATGCAATGTCACTGCATCGCTTAACATCGGCAATCATAGCAAGTCCCACTGCCATCATTAAGGGAGGATCATGGATGGTTCAGCAAGGATCTCCTTGCAACTTGCTGCCAGATTCCAACAACCAAAGTCAATAGGGAAGCCAACAGATAGATTTAATTTTCAGGCACCTTGCAAGCAGGCTGGCAAGCAGGTTAAGTGCCAAGTGGAAGGGGTGTGCAGATAGTTGCAGTGGTGCATGTGAGCAATTTTGGGCCTAGGGGTAGCTGCTACTGGGCGGAAGAGACTTGCCACATTGACTTGCAGCATTTCATGCCAGCTTTCCCATTGACTTTGCTTGTGGAAAGTTCACAAACAGTGATCATGTGACTGAAGGGCACTGCAGCCAAGTACTCATATCACAATCATGTGATCATGGAGGTACTGAGAGAGCCAGAACTTTGAGGAATGATTGTAAGTATAATTTGTTCACCGCTATTGCAACTCTGAACAGTCACTGAAGGCTAAGCAAGGACGACCTGTATGCCTATGATCCAACAGAATCACTTGAGCACTATGTTCATTCTTACCATCTCATGGTCTCTAATTGCATTGCTGTATCTCTTGCAAGTGATTTTCTCAAGTTTTCTTCATGTATAGACATATATCAACCAACAATTTCTCCAGCCTTTCTCACTTACTGTACAATGCAAAATAAAAATATAATTTGTTAGGATTTTTAAAGAATCCTAGCTGACATTTATAGCAGCATTTAAATCTTGCAGCACGCCCTATGTATTTGTTAGACACACTGATCCATTAAACAGCTGACCACATTGTAGCCTAGTAAATTATGAGGTCTCACTGTGGCTGTTTGCACAACATTCAACATAGTTAATTTAATTAATCCTGACTGTGTGAGCCATAAGCTGCCCTAACTGGGTTTGGATAACACAGCAAGCTAAAATATTGCTATGTTTTTTGCAATTCTGTCTGTTGTGCAAACTCAGCTTGTGAGCTTCCCATTATCACCCAGTTTCACACAGCTTGTACAAACTTCAGAGCTTTCTAAATCCAGTAGACTAGAGGGTCCAAAATTTGGGGCTCTCCAAATTTCCATCATCTAGTCCAACATACCAGAGCAAAGAATGCTTCCTTAGCTAATATACTAATATTCTTTCTAATGGCATGTGACTATCATCAGATCAACAGGTTGCCTCTGATACTTATTACATCCTGATAGTTTGTCACAATTATTCCTAATTAGTGTCTTCCAAGTGTGTGGGACCTCAGTTCTTACAATCATCCAGCACTTAGAGGCTCCAGTTTGGGGAAGGTTAATCTACAGTTATGAGCAAAACAGGCCACTGAAATTGAGAGCATAGATCAGGGATGGCTAACCTTTTTGCCATCGTGTGCCAAAAGCAATGGGGAGCATGGGGGGGGTCGAGCGTGCATGTGCCCACACCCATAATTCAATGCGCCCCACCCCCCCATGCATGCACGTGCAACCCCATGCGACCCCGCTTTTGGCAGGTGATGGCACCGTGGGCCTGGTAGGCCCATTTTTTGCCCTCCCCAGGCTCCAGAGGCTTTCTAGGAGCCTGGGGAGAGTGAAAACAGCCTTTCCCATTCCCCCGGAGGCCCTCTGGAGGCCAGAAATGGCCTGTTTCCTGACTTCCAGTGGGCCCAAAAGACCCAAAAGTCAGCGGACCAGTACACGCATGCAGGCTGGAGCTGATCTAGTGCATGCTCACGTGCCCACAGATATGGCTCCGCATGCCACCGGTGGCACGCGTGCCATAGGTTCGCCATCACGGGCATAGATAATGATGATAGAAGCGTGTGGCCTTGTTTTCATTCTCTGTAGGTGGAGTTGGGAGAAGGAATTTTTCCTAAATATAAGATTCTCTTATACTATTATTACTATTTCATTAAACTTGTATTTTGCTTCAAGGGCTCTGGGCAATTACATTATGTAAAACTCTTTAATTCAGATATATCTAGAGACAAGCCATTTCAGGAATCTACTACCAAAATTAGTGATCCCAGGGCCTAGGTTAGAAAGTCAAGCCATAACAGGGGCAAATCTCATTCTAATTGTTGCCAAGAAATCTACAAGGATGTGTCAAAGAAAACACCAGAAGTTGAATTTTTTTCAAGACAATTACCTATATCTTAGAAAAAAAACCCTCTCTCTCTATATATATATACATATATCTATATCTATATCAAATATATCTATATCTATATCTATATCTATATCTATATCTATATCTATCTATCTATCTATCTATCTATCTATCTATCTATCTATCTATCTATCTATCTATCTATCTATCTATCTATCTACATACAGAACTATACACAGTTACTGAAGCTATATAAACCCAACACCCCTTAGGAACCCTCAATATATCTACCTACCTACCTACCTACCAAACTATACAGCGTTACTGTAGCTGTATATACCCAACACACCCCTAACCAGTGGCTTGCTAAATGAATCCAATTACCTGCATTTGCACAAAGGGTTGAAATGTAAACAGGATTCACATAATTGCATCCTAACCAACCAACCACATTGCAGATTAGCCGGTTGTGTAGCAGGCTGTGTGTTTCGACTCATTCATGCTGATTAACTTTGTCCTAGTTACGTCTACCACTCAAGATGCCGGAAGCCACAATGTGTATCGAATCAAGCCGTTGTGATCCACTTGAACGACGGTTGCAGCTCCCTTGCCTTTTACCTACTACAGCCTGATTCACCGTTACTTACTGGAACACAACTCAGTTACCATAGTAGCCAATGAGCAGCACTCGCTACAGACACTCGGTTCCCCGCACAGAGCAGAATCAATCTTCTAGTCCTCGGACTAGGAGCCGCTTAGAGCCTCTGGGATCCCCCGTTTACCCACCGCCCTTTCCCGTGTTTCTCCTTTGAAAAAGGGAGAACAGCCTAACTAACACCCGTCTCCCCGGATGACCGTCTACTTATCAAACCAGCGACTCGCTTGCTCTTTCCCCACAACAGCTGCAAAGGAAATGCAGATTGACCGACTCCCGCCTAACTCAGCCCGTGTGCTTGCCGGGACTGACGAAACAGGAAATCCCGGGCTTCCCCCGCGGGGATTATGCACGGAACTGGGCTCGGTGTCGGGCTGTGTGCGTGATGGTGCTACAACCTAAACGTTGAGGCCTTGAATTATTCCTGCATAATCAGCAATTTTCAGCCATTGCTAAACCGTAGGCGGGTTTCATCTTTCTCACCGCCTACCGGCGATGCGTTGCTAAATTGCTATTGAACTTAATTGACCGGAGCAGGATCAGATTTCAGAAGGGCCCGTGAGGACTGGTGATCCAGGGCAAAAGCACGCCTCTATTACGCCTTCCCCCCCACACACCTTCTAGGAGAGACGGAGGATGATAGCCAGCTAAACGCTGGCCCTTCACACACCCTGGTCTTTTACGCAGACGATTCTTGGAAATTATTCCCAATGCCATTATTATCCCCTTCAAAAGAAAACTAAGAGAACCGAGCCATATTTTTCTTTCTTGCAGCCTTTTAATATCGCCCAGTTTGCTGAATTTCCGTAGCACTAAAGTGAAGCTGCTGTTGGCACTGCCATCAGTAAACATTATGTGTCATATCTCTACGCAAGACCCGTTGCTTCACCCTCTCATCTTTTTCTTCCCAAACTAGAAAGCTTGCAACTTCTATCTAAAGGATCTCTTTTCATCCCCCCCCAGTCCCCCCCCCCCACCCTGGGGAAAAAAAATCCTCCACTTAAAATTAAATTTTTTGTCATGTCCTCAGTTTGGCCTGTCCCCCTTTGCAGGGTTGTTTCTGACAAACCATTTTTCCAGTGACCTTTAAGCTAATGAAAATTACACACCAAAAACTATTAGTAGGAATGAGCAGACGGCTTGGCGAATACTTGGAAAAGTATGTTTTACTGTTGGAAAATTAGTTTATTAAGTACACCATATTTTCTGCACAAGATGTCAAATAGTCTTTTATTGCAGTTTTTCATTTCCAGTCAGCATTGTACACAGAAATCCAGTATATTAAGTACAGTTATATTAGATATATCAATAGTTAGGACATTACAATTATAAAGAGCTTTTGTTTCAGTTGTAATATTTTTTCTTCTTGCTCAAAGTTCGCAGTATAAGAGCACCTTTAGCTCTTGAACAGGGATACATATCTAAGATGTCAACTCTCCAATGTTAATGAAATTCCTTGGTTTGTGATCCAAGTCTTGATTTGTTACTGAAGCTGAATCCAACTGATCTGCAATTTTGTCATGGTAATTTCACACAATAAAATTCTACACAATGCTAAAATGTTAGCCTGCTAACAGTAATCTAGAGCTGAGGTCCTTTAATGTGATTACATATTCTCTCTAGCCTTCTGAGAGCCAGACCGTGTAGGCTGATGGGTCTACCAGTCTGGACCTTCTTCTCATCTATGATTACATGGGGCAAAAATCCATGTTCCACTGTTTTAAAAAAAATGAGTGTTTCAGGAAAAAAAATGTCTATGATTATAACCAGACATAGGAATCTTAAATACTATTTATAGTTTGTGTGGAGCAAAGATTTTCCCTCCCCAGTGGCTTTGCAAGTTAGAAATGATAACATTGTTTGCTATGGAAAAGGACTCCTGACATTTTCCCATTCAATTTTCCTGAACACCCAGAGGACAAGGCAACACTTTTAAAAAGGAAAAAAAAAGCGGCTTGAGAGATATCTTGCCTGTGTGCTATACAGGGCCGGATTTTCCAATAGGCTAACTAGGCTTCAGCCTAGGGCCTCAAGATCAAGAGGGGCCTACATTCAAATTGTTAGCAAAATTAAAATTACACTTTCACTATAGGTGAAAGGGCCTCATAAGTGGAATAGCCTAGGGCCTCTTTTCATCTAAATCCGGCCCTGGTGCTATAGACAGTTTTATGGGAAATGTAATATAGAACACTTGCATGCCATTTGGAATGCAAAAAGTGAAATTGTACACAAAAGTTAAGAATGACTCTTACTAGGACAGATTGCACCCATAAGGCAAAGAATCATCCATTCCTGGAACACCAGACAGTTATATACATACACACATAATATTTGTGCAAGGTCCCTGAAGCCCAATTCCTGACAAGGCTGTGAAAATCTTACAGCGGTAGGTAAGTGCAGGAGGGCTTTGACAACAACTGCCTCTTAAGGTGGCATTAATGCTAAAAAAAATGTGCAAGACCATTTTTAAACGAGCTTCCGGAGAAGTTGCTTCTACTCAATAACTGCTTTCTAGAACTACTTAGTAGTGAAAAACCTGCTATAGATAACACAGCTTCTGTAGAGGCTTAAAAGGGTCACATACTGACCCTTATACATCAATCTATAAAGCTTTTCTGCCTCATTAAAAAGAATAGTTTCTGAACATAATTAAAATTGCATTTTCATCACTGTGTTTCCTTGCTCTAATTCATTCAATATTAATTTTTTAAAAAGACTACAATTACTATCCTATGGCTATTTGGATTTGCCAAGCGCTTCAGATGTTCATAGGGCAAATTATATTATTTCAAGAAACTAAAGTACACTCAAAATCAAACAAAATGTTATCACAGTTTAGCCTGCAATGACTTCAGGTGTTTGTGGAAAGATTCATGGACCTAGAGGGAAAAAATAAATAAGAGGGGGCATTAATTTTAAAGACATACCACACCTCGCTTCTTACTAGGACAATACATTTCCCAATAAGCGCACATTGGACTGTTGTTTTAGTGATTTCAGCTATACAAGTGCAATTGCCATTAAGAATAACACCATATCTAGTGAAAAATAATAGCATCAAATCCATTTCTATTAAGAGAAGTAAGAAAAATGTCCAGCATTCTCTAGTATTTTGGCAGAAAAAGTAGATTCATAGTAGCTTCCTTATCCAGATAGCTTTAGTTGCTATAAGTATCCCCATAATCAGAGAAAATTATACAAGTATTCAAGAATTATATAAAACAAGCCATTTTCATCATTAGCAAAAAAAACATACAGCAATTTTTATTGACATTGGACAATCAGTTTATGAAGTTGTAGATCAGTATAACCACATGTTCTCTAACTGCCATTATTTTCAATATGGCAGTCCTGGCTTCTGTAAACTAATTCCCCATTAGATCTAAATAAATTACAATAGGAATTCCTCCTAAGGAAAGCACAGAATCATAATATATTTCTGTAACTTCATAAAATAATAGTTCATGAATCTGCAGATGATCATTTGTGTACGTCTGCAGGTTCATAAAGTATATTTGTGAACTGATTTTTAAATCTATGCATTTTTAAAATATTAGTTAATCACTTCTTATTTTATTGTAAATAAAGGTAATCCTTGACTTACAACAGCAATTGAGACTGGAATTTCTGACATTAAGCAATACAACTACATTGTTTACTGATGGCAAATTCCTGTAGTCCTTTTATTATGGTTAACCAAATTTCATGGATGTTAGGCAAGGCAACTTCCTGCTGGCTTCCCACAGCTAAGTCTGTGGGGAAACCAGCAAGAAGTTGTAAGTCCCAGATGGCTTACAAGCAACCTGGCAGAGAAGGTAAGTGGATGCTGTTGGGTGGAGGAGAGTGTGAGGGAGGAAGGACTAGGCTTGGAGAGGATTCATGAAGAGCATGAGTGTCAGGGGAGAGGCAATGTGGCTCAGAGAAGATGTATGGGAGCGGCCGGTGTGGAGACAGAGAAGCTGAAGGAGATTGTATGAGTGGGGAGACTTACCACAATGACTTGCAACCTTCCCTGCTGGCTACCCCACTGACTTTCTGGGGAAGCTGGCAGGGAATGTTGGCAATCATGTGATACTGCAACTGGCCGTAAATGCAAGCTGGCTGCCAAGGGGGGGTTTTGGATGGCTGGAATTCTGAGGACCAGCCAACACCATCATTCATTCAGCACCTTGGTAACATCAGACTGTAGCTGACTGAATGATCATAGATTGAGGACTTCCTGTATGTCTTATGAGCCTTTAGTATCTGGTTGACAAAAGCAATTATGTACTTACCTGTGTTTTATTTAGTGGTGACTTCTTTGACCACTCAAACATATTTTCATATATGTTACCATCATACCGGCCAAGCACAGATCCAAGCACAGCATCACAGAAATCAAAAGAATCCACCAGAGCTACTGCATTAGGACGGATAAGAGCCAAGAGTTCTTTTATACGCATGTTCACTTGAATTAGCTGAGCCTCTGTCAAAATGCCTCCCTGAAGCAAAAAGAATAGTTCAAAACAGTCAGAGCTCTACACCTCTAAGTGCTTATTAATCATTACAGGGAGAATTAATACAAAAGTTGATCTTTTAGATCTGTAAACAAATCTGACCTGAACTTTAATTCTAAATAAACAATTAAGATTGCAAATGGGTACCTGTATTTTTTTTAAAAATGGCATTGCTTTTCTTAAGAATAAAATTACTGTTATCGTGATGAATCTTCATCTATTCCAATGTTCATCTACTAAACTTTTTAGGTCCTTGGTATGATAAAATACCTTCCTGCTCCCAATTTTAAGAAGATCCAGATTTAGCAAAGCATCAGTGATATCACTGTGAGATCTTTGGCAACTATCCTGTGAGCTATGGTAAGAATTCAACCATTTACAGTTTTTATACCATTTTCACTTAATTTTGGAGGGCTGAAAATGTCATTTCAGCATAATATTTTCAATTTAGACATTGTAATTCCCAAGGGCAAAATAGGGCTTATATGTTTATTTACATTCCATAAACAACTGCTTTGTATGGCAAAGATGTAGTCCAAATCCAACAAAGGTGTCTTTGTTTTATCCATGGTAATCTAACTTTGCCTTTGTTATTAAATTCACAAGATTGCTCACTTTTTCCCTACAGGTCTGGTTAATTTATATCTCAACTACTCTGTCTAACAGAACCATTCAGCTCAAAGTAGAAATTATTTACCCACCTGTAGAAAGTCTCCAGAGTTCTTTATAATCCCACATAGAGCATACAGTAAACACAAATTGTTAATGACAGCATGGATAGCTGGGTCACCAATTTCTGAAAGCTTCGCTGTAAACAGTTTGACCACCACATAGTGACAGTGTGCCTGAAAAAGTTAGATGACATATTGAAGTGACTTCAGGTGTTGTAAAACCCAACAACTACCCAAGAGTATCTATCATATTCTGAGGTGCTACTGACCTCAGATGCTCGTACTAGATCAATGGAAGTCCGGTTCCAAGCATCTTCTTTGCTTTTCCGACGGTTCAGTTCAGCCTGTAAATTTTTTGCTGCAAACTCAACCATCCTGTATCATAGAAAAACATGAGCACAATTTATTATACTTGGAATTGAGGCCATAAATAACACTCAGCTAGTGACATCTGAAAATTGATATGGCAGGGATAAATATCCATAGCCTCAAATGTCTGATGGTTGACCGAGCCAAAGATTTAAAATCCAAACTCAATTCAGCTTTTATTCCTAGTGAAGTTTGGCCTTTATTCCTAGTCTGTAAGATGAACAATAATAATTCCCATTCTCTCACAAAGCTGTCAATGTAGATTTTGCCATTAAATGGAAGACAGTCTCATTCTTATGGCCTAAATGCTACTTTTAATATTGCTCTCAGTTGATCATAATGGATGAAACCAAGGCCTTTGAGTGTTAACACTTCAATAGTAACAGTGACAGTTGTTCTGGTTTACTTCCCCATTTATTTTGCTTGCTGCTTTCTAATGTGCCCTATTTTAATAGTAATAACAATATTTGGAACATCACTGCGTGAAAAGTTATTTATTCCTTCTATTAGTCATATGTTGAGAATTGAGGGTAATATGCTGTTGTTATTAATAATTTTATTAAACTTATCAAGCTATAAAATACAAAGGAAAATGAAAATAGTGGGAAAATGGAGGAGGCAAAAGGGAAGAGAAAGAAGTGCTGGATAAGGGTGGGAAAAGAAACGCATTGACTTCTGACTCTTTTTTACCAAAGTAGAAGAAAATAGTAACATTACAGCAGCGACATTTTACTTTTACATACTTAATATACACCAGCCATTTCTATAGCAAACTTATCTCACCAGCAAAATCCAAAGTCAAAAGGTGATATAATGTTAACGTAATTTGTGTTACCACTTGATTGAACATAATAATACTTTCCCAGTTTGGAATTTTAGCTATATCTCAGTTCACAGTAAGGAAGCAATTGCATTTGACCTTGGCCAAAAGTCACCCCAGGATATAACTGTACAGAAGCAGTTTTAGTACCACTGCTCTGAAACAAAGCAGGAATGCTGGAATCTATTAGATAGCACTGGCCCTTTTTCTTAGAAAAAGATGAAAAAGGGATTTGACTTTTATTTTCTGGGTCAGTAGTAGTGTTTTTAAAGAGATTTTCAGGGGTACTATCCCTTGATCAATTTTTGAAATAACTGATCTCCCAAATCATGCTATTCTAAACGAATCTTTTTTTTACAGTGTTCTATCTCCTGCAGGGCCCATTTCAAACTGTTCCATAAAAGATTAATTACTGAGCAGTCTGTCTTCTGCCTCGTCTTCCTCTCAAACTTGCAATGTTCTGGGAGGTTCTGCCCTAGCAACATATAGTTGCTACACCCCGATACATCTTTCTGGTAACTGTCAATTAGTAGCTTGCATTCATCAGTTAGAGCTGGGTCCATAATTTGAACCATGTAAGGCCATGTTAGCAGCAACTGGCCAATCCCACCCAGATCAAATCAGTCGGATATGAAATTGTTAGAATGAAGTAACCAAGGAAGCAGCTTAGTTAATAAAAATGAGGGAGACAAGATGAGCAGTCCGAAATTACGCTGAGAAATTTCATAACCTTTTGTATTGACCTACCTTGAAGCTCTCAATTTATATGCCTCCACCAAACTGGAAGGATTGTTGACATGCAGAGTTGTGGGTCTAGCAGCTACATGCTGGGGCTGAATATGCTGTCCTGATAGGTCATTCAGGTAAGACATAATGCCACTAACTATTTGTCCAGAACTAACTTGGGTATAAGTTTTGACAAGGAATCTAAATGCAAAACAAAATTATCTCAATGTCATATGATGGATCATCATCAGCATAATTTTTATCTATAGTTGCACAATAATTTCAAAAAATGTTTATGGGATAAAATTATGAAAGTAGAAAAGATATCAATAATCAACATAGCTCATGTCAGTTTAGACATAAAACCCAGACTGGGTCAAAAGCTGCACTTAACCAGAATATTTCATACATTGATCTGCTGGTCACACTCTTCTCTTTTCTTCCACCTTCCACCTAGAATTAGAGCCCTCTCTAGAGAGCTAGGTCTTCACATAATGTATCTGAAGTAGGATAATTTGAGCCTGATAATTTGTTATCTCAAATGTGAACCAGGGTTGAGTTGTTCAGTGATCCACTTGTTTATTTTCTTGGCTGTCCACGGTGTTCTTAGGAATCTTCTCCAACAACCAAAGTTTAAAAACATCAATATTTTCCTATCCTGCTTCAAGCAAAAGTCCAACTTGCACTTCCACAGGGTGTCACAGGGAATACTATTGCTTGCACAATTCTGATCTTGGTAGATATAGACAACCATGGCATCTGAATATCTTTTCCAAGGCTTTAATGTCTACTCTACCATGTGCTAATCTGGGACATATTTCCTGATTGCTTGTTCCTTTACTGTTGATGTTTATGGAGATTCAGGTTACGGTTGTCCCAAAAGTGCTTTTTCAAGAGGCAACTGGACTTTCTGATTTTTCTTTGAAGAGATTTCGCTTCTCATCCAAGAAGCTTTTTCAGCTCTTGGATAGCTGAAGAAGCTTCTTGGATGAGAAGCTGAACCTCGTCAAAGAAAAATCAGAAAGTCCAGTTGCCTCTTGAAAAAGCACCTTTGGGTTCATTGTTGATGGTTGACCCTAAAAGACAGGAGCTATGTACCATTTTGATATCTTGATTATCATTCTAAGGGTGGTTGTTCTACCTGTTGTCATTAGTTTGGTCTTCTTTCATTTAATTGTAGTCCCATTATTTTTCACCATGTTCCTTGACTTTTATTAGTTGCATATCTTTGCATTTTGGGTTATTCAAATAGTATCTTCAGCTCAAGTTATTATGTTTCTTCCTTGCTGTTAGAGTGCATGCAAAAAGTCACACAGCTAACAATAAGTGGTATGACTCACCGGGCAGTTTGCAACATCATCACAGTGTTCTCTCCTTCATAAGTGCAAGAAGGAGTGAAGTTGACGTAAATATCAGGCAAACCACTGCAGCGGGAATAGCCATGTCCCCCACATGCCATTCGACATTCCTCAATGCCAGAGCTGGCAGTCCAGGTACTGAAAGCCTTGAGCCCTGCAGACAGTGCGTGCAACTGAGAAAGAAAGTAATTAAGAACAAAATAATTATTTCTTCCAGATTTGTCCTGTCACTAAATTCTATCTTCCTGAATTTTTGGTGGAGTGTGGAAGAGAGACGAGATTAAGAATGGTAATCCAGATTATCTCCAAGATCAAAATTCTTCCTTAGAGATTTTAAAACTCCAAGAAGGGACATTCTGTCAAGACATAAAGCATACTGTTCTATCTAGATTTTAAAAACACTTCGAACCAGCATAGCAAAACATAAGAATTCCTCCCATAATCTGTCATGTCCACTTTTCGATTTACACCAGTGCTACATTTATTTAAATCATTTCTATAGCTGCTGAACTCAGACCACATGACTCTTGAGCTTTGGATGTGTGTGTATGTATATATATATATGTATAGATCTTTGGTTATTCAGGTTTTCTCCTGCGTAAAATTGGAAGTGTCTTGGCGACGTTTCGACGAAGTCTCATTCGTCATCTTCAGGCTGATGTTTTCGGCTTCGTGCTTCTAGGAGCAATGTGTGTGATCGCAGCTGTTTCTTTCTTTTAACTGCCAGTGGGGGTGTGAGCTGATTGGGTGGGAGCTTGGCTGTGTTCTGATTGGGTGGAGGTGTGTTCTGATTGGTAGGGGGTTTGGCTGTGCTTGATTGGATGGGGGTGTATTCTGTTTAGGTGGGGGCTTGGTTGTTCTCAGGTTAGTCTGAGTTGCAGGGGATTTGAGCTGGTGAGCTGTGTTGCTGTTGTTTGGCTTCACGTTCGTGGTCGTGCCACATCTTCATGGTGGGTGTCAGTTTGCTTCATGTATAGATTGAAGGGGTTTAAAGTGGCTAATGATGCAGCTGTGGTCTGGCTTCTGGTTTGTGGTCGTGCCTCATCAGTGTGGGTTTGCTTTTTGCATGGATGTGTGGTGGTGACATCCTGTGTGGTTTTCGTGAGTGGGGTCTGGTGTCACAGAACACCAGACCCACACTCTTAAAGTGTGAGTCTGTGGCCATAAAGCCACAGGACATGATATTGATTTTAAAAAGACCAGAACTATCGCCAAAACCGAACACTTTAACAACAGAATAATCAGAGAGGCCATCGAGATAGAGAAACGCCCACACAGCATGAATAAACGAGATGATACCTCCCGCCTACCAGCCATTTGGAAACTCATTGACAAACGAGTCCCTAACACAAAGAATGACACCAGACCCACACTCACGAAAACCACACAGGATGTCACCACCACACATCCACGCAAAAAGCAAACCCATACCGATGAGGCACGACCACAAACCAGAAGCCAGACCACAGCTGCATCATTAGCCACTTTAAACCCCTTCAATCTATACATGAAGCAAACTGACACCCACCATGAAGATGTGGCACGACCACGAACATGAAGCCAAACAACAGCAACACAGCTCACCAGCTCAAATCCCCCTGCAACTCACACTAACCTGAGCACAACCAAGCCCCCACCTAAACAGAACACCCCCCATCCAATCAGAGCACAGCCAAACCCCCTACCAATCAGAACACACCTCCACCCAATCAGAATACAGCCAAGCTCCCACCCAATCAGCTCCCACCCCCACTGGCAGTTAAAAGGAAGAAACAGCTGTGATCACACATTGCTCCTAGAAGCACAAAGCCGAAAACACCAGCCTGAAGATGACGAATGAGACTTCGTCGAAACGTCGCCAAGACACTTCCAATTTTACGCGGGAGAAAACCCAAATAACCAAAGACCTACATACAAACCACCGCGAAAACATCCGGAAACAGCTTACAAAAATTTGCAGGAGAAATTTTCAGGAATGAGTCCAAATCAGAATTTAGGTTCCATTATCAAGCTTTTGTAAATAATAATAATAATTTAAATAACTGGCAAACCACAAGTGGAACTCAAATCATTTTTAATTATTTGATTTGTTGGTCTAAACAGTGAGGTTACAAAAATCATCTTGTAGCCCTCATCCCAGTGGTCAGCTTATCCCTCTCATCTATTCTTATTACAAGAACATTCCACAAAGGTGTTCCAAATAGAATTAGAATTAGAATTCTTTATTGGCCAAGTGTGATTGGACACACAAGGACTTTGTCTCTAGTGCATAAGCTCTCAGTGTACACTATTACAACAAAAGTGATAGATCATTATCATAGTCATTGTAAAAATACATTCATCATAAAACATTAGATGCAACACTTAGTGATAGTCACGGATACTAAATAAGCAATCAACATAAATCATATTAGGATACTAAGTAAACAATATAAATTGTAAAAAAACAACAGAACTATCACAGAGCATTTCACCGAGACAGCCGTTGACGCCATCTTGAATTCAATTTAAGTGAGGAAGACAAAGGGATTTAAACTGAGAGAGTATCAATCATGCCTAAGAATTTATCTGTGATATTCAGAGGCCCTCAACCTTTTTTTCTCCCCCTGATTCTAATCAGTTCCTTCCCAGGAATTTTCTTTATTCCATTATCTTGAAGGAACAAACTAAACCATGTAGTTGTCAATGGCAAAATTCAGTATTCTGTAAGATCATGAGCCCCACCTCTGGCAGTTCACTCAAGTCTCCATCCTGGATGTTCCCGGTGATGCGATGATATGTATCTTTCATATATGCACCCACAAAGTGGAAAGCATATGCTGTTGCTAGGAGAGGAAAGAGTTTGTACTGCTGAGTCTGATAATCCAAAATCTGAGGTTCTGGTTCCCTATAACAAAGCAAATAAAATAGAGAACTAAACCATTATTGCTATGATTTAATTCCTTAGTAATGGAGAAAACCAAAGACTTACACTGTCCTAAAGGTATATTCTGATAACATATACATTTAAAGCACAAACATATTTATTTGTAAAAGTAATATTGGCTTGGTCCAATATGTGGCCAATAAAATGACCGTATTTTTTGGACTATAAGACGCTCCGGACTATAAGGCGCACATTAGCTTTAGAGGAGGAAAACAAGAAAAAAAATCTGCCCGTTTACTGTGGCCTGTTTGCTGCAATTGGTGGCAAACAGGCAGTGGCGAATGGGCAGCGATAGGCGGCGGTGATCCCCAGTGCCTAGAACAGCTGATTGGCACCGCAGCAACCCCTACCCCCCACCACAATATTTGCTCTATAAGATGCACAGACATTTCCACCCACTTTTTGGGGGGGGGGAGTGCATCTTATAGTCTGAAAAATATGGTATTTCTTATTTTTTTTTCAACAAAAGAGGTTAACCAACTAGCAAAATACAGGCGAGAAGACCAAAAGGGGGAGGGAAGGAAAAAAATGGAAATAGTGAAATAGTTTAGGACATTAATTTAATTGTGAACAAATGGCTGCAGTTCTGGGATAATTCTATCTGATTCCTGACTCATTGTAGCTTATACTGTGGTTGCCATGCAATTGTTTACCATCTCCTTGACCCTTTTGTATCATCACAAATTGGCAGATTCCCAATAACAATGATTCCCAATATAGGGCTAGTCCTGACGACAGCTCTCATTCAACTGTGTGTAGTCAAAATGACCAAGAAAAAAAAAAGGTGTGTGTGTGTTAGATTTTCGGGGTGGGGTGGGGGTGTTAAACGTGTTTTCTTTTTACAAAGTAACTATTTCTCTGACTCACAAGATCTACAGTGGATGTTAAAATTGGTTTGCATAATTTACCAGCAAATTCTGCTTGTTAGATGTTCCAGGTAAGTCAGGTCAACAAATAGACCCCAGAAGGATTTACTAGGACTTATGATAGCAGATCCTTGGAAGTCTGACAGGGTTTTCTCCCTCCTTCCTATTATACCAAAGAGAGTTAAGGGAAGACAAGTCTGTTTCTAATGCTTAGTGGTTTTCCTCGAGCTTACGTTTTGCTAACAGATCCTGCACATCTTCTCCAAGGTCATCGCTAGGCTTTTCTACACTGTTCTTGTCAATTGCACTTCCCAAGAAAACTTGTTTTGAAAGTCAAACTTTTTGTTTTTTTAAAGAGGTCACACACATATTTTTTCACGGACAAAAGTGTTATGGGCAAGGTGGCAGAGAGGTTTGCCAATTGTTATAGCATTACGAAAACTGGCCTTAGGGATATTAATACAGGCTTCTTACCCAGGCTTTAACTCAGACTGATGTCTCACAGCACTATAGCGGATGGCAATTGTACAAGCTCTGGCTAAACTGCGAGCAGCATCTCCAACGATAAATGAACGGATGAATACCATGGTCCCATAAGTCAGCTTGGCATTGAGAGGCTTCACATATGTGCCATCTGGTTCAACCTAGCAAAATAAAATAGTGAAGGTGGAAAGAGTTTGTCCACCGAGCTGTGGTTTGTAAGGTTATAAAAATTAACATTGTGCTGTGTCACTGAATCCACTAAAAATGTCTTGTTAGGACCCTATTCAAAAGTATTTGGCATTTTAGAAGTAGTCCTACTCATTGGTGTTATAAATGAATGTTTTGGACATCACTGACCTGAAGTAACAGGTAAATAATTTAAGGTAAATAGATTTGCATAAATCTATTTTGCTAATTGTCTCGTGCTTGGCACATGGTGTGAAGCCAATGACATCATTCCCATGCTAACTAGGTCATATTATCTAAGCAGTTTCGTGTACATGGACAACAGAATTAATAGATAACATTAAGGTGGTTAAATAATATAGATGACTAGTAAATTTATGAAAAGGAAGACCAGATAGTTAACATGTTATTACCATTCCTTATGTAGAGGTGGGGAGGAAGCTAGAATCTATTTGACATTAATAGTCACCATGCCCTCCCATTTACTGCCTTCATTTGACAGGGACTCTTCCTCCTCTGTTACCATAAACTGCAAAAACACACTCTTGAACACACTTCCAGAAAGCTGAGTTCAAGAGCTGGTAGTGAGAAAACAGAACTCCCAGAAAAAATGAGACATAGCTGGATTTTACTTCTGATGGTCCTTTCTAACACAAACTTGGGGATTGCTTTTGACTGATGATCATTTACCTCCCGAGAATATGAAGCCTTGACTTTGGGTAGTTTCTCTTGTAAGCTGTCTGAACAGCTGGGTGTAGATAAATAGCAAAAATAAAACAAGACCCACTGTTTACCTTGGCATGTTTCATTAGCATATTTTCCCGGGGGATACGGAAGTTGTCCATTTTTAAGTAGCCATTATCTATTTCATCATAACCAAATTTTGGGCCAATGTCACCAATGGTGATACCTGCAAACAGAATAAGCCAAAGAAATTCATTTGGTTCTTAATATTCTTAATACAAAATTGAATGGGATGAGGAGGGGGGGTGTTCATAAAGTATCCTTTTTCCCAACATCAATTAGTTCAAAGTGCTGAATGGTGGAAGCACCAATGCTGCCAATTCCAAAACTGTGTCCTGAAAATAAGACTTTAAGGCCACAGGTGCAAAAATGTTCATTTCATTTATAGCGATGCATAGATATAGCTTTCTTTTCTTTTCTTTGCCCCCTAAAGCATTGGTGTCATTTTGTTCCCATCTTGAAAACAAAGTGATATTAAATTCACAAATTTTAAGACTGGAAATCAGGTTTTAATAATATTATTTTTACTCTGGCATTTTTAAAATAAGTTTTGGCTGTGATTTTCAGTTAGGAGTGAGTATTCAAACTCTGTCCATTCATCAATGCACAGGAAGGCTTTCATACTATCCAGATGAGTCGGCTATGGGTTCTTACCTAATACTACCTAATAGCAATAGCACTTAGACTTGTATATCACTTCATAGTGCTTTTAAAGCCCTCTCTAAGCAGTTTATAGAGTCAGCATATTGCTCCCAACAATCTGGGTCCTCATTTAACCGACCTCGGAAGGATGGAAGGCTGAGTCAACCTTGAGCCAGTGCGGATCAAACTGCCGAAGTTCTTGACATCAAATGCAAAAGGCGCTACAACTTTATGTTATCATTGCAGCATGGGCTAATACACACAGTTTTAGGGAATTTTAATATTACTTGAACCTTACTTGAATTATGACAAATTAAATCTAATTAATGGATAAATGATTATTTTTGTAAAAATGGATTCTGTTCAGCAATCGCACCATGGCAGTTTCAAGTTCCATATTCTTTACAAACTGTTCTTGTAATGCTAATAACATGCTTTAAGGCAGCGGTTCTCAACCTGGGGGTCGAACGGCCATTTCACAGGGGTCGCTAAAGCCCTCTCTCGCGCCCCCCCATGCCTTCACTCACCCTCACCCTCTGCCTCTGTTGGATCGCCGTTTGCCGTTCGCTTACCCCACCCACTCCCAATCTATTGCTGCCTCCTGGTTCCCAGCTGATGGCTAGAGGGAAAAAAACTGTTTAAATTCTTGCCGCTGGGCTTCAAAGGGCCACCCTACAGCTGATCAGTGTTAAAAGAAAACAAATGAATAGACTGGTGCCTGCAAAAATAGAAAAAACAGCCCCTTAAAGCTTCAGCATAGGTTAATTACCATAAGTTGATTTGATCAGCCTCCAGACTCTCAGCTGATTTGCTCTCAGCTGTTTTGCGCAGGGCTCTGTTCTGTTACTAGCTGCAAAGAGTTCCTGGAGCAGATTTTTTTCCTCCTAGCTATGCTGAAAAAGGAAACTGAAAGTAAAGCAGGGTTTTTGCTGCCACGTGACAAAATGAGGCAGAGAGATATTTCTTTTTCTTTTTCCTCACCAAAAAAGGTAGGTGCAAAACTGCAAACAATGGGAAATTTAGGGCAAAAGAGGAGAGTTCAAGATTTTAAAGCACAAAAGAAAAAAAGCTCTATTTAACTAGGGAATTGTAATAATTGAGATACTATTAATTGTATATTGTATTGAAAACAGAAATGGTTAAGTTGTGGTTTGGAGGAATATATGGGGGAAATTATTTGGTTTATTATTATTGGTAAATATAATTAATTGATTTGTAAGAAATTGGATTGCATGGAAATAATTGGAATATTCATGTTCATATTGATTAATATACAAAAAAGATAGTTATATAACTAATTGATTTATATTAAAATGTTGAATTTGTATTAAACAACTGTATTACATAATTATATAATTAACCAATGTGAGGATGGATATAAAAATAGATGACAATGCGAAGGGGTATAATATAGAAGGGAAAAATTGAATTTGATTAAGATTAGAGATGAGGATGAAAGGTAATATTGGTTTTTTTTAAAAATAGATGAGGAATAAATATGGCAAAAAGGAAATATAGAAATTGTAAATTTAATTGAAATGACTAAACACTGTTTAAATTTGTGAACCAGCCAAATACTCTGTTCAAAGAAAATACGTTGTATGTTTCTTTGTGTGTTTCTAATTATTGCTATTTATTCATATTTGTTCTCTTTTATTCTTTAAAGTTTAACAATTCATTCTTTATCTTAATATCTTTATATTTGTTTGGGGTTAGTTTTCTTCCCTTTCATCTTTTTTATTGTACAGCAATCTTTTTCCTCAAACCTACCACCTCTCTCTTTTCTTTCCTTCTTACTTTCTCTTCCCCCCTCTTCTTCTCCTCCCTACTTCCTCTTCCTTTCTCCTTCTCCTCCTCTCTTCCTCCCTCTCTTACCCTCACTCCTACTCTAATTTCCTTTCCCTTCCTTCATCCCTCTCTATTGCTGTATCCTTTTATGCATATGGACTACTCAGAGGGCTGAAAAAGTTATTTCTGACTGGTCCTCGCACTTTTGACCAGTCCTCGAACTTACGACTGTCCTCACATTTTACGTTTTTGCCCTATCTTGTCACCATGGTGAAGAGAAGCAGTTGTGAAATGAGTGACACAGTTGTTAAGAATGCTGCACGGGCATAAATGTGAGGATGGTCATAAGTGTGAGGACCAGTCAAAAGTGCGAGGACCTGTCAGAAATGACTTTTTTCAGCCCTCTGAGTAGTCCCTATACACATAGCCATGGCCACCCGGTCACATGACCAGCTAGCCACGCCCATCCAGTCACATGACCTCCAAGCCATGCCCACAGAACCGGTAGTAAAAAAAATTAGACCCACCCCTGGTTGGGGGTCACCACAACATGAGGAACTGTATTAAAGGGTGGCGGCATTAAGAAGCTTGAGAACCACTGCTTTAAGGAAAACTTTTGTGTTTCTCTTTAAAAAAAGTCTGTATCTAGTTTGGTAACTTCTGTTAATTATAAGTCAGGGCTTTTAAAGCATTTTAACTATAAAAACCAATTTTCCTTGATATGCTGCAATATGGAACTGAAAAACTACAGCACTGTATGTATATTTTGCTTTCTTATGAACATTGCTTCCTTTATATCATCTACTTGAGGACTGCAAGTACTTCCTTATATTCAGTTTTTCCCAACACAATGTAGCTCTTGAAGATTTGTGGTGCCAAATGTTTCACGTTGGACATCACATATTGTTTCAAAATGGAGTTTGTGATTCATTTATATGGCAGCTAATTTGGCAACATAAATATCTACAAATACGCTAAATATTCACTTGAGCAGAATTTCTCCACCTTTTTTTACCGAGGAAGAAACCTTGAAATAATTTTCAGATTTCAAGGAACCTCTGTATAAAAATGACAAAAACCATGAAAACTTCAAAATGCTATTCACTTCTAGCCTACACAATCTTGCAATGATTACGACAACAGCAAAGCAGCAGGCCAGCAGCTGAATCAGGATGTGTAAAAATTCTCACAACCGAAAGCACAAATTTAAAAAAGAAAACATTGTTGTTTTTAAATCGCAATCTCTTAAGGAATCCCTGCTAGTCTCTCACACAACCCTAGTTGAGAAAGAGTAGTAACATAGTAGTGATGGACTTAATACCTGGCAGTGGTTCATGGGTTCCCAACTGACGTAGAGGCACAATGAAAGCATGTAACCCATGACATTTGTTTTGGGTATAAAGCTGAGCCAAAACAATGGCATAGTTTGATGTCTTGCCCACTGCAAGAAGGGGGGGGAGAGAAAGAAAATTTAGTAAGTGGAAGTTCATTTGTACAGTCCAAGAAGCATCCTATGTACATGTTCATCACAAAAATAATAATACAGACAACAGGCTGTTGTAGATTTTATGATGTAAAACTACTTCCTTTTACTCCCAAGCTGAAATGAAATAGAAGGAATAAAGAATATGCAGAATTATTAAATGAGGAATATGTAGAATTAGTGACACATAAACATTTCATTCTTAGGCTAACAAAACTTAATGTTAATTTTATTATGTGGAATGTAAGGCTTAGCCCTAAAATGGAAACTAGAATTTTCATTCTTACTTTCTACAATACGGAATAGTCAAAAATATTATACAGCCAAAGTTATATTTCAAAACATATCAATAGTTAATTGACTCCACACTTAAAAAGTCAGAAAAAAAACAACAGTTCTTCCTTTAGCTTTAATCGTGTAATAATACACTTACATCCACCTGGCCACCACTTAATAGAAGTCACAGTTGGGCTGTTGAGGATGAATTCCTGAGTAGCAGGATCATAGGTGGCTGTGGTTTCCAGCCCTCGGAGATGAGTTCCTGTAGGCAGGTAGCAAATTTTATTTCAACAGTTGCACAGTTCAGCACAAATGTACATAATTAGATTTATTTCAACAAACTTCATTAGCAATGCAAAGCCAAGCAGTGCAAATAAGAAAACTGCCTGCAAATGTACATTTTACATAATGGTTAATAAGCAGACACATTACAAGAAAGGCATGTATGAAACAGTGGATGCACACCATTGTATTAATTGCCCTATTAATGTAAGAATGCTGTCAAATTGCTATACAATTATGTACCTCCTTTGTTTTGATGATTTATCTTGATGTGCAAATATATATTTTAGGTATCTGACAAGGCAAATGAAAGAGTCCCATGATAATTCCTTCCCAAAGAAGCTTGAGGATAAAAAAGGCTTTTTCTCTAAATCCAGATATTGTCCTGCACAAAAACCTTCAGAACCAGGTTTAAATTTTCAACATTTGCTTCTGTAATGTTTTTCAATTCGAGGTCTTCATGTTCATTTTCTTCCTCCTCCAGCCACTGTCAATATCCTGGTTGCAGTTCGACATCCAGAATTTTCAAACTGAACAGCAAAATCCAACAGAGACAATGTATTGCCAAATATGCTGAGGGACTTAAAAAAAAACTAACTGATAAAAACCATCTTGCATTCATATAAGTAGATTGGTCTTATAGATTTAGAGAACGTGAGAGCACTTTTGATTTTTGGAGCGAAAGACATTTAATGTGTCCTCAGCCCTTTCTTCAGAACATGAACTAGTTCTGGAGCAAGGTAGAAAGCTTCCCAGGGTTTCCTTTTCTTGATTGTAGCATAACTTCTAAACATATATGCTGTATTGGATGTACAAGTATGGTTGTATGGTAATAGTTAGATTTAGACTTGAGCATTGTATGTCTATCACATCTTCAATTTCTCCCTTTCATAACATTGACAGGACAGTTTACTTCAGAGGCATATCAGAAGGCGCAGGAAGAGAAATTATTCCAAGTGGCCTGCAAAAGGTATTGTTTTATTTAAAGGTCATAAAAATGACTGTTTGAGAAGCCAAGATGTTTCCCAGAAAATTTATGAGTGTATAAGTTAATGATGGAATTAATAAGGGCCAGTAGGAAAGATACTTCGCTGAAATAGTTTTTAAAAGGTACTTTAACTTGTCAGAAATTATATAACTTTCTTGCCCAGGAGCATTTGCTAATTGTTATTCTTCAAATTTATTTATTTTCATTAGAATGTTACTTTACATATGCCAACCATAAGGCATTCAGAAATCAAGGGAAAATGTGCTTTGAATCTTTAGCAATGCCATTTTTTAAAACAAATAAGCTGTCTTTGTATCATCAGAAACCTCTGCCTCTATGTCCATCTGAACAGCTTCTTTTTCTTAAGAGAAGCATATTGCTGCCAAGTGAACAGTCAAAAGAATCTGGGCCTGTGATGGCAAACCTATGGCATGTGTGCCACAGGTGGCACCCAGAGCCCTCTCTGCAGGCATGCCAGCTGTCACCCCAGCCCAGCTCCACCATGCATGCGCATGCGCCTCCCGCCAGCCAGCTGGTCTTCGGATATCTGCTGCGCACGCGTGGGGGGGGGGGGGACACGGGGGGGGGGGGGGGGGTGCAGGAGGCTTTCCAGGCCCAAAACGCGGTGCAGGAGGTCTTGTGCAGTGCCCCCGTTTGGCTTCCAGGTTGGTGCAGGAGGCTTTCCAGGCCCAAAATGGGACATGGGGCATATGAGTGGGGGAGCGCTTGCATTGTATTTTGGGGCTTCGGGCATGCGCATGTGCATTTGCACATGTGCATTCGCGCACATGTAATTGCGCATGTGCATTCGTGTACACACTTGCTTTGGGCACTTGGCACTAAAAAGGTTAACCATCACTGACCTAGGCTATCAAAAAACAAAGCCGGTACTTTTTGCAAAAGCTAGTCTACCCTGTGAAATAAGACTTGGAAGTACTGTACCATGTCCCATCTCTGTCTGGGCATATGTGCCAATGATCTCCAAGTTCCAAGCAGGCATGAAGAAGCGATCCTGCTGTTCTTGGGTTGCCTGGGTTAGTAACGTGGGTAGGAACATGCCCAGGTGGAGGTCCAAAGGCTCAGGCCGTCCTTGATGAAGGAAGCTGTAAAGGAATGCCAGGGAAGGGAATGTGAAGGGATATTATAGGTGGAAGCAGGGGAGATTAGAAGTGCCGATTGGAGAGGGAAAACAAAAAAAATGTGATAAATTAGAATGAAGAAAGCATATTTATCAAAGCACCATTCTTTCCCCAGAGTTACAGAACCTTACATCAAGCTGAAGGACAGAGGATACTCTGTTTGATCACAAAAGGAGGACTGGTTTCAGGTGATTAATAAAAGGCGATATTATTCTAGAAATACTAAAATAATGTCCTTGTGTTCCCTGGAAACATACTGAAAATAAACAGAGACTATAAATATTAGCTTCTGTACATACATTGAAAAAGTTAACTTTGTTCCACAATGAAATTGAAGCAATAAAACTTGATCCAAATTTGGGGGAGGAGGGAAATTACTCAAAAGCTCTTATTCAAAGCCAGTCTACATTACAATTATCCTCTTTCTTGTGTTGCTTCAATCTGTCATATTTCTGTTGTTTTAAATGATTTTTCAAAGGTTCCTCTGGGAAGAAAAGGATGGTGCTCTGAATCAGCAATTAAAGCTAGTAAGCCTGTTCATAGCTTTGTACCAAAATGTTTATAAAGAGAAAAACCATCACCAAAAGCTCCCCAAATCAGCAAAACATGCTTCCTAATGATAATCCAATAAGCACATTCAAACACTATGGGCTTTTTATAATCAAAGTGATTACATTTACATTACATTACATTAATTGTACACAGACAACACACTGTTTATTCAGAAATTGAATTTTTTATATGTAATAAAAACTTAAGACTAAAAAAAAGTGATTACATTTTGCAGTGTATTAAAAATGTATCCTTTTCAACACAGCCTTCAGTCTGGGACATCCTTAACCTGTTACAGTACTTGTACTATATGGATTACTGTGCCAAGGCATCCTCAATGGAAATCTATCATGAAGTCTCCAGATGGCCTTATGCAGGCCATCATCAACATGGGGATAAAAATGGCCTGGTTTATAGATTTATAGCTATGTGAACTAAAATAATTAATTAAGTAATCTGAATATTTAAAGAGTTATTTATTTTCACATGCATTCTGCTTTTCAACTGTGAAGTAGTACGCAGCCCTTTGCTGACAAAATCTTTGCTCAGAAAAATAGTATGAAACAAAAGAGACCGAGATGCTGAAACCTCCTTCATTCTGAGCTGGGGTGACAATAGATGTTGAAAGGGAGTTGAGAGCAACCAGTGGGTTTGCCAAGTTTTGCATCCAGCTCATTTTACAATAAGGAGATGGAAAAGGTTATCAGTAAATGAATAAAATGTTTATCCCAGGTGTCCATAATTCTAAGGCCCATGATAAAATATTGCACATTAAATATCAAATAGCAAATTTACTGTGGAAATACTATTATGCTTGCTACTAACATGGTAACAGTAGTGGAGACTTCTGTTTAACCAAAATTCCAAACTATCCTTTATTATAATTATCTCAGCATTTATAAAGTGGCACATAAGATGTCCTCATACTAATGAATGTGGAATAACTATATATATAAATTATATTATGTTACTAAGAGACTGTATGGCATTTGCACCATATGAAAGACAAAATCTTTATTTATTGTCAAATATCTATAGTAGTTTAGTAGAACAGTGACAAACAATTTTAAAATAGTATTTAAAGGCCAGAAAATACCATGATACAATAATTGTCAGTTACAAATAGGAGAGAAGAATGAAATTAAGTTTAGGTAGCAATGCTCAGTGTGATAATTTATAGCCAGGCCAAGCAATTTTTGATGGCTGAGAGTTACACTAAAAAGGTTGTGTGTAAAATTTAAGAAAGCAAAACAAATGTAAAAAGTAAAAGAATAGTAACAGTTACAGCTATGATATTCTGCCATCTGTTTTCAATAGCAGAGTCAGTAAAACGTGGAAAATTGTGACTTCAGAGCTATTTATGGCTTGTGAACAAATCAATCCTAATTTACAGGATACGCAATTCTAAAACGGAGCAGTTGGGATCCTATTTTTTAACCATATTTTGGAAGCCATTGGAATTCTGTTCTCCTTCAAACAAAAGAGGAAAAAATGGGAGGCAGGCTACAGTAGCAAGATGTCAGAAAATTAACATTTGCTGTTGGCATCTTATCTTGAAAGCTGAATCCTCAGTAGGGCCATAAGAAACTGCCTTACACAATTAGATCACTGTCAGTTTCCTTGACTCAAAATTGGGAACACTGGCTGACAGAAACTCTTTAAGATCTTTCATCAGCCAGTGAAACTGGAATCTTCTGAATGTAAATTATACATATGGTACTATACCCGTGATGGTGAAAGTATGGCACGGGTGCCACAAGTGGCACATGGAGCCATATTGGTAGGCACGTGAGAATTGTCCTAGTTCAGCTGCAGTGTGCATGCGTGCACCGGCCAGCTAATTTTCGGGCCTTCTAGGCCCACCAGAAGTCGGGAAACAGGCTGTTTCTGGCCTCTGGAGGGCCTCAGTGGTGGGGGTGGGGAAGGCCCGTTTTTCGCTCTCCCCAGGCTCAAGGCTTTCTAGGGGGCTGGGTGCATTGCATTTTGGGTGTGGGCACGCACACGCGCAATTCCCCTGCACTCCCCCCGCTTTTGGCACGCAATGGCAAAAAGGTTAGCCATCACTGTACTATACATTCTGAACTATTAGAAAAACCTTCTGTGACAGATCTATATCATTTGGATATCTCTTAAAAGTTACAAATAAGTAGAAGTAACTATTTTATATACAACACTGCCAAGCAAATCAAACTTATTATTTTCAGTAGCATCATATTGCAATTCAGCCTGAACAACCTATCAAAACAATGGGAAATGCTGACATACGTATGTTGTTGAACAGAAAAATTGCACTAAGTTATGCAAGCTTGACCCATTTGTCATAAAATATATGGATTAGTTATTATTATTATTATTAGCATATTGCATTGTTACATTAGCCAGGAGACCACAATGCTATTGCAGAGTAGTAGTATGGCTGCCAAGTTACCAGCTCTGTTGTAGGAAATGTTGAATGCTTCCCAAGCTGTGCCATAGGAGTGCGAGCTGGCTTTGCACCAGAAAGAAAGACAAGTGGCTTTTCCCGCAGCATCACCCTAGGAGCCACCTTGGGCACTGCAACCAGGTTCAGACTGGCAGGAGTCTGACTGCCCACATGGAGCACCAACTCATCTCCCCATCAAAGTGATACCTATTTACCTACTTGCATAGAATATGCTTTTGAACTGTTAGGTGGACAGAAGCTGAGATGAGTGACAGGAACTCACCCCGCCAAATAGTGTTAGGACTCGAACCACTGGAGCAGAGATCATATCCAGCATCATTAAGCCACCCCACCTCATATGGATTACTTGACCGAACACCAATATTACACTGACACAGATGCAGAAATAAGTTAATATGCATAGCACGCAACCCCTCCCAAAAAAACCCTTCAAGCCCCAAATAAGTACAGCTATGGTCAAAGTTTCAAACAAAGCCAACAGTAATGTGCTTATTCATATGGTGCTCTACTTTGTTTATTTGTAGTCTGTACCATTCAGATAAATTGCTTGTGGGGCACAATTGTTATATTCAAGTGGTAATGCTTGTGGGGCACAGTTGTTAAATTCATGGATGCTTAGATTCAAAACAGTGAAAGATTTTTCAAGAGGTGTCAGTAGTCATGAAACCTAACAAGCCAGACTACATATACATCATTCTCCAGAACTGATTGCAGAAAGCACATTTGGAAACCAGAGCCTTTTTACTTTTCATCCAGGCACGTTTCTAGCTTTGTTACAATGCAGCATACTCATTAAGCACTTTAGTTAAATTTGGGATGACAAAAAAAAAAAAGAAGAAGAAGAAGAACGTTTTCAAAAAGAACAGCACTAATTCTTGATGTAGCTAAATGAGACAAAAGGCCATATACAGTACTTTCCTGATAGGTGTTTCTGTTCTATTTCATCCTGTAGTAGATAATTTTCTGCCAGTTAATATCCATTGAGCTAATCAGTTCAACAAATACTTATGAATACAAGTCCTATTTCTTGCCAATCAAATGAAAATGAAGACATGGGAACCAATGCTTTCATTCTTTCCAGATTGGTTTAGGTGAGATGTATCTAAAATATGTAGATTCCAATATAAAAATGGCCAGGATAATAGTAAATGAACTTTTCCCATAAACATATACTATAATGAAGGAAGCGAGTCATGATTGTCTCCTCTCTTTTATTTCAGTTAAGAATAAAACCATTGAGAAAGAAGATACAGCAAGAAAATAAGATTCCAGAAAGTAAATTATCAAATCACAATTCCAGTCTAAATGAAAAGAAAAACCTCTTAATGGTACATGTTCCTAGGAAGGTGTTTTAACATAATGTTTATAGTAGAATGTTATTATAGTGAACTCATCTGTCCAAAGGCATTATTAGATCAAATTATCCAATGTCAGTATACCATGTTGCAATATTCTATATGCAAATCATACAGGACCATACCAATTAGACAGTTGGTAGCAATTCATTTTAGTTTATTTATGTTATTGTCAAGGAAGAAGAGGCAGAGCCTGGGGGTGGAGTCAAGAGGAGACTCAGCCTAAAAATTGTTATGTGTCCACAAATGCTCCAAATCCAATCCTCTTTGAATTTCAATGACTCCTATCTAGTGCCAATTTAGTTGACTAGATTCTTGTGTATAAAGGTAAAGTTCCCACACACATACCTGCTAGTCGTTTTCCACTTTAGAGGCAGTGCTCATCTCCATTTCTAAGCCAAAGAGCCAGCACTGTCGAAGACATCTCTGTGGTCATGTGGCTGGCATGTCTCAATGCCGAAGGCGCAAGGAGCGCTGTTACCTTCCCACCAACGTGGTCCCTATTTTTCTACTTGTATTTTTATGTGCTTTCGAACTGCTAGGTTGGCAGAAGCTGGGACAAGTAATGGGAGCTCACCCAGTTAGGCAGCGCTAGCGATTTGAACTGCTGAACTGCCGACCTTCTGATCAACAAGCTCAGCGTCTTAGCCACTGCGCCACCACATCCCTTCTTATGTATAGACTTGAGCAATAAATCTTCTAAACTGGAACTTAACATATGGTCCTGATTCTTTGCACCTAACGGTTACCATCATACTTGTCTGTGTCTTGTTCAATACATAAGCATGTAGCTTGTACTTTCCAATGTATGAAATTGCCTTTAGTCTGCATGTGAAGTGCTCTGCATATAATTTCAATAAAAACCTATTTGATGCTGCCTAACTTTAGAGAAAACTTCAGCCTGGCAAGGAAAAGAATTGTTCATGCCAATTCTTAAGAACATTTTTTTTGGTCATTTAATGACTCCATAATCCCTTGTGGGGTGGAGTCTGGGAACTGAATGGAGCTGAGTGTTTACTGGCTGGATGCCCTTCCTGTCGCCAATGTGGAGTTCGCAGCAGATATATTCTCATTGTGCCCAGAGAGAGAAATATCTGCCTCTACCTAGGATCGAACTCACTGCCTCATGATTGTGAGACGAGAGCTCTACCTCTAAACCACTGCACCACCCTCTGATTTTTAAGAACATGATATACAAAAGTCCAAGGCAAAGAATGTAAAACTCACAAATAGCTTTTATATTGGCTTTGAACCTGTAACACCCAAATAGTAGATAACCCTCCAACAGCTCTAGCAACACATTAAATTTGATCCAGGATTGTGTGCTTGCTCTTTATCTCTAAACCCACTGCCAGGCAGATTTGAATAATACTGTATTGGAATACCCATATATTTCTGAAAAGAACTAACCGTGCCCCAATTCCGTCTGAGCGTAGGTGCCGATTATCTGGAAGCGGGAGGCCAGGGGCAGCCACTTCTTTTTCTGAGCATCTGTGCATTGGCTCTCTAAGGTGGGCACAAACATGGTGAGGTGCATGTCAATGGGTGCAGTGTATTTGCCCATGCATGTTCTAGGGGAGAGAGAGATGGCAGATCAGGTCACATCCATTATTCCAAGGGCCAAGGACCTTTGCTCAATTGTAAATAGGCATGTAGGCAGATGTTGTTTCTTTTAATTCTTTCAGTTTCGGTGATATTAGAAATGATGCTAAGAAAGCATCACATCCATGTAGTTTTCTGGATACCACCTTAGCCCTCTTCCCAACCTAATCTACCGCCCTGAGATTTCTTGACAAACTTTTATCCAAGTCCTGATCAGAATTCCTTAAAACAGTATTTAAGCTTTTTTCTATTACTCCCAGTAAGCTAAACCTATGGATCGCCATAATATTTAAATACTTGCAATGACCTCAATTATACACAAAACAAAGCCATTAACCACAGTTGACCCACATAGTGGGTCAAAATAAAGTGTATGCTGCAACTTGATGCAGCCATTGTTATGATAATTTCAACTAAGTTTTGTCAACTGAGTATTGCTGAGAGTAAGAAAGAAGAAGAATGTTTAAGTAATTACGAATACAGATAAGTCATGTAGCTACACCTCATTGTGTGCCAATTATGGGCATCCTCTTGATTAAGGGGCAGAATATATTCATTGGTACTAATTTTCCCCTGAGGTTAGTTTCTGGAATTTCAAAACAACATTGGCTTTACATAAATAAATAGGTTTCTCCAGGCCTTGATGAATCAGAAAAGGGAGACGCCCCAAAACAGATAAATGAGAACTGAGAATCCTTGGTGAGTAGGGAAAACTGGGCAGGAGGGCAAGGTTGCCCATAGTGGGGGAATGGGCACAATTCAACAGGTTGTTGTAGATTCCATATATCGCGATAAATAGCAGCCATGAAACCATTGCTCTATGTTGTATAATAAAGTTTGGGTAGCTTGGTTTGTTCAGGAGTTACAGTTGTGTAAGTGGTTTCTAAATCCTTGGTGAAAGAGGTATGGAATCCATGATTAAGGTGTCAAATTAAATTCTGGATTTAATCAGAATTTAATCAGATAAACATTATATTCAAGTGGTGGGCGGAAAGTATATCAACCATGTTTTTAACAGCTCCAATACATATGCACATGCATGCATGTACATGTTTAGAGAGGTGTTTATACTTATGACCTAAAAAAATAGGAGTGCCAACTTGGATATCTTCCATAATAACAGCTAACTCAATGCAAATCCCATAGTGTTCAAGCTATTCCCCAATTTAAAAAAAAAACAATTTGGTGCAAATCTATTATGTTTAACCTCCCTGAGGAATGAGAAAAAGTTTCCACTATATTTTTCAAGATTACTGTTTTCCTGTTTATTACATATATGGAAATTATATTCAATCCATCTTGATTAGAATGGTTGGGACTTGCATCATCTTTTGTACCTTTGATGAGAGTAAGAAATAGATAAAGGGGAACATTCTTTAGATATTGGCCTTGTGTCTGTTTCTCACCTGGCCTACTATGTGTTTAAGAGCCAGGAAATATCCTATTTCTCTCTTTCTTGCCTTTCTCTCTCTTCAAGATATAGCTTAATTAGAAGTGAGGCTTTCCTATTTGATATATTTCTTGATAAATTGTAATGAATGTTAATTAGCATTTGTTGATTATAGGGCTAAGCTGTATTAAGATGCATCCAAGGCCATTTTGAGTACAGGTAGTCCTCGACTTTGAACAGTTCATTTAGTGACCGTTCAAATTTATAACACAAACGGCACTGAAAAAAGTGACTTATGACCATTTTGCACACTTATAACCATTGCAGAATCCCCAAGGTCCTGTAATCAAAATTCAGACAATTGGCAACTGACTCATATTTATGACGGTTGTGGTGTCTTGGGGGGTCATCTGATTGCCTTTTGCAACCTTCTGACAAGGAAAATCAATGGGGAAGCCAAATGTGTTACTAACTTAAAAACTGCAGTGATTCACTTAACAACTTTGGCAAGAAAGATCATAAAAATGGGGCAGAATTCACTTAACAACTGTCTCACTTGGCAACAGAAATTTTGGGCTCAATTGTGGTTATAAGTCAAGGATTACCTGTACTTTTTGGAATGGGTTGTATTACTACTTAATCAGTTTTCTTGTAGTGCTCCGCATATGCTCCAAAGCACATCCTTTAACAAGAACTCTGGTTAAATTCAAATATCTAACAAGAGTATTACCGTAGAGTGTGAGTACTTTCCAACAGTTGCAAGAGCAAATGGGATTAAGAACAGCACTGCATGACATCAAATTCACATTTGACAATTGGACTAGTTATCAGAATAATTAACAGCATTTCAATTATTCTGCTGAGCACCTCCTGACATTCAGTACTGATGATTTTCTGAAAGGAATCAAGAGCTCTTGCAGGCAATTAAAACCACCCTCACAATATTGTAAAACTGGGGAACCTTTCTTTCCATCTGCTGTTTCTTTAAATCTTTCTAAGATGAATTTTCATTTCAAGAAAGGGTGTTCATGCACACATAAGTTTGTTATGAATAGACTTCTTTATTTTCTTGCTTATTCTGATTGAACACTGCTGTCTTAGATTTTTTAAATCAAGTCACCCACTCAGTTACTGTGCTTTGTAAAAAAACCAGCATAGTAGGTTAGCTCTATGGGAACAACTGGAAGATCTTGTGATGCAATACACGCAAAAATCTCCTTGGTTTTTGCCTTTTTTTGCCTTTATAACGAAATGAAGTTTGCAAAGTCATTTAGCAGCCAACCACTTTATCTTGGTGTGAAAGGGCACAGGTACATAACCTTCTGAGAAGCTCTTGGCTCATTTCCTAAAGCAGTGGAGCTTAACAGATGACCTAGCCACACAAACTTTGTACAGAGTTTTAAAAACTAGATCTGCTCTATATTGTGCTGCAACACTGGAGCCATCTGATTGCAATTCTCTTAATAGAGCTTCGGATCACAAAACCTGTTAGACTAGCTATACACACCATCACATTGTGTGTGTGTGTGTGAGTGTGTGAGTGTATACGTGGTACTTATAGGACAATGTTTCTCAATCTCATCAGCTTTAAAATGTATGAGCTTCTGCACAAAAGCTGGGGAATTCTGAGGGTTGAAACCCATCTTAATTCTCGGAGTTGAAGCCCATCTTAAAGATGTTGAGGTCGAGTACTTTTATAGGAAGAATCACTTGATTTTACTTAAAGAGTTTTCCTTAAAAACACAGTAATTTCCACTTTGCTGGATCTAATCAAATTTGCGGTTGCCAACAGTACATGAGCAGATCCAGTGCCAGAAGGACCCACAGTCACTTTCTGACATTCTGTTCTTTCCTATCGGTATTTGTTATTAAGGCACGCCACTGTAAAATATGTAACAAACTATCAATGTAAAGTAACACTCGTACTCCTGGGACACAGGACAATTAACAGCTAAATGGCAAATAATCCCTTAAAAAAATAAATTATTTTAAGTTTCACTATAAGACAGGAGTGTCAAACTCACAGCGTTACATTGTTGTCGTGTGACATATCATGACTTTCCCCCCCTTTGCTAAAATGGATGGGTGTGGCCAGCATGTGACACATCTGGCCTGTGGGCTGCGAGTTTGACACCCCTGCTATAAGATAAAAATACAGAAAAAAAAAAAATTCGAAAACTACAGAAAGAAGTGCAAAGAGAGAGAAAAAAGTGGTGACTTCCTACTTTTTTCAATGCAGTAAATACAAAATAGGTCTTTTGCTTTGCATTTCATATTTGAAGCCGTTTCTACAATAATAAAATTATTCTAATCCTCAAAACCTAAATCCGGAGCCTCTACCACAAATTTTCAGGGACATACCCTGCATGAAAAAATAGCAACAAAATTTGCCTATTCAGTAAGGTTTTTCTTTACCCAAGAAAAGATAATGGGGTAAGTATTCATATTTCACTTATCTTGATTTATTTTCAATGCGAGCCTGTTTATTACACCATTTTTACCCATAAACAACAAAAGGAATAGTATTTCACTCCTTCCACTAATTAGCTTCAAGCTTACACTTAGAAAACTGTAGGAGAATGTAGAGTAAACCTAAATGTGAAATTAAGAAATGGAACGGTAGCAAGCTAAAAGAATTGAGCTTGCTAAATGCCAGACACAGATTTGCTGCCATAAAAAAAAAAGAAAAAAAGACTGTTGTGCCAGCAACAGAATTTGCTCAATAGACAAGATAAACAGAACGCTTCTTTGTCTGGCGCATTTCCCATTTTTCTATGTATAAGTTCACAAGGCAGCTTTGGAACATAACAGTACCACTAATTCTATTAAAGTCAATTAATGATTAAAAGCTGATTGAAAGAAATATGGTTTTGTTACTTTTCTTTAAACCAGGAAAGTTGGAGCCAAACACACTGCCCTACCTACAGCAACATTCATTAACCAGTAGGCAATTTACAGTCAGTGCAGATCTTTCAGGGCAGGAATCATATGATCCCTGTGCTTTGCACTGATCAGCAACCTCACATTTTATGAGAACCCTTATGGGCCCAAAATGGAACAATTTAATTCTTTGGAACAGTACTACCTGCTACAAGGATCAGTGATTGCTGCTTTAAATCAAAAGAACTGTTGCTTTTGGAAACTGTAGGTTGTTGCATCAAAGAACTGAGTTATGATTGTAATGCAACATAACAGCAAATCTATCCTTTTAAAAAAGTTTATAAACAGAAGAAAATCCAATATGCTGCCCAACTTTCCATCCTTGTTATAAATGGAAGCAAGCTCTCACCACAGAAACCAACCTTAAAGTTGTTCCCCCCCACCGACAATAAATGTGGGCATGGGACCCACCTTTAGGTCAGTGTGCATTATGTGTACACAAGCATTAGTCAGGGTGAGCATAACAAAAAAAGGCAACACAAAATAAAAAAATGACATTAGTAATAGTATTAAAAATTACCAATGAAATTGTTTGCAAAATAAGGCACCTCTTTTGTAAATTTAATTTACCCCTCATCTGCACATACTGCTTCCCTTTCTTGAATGTATATAAACAAAAGAGAGTATAAGGAAATATGGAATCAGCATACATAAAATTTGCAGTAAACTCAGCTAAAGTACAGGTAGTCCTCAACTTACAACCATTCACTTAATGACCGTTTGAAATTGCAAGGGCACTGAAAAAAGTGACTTATGACCATTTTCACACTTACAATTGTTGCAGCATCCCCCATAGTCATGTGATCAAAATTTGGATGCTTGGCAATTGGTTCATATTAATGACAGTTGCAGTGTCCTGGGGTCACATGATCATCTGTTGTGACTTTCTGACAAGCAAAGTCAATGGGGAAGCCAGATTTTCACTTAACAACCGTTAAATTAACTGTACTAATTCACTTAGCAACCGTGGCGAGAAAGGTCATAAAATGGGGCAAAACTCACTTAACAATTGTCTTGCTTAGCAACAGAAATTTTGGGCTTGATTGTGGTAATAATTCAAGGACTACCTGTAAATTAGTCCCAGAAAAATACACATTGACTACTATTATCTGGGGATAGATCTGTTCAGCCCAGTCAATGTTGTGTAAACTATACAGGTAATCCCCAATTTATAGTCATTAATGGGACCAAATTTTCCATTCCTACGCAAGGTGCTTAAGTGAGTCACATCCAATTTTACGATCTTTTTTGCCACAATTGTTAAGTGAATCATTGCAGTTCATGGGTGGGTTCTACTTACCTTTACTACCGGTTCGCATCGCGCCCACATTGCGTCCTGCGCAGATCACCTATGATGACATCCGGGTCAATGGGCGGAGCCTCCCACCAGTTTTACTACCGGTTCTTGTGAACCAGTCCGAACCATGGGCAACCCACCACTGCTGCAGTTATTAAGTGAATCATATGGTTGGTAAGCATATCTGGCTTCCCCCATTGACTTTGCATGTTAGAAATCAGCTGGGAAGATCACAAATGGTGATCACATCACCCTGGGCCACTGCCACATTTGCAAATACATGCCAGTTTGCCAAGCACCCAAAGTTTGATCACGTGACTGTAGGGATACTATGACAGTCATAAGTGAGAAGACTAATTAAATAAAGTCTCATTAAATAAAGTCACTTTCCTTTTGTTCCTTTCTGTATGAGGGATGAACATCTGCAACAAACCCAGTACAAGCACTTCAAAGAAGAATTAAGTCATCCCACAAGCTGGGAAATGGATCCCCCTCCTTCCATGTCATGCTAGCATTCAAAGGCATTCCTGCTTCTGGTAGTGATGCTTGCTGTCACTTGCTTTAAGTAGCAAAACTTTATTTGCAATGGCATTTTCTGGTATATACAGTAGTGGCCAAAATTGTGGAAATCTTTGGGGAAAGTGTATTTTTGAGATTTGATGGCTAATAGCACCACTTTTTTTTTTTTTTTTTTTTTGAGTTTCAAGATAATCATATTCCACTGCTGGAATGGCCTGAAAATAGCCCAGACCTTAACCCAATTGAAAATCTATGGAGCCGACTAAAGAAACTTGCTAGTCAGAAGCAACCAAGCAATAAAGCCCAGTTAATAGAAGCAATCATTCAATCTTGGTTTCACATTATAACAGCTGCAGAACCAAAAGACTTGGTTCACTCCATGGGAAGATGTAAGGCCGTAATTCATGCTAAAGGTTACCCAACTAAATATTAACTGACGTGATAATTTTTGTATATCTCATTTTTTCTACGTGTTTCACTTTTCTTCTTTATACTGTAACTGCTATTCTAATAGCAAATCCTTCATAAAGGTTATTGCATTACATTCTTGATTAAATTATCTTTCCATTGATATATAATTTTATGGTATTATTCAAAAAAATAAAAAGTGGTGTTATTAGCTAGTTTTAGAAAATACACTTTTCTCAAAAGGTTGCCACACTTTTCCCAAAAGGTTGCCACAATTTTGGGCACTACTATACATAACAGAGCTTCGTGCCCCAAATTTACAGAGGGAAACCCCATCATCTGCCTATCCAGTACATAGTACATATAGTAACTGCACTATATATACTATATCCAGTACATATAGTAAGACTGCTGCAATGTCAAGGAAAGAAGTGCTCCACCCACTAATGCATGTTTATCCTTGAACATGACTGAATGCAGTGCAATGACCTTTTCCAAACAATTATTAAACCAAAGGCTCAAAGACCAGCAATTAGGGTTTAAGTTCAGAACTGGATGAATAATCTCGAACATTATCTCTGCCATCAAGTTCATTCTACTGGTTACTTCTATTGGCTCTCTACCAGAGAGGAATGGAAAATCAAGGAGCTTAAAGTAGCAAGACTATTTCAACATTGGAAGTTTTCTGTGGCGCGATGTAAAGGGTAGAAAAACAAAAGTGATAGAGGAGAAAACAAACTAGAGAACTGTTGTTAATGTGAATGTATCATGTCCTTAGCTGACATTAAGTACTTTAAAAGAAAGCAACATTATCTTGCTTGGTTAAAAAGTAACAATGTTCCTAGCCTTCATGAATGCTACAGTTCATATATCTAGTTTCCACTGCTACAATAAAAGGAACTGAGGTTGCATAGGCTTTCCAGAAAACTATGTTTAGGGAAACTTTGCTAATTGAAGACTTCAAATGAGTATATTTAAAAGTCCCATGTAGGGGTCTTTTGAAATTAAGCATGACCATCCCTTAAATTTATAGGACAAATCTTATGCTTTTTAATGTACCCAATAATGAGCACAAGTACCTTTTAAACCAGTAGATCTCATCAGGGTCTGCAATCCCATATTCTCTTAATTTCATCACCATAAGAGCACTCTTTTTGATAGCTACTTCATAGCGTTCGCTGCGGGAGAGGAAATTTACATCTTCATGCCTGAAGCTCGGATCATTTGTAATAATAGCTTCTATGGGAAGAAGAGATATTCATTGTTTTCTTCAAAAAGGTGTAAGACCATATCCTGCTAAATAAGAGCATGTTTCTTATTTAAACAAGTCTGCTAGAAATACATTTAATATTTTTAGATGCAGCTGTCATTCTGGTAACCGCTTTTATAATTTAATGTAGATCATAATCAACATAAAGCTGTATTCACAAAATCTAGATAAGTACAACCAGTACAAATGATTTACTTTCCTATCTTTGGGAAAAATGAAGATTGGCAAAGGGGTGGATGGGGTGGAAGTTTAATTTAATTTAATTTTAATTTAATTAATTCAATTTATATGCCGCCCCTCTCCGAAGACTCAGGGCGGCTCACAATACATTTTAAAAAATCATTATAAAAAAAACATTTAAAAATTTAAAACATTAAAAACTCATTCACACCATTCATGGCCGGATCTCGCCAGATCACAAGAGCGAGTCTATGCTCTTCTTATTTGGCGAGGATTTCAAACATGTCATCATTTCTCACATTACATGGTTAGATGATACAGGTCAATTAATTGAATACAAGAAAGGAAAGTTTGACAGCCGGATGGGACAACTGCTTTATTCTTAAAAGCCATCTCTTCTCATAGCACCTTTCAGCTGTGGAATTCCCTGTCTCTTAGGTCTCCTATTTTAAATGGTAAGACAATAAGGTATTGTCTGGAAGATTTATGGTTGAAATCTGACATCACCCACCGCAAGCGTGAAGCCTATAGCCAGCAACATCTACTTGGTGACCCAGTTAGATTAATCCTTTAAGGCACTAGATAGGCATCAAAGTAAATTAGGTTTTAGGCATACCAAACACATCTTGTGTAACTTGACAGAAACATTTTTTGGGGGGAGGGGAGGCTACCTGGGTGGGAATGCCTCTTTTCTAAAATGCACCCTGAGACACCGCTTGCGAGCATCGTCCAAAAATTTGGGGGTGGGGGGTGGGGGGGAGGGAGAGAAGGCGTCCCCATTGAAAGCGGTGCTTGTCCAGATGCAAACGTGCACTTTTAATGGGTTAAAAACGCCGGTAAAGTTCTGGAAGGGCAACGATCCGCCTTTGCAGCCACCGCCTCTGTTTGGGCTGCGGGGCTTTCTCTGCATCCCATCCCATCTCCCGCCCGCTCTCACCGATCTCCTTGCGGCGCAAAGTCCGCTCGGCGCCCCCGTCCAAGAGGTAAGTCAGCAGCTCCGTCTTGAAAGAAGCCGCCTCTCGCTCCTTCTGCAGATCCGCGTTCATCTTCGCGGCCGGGGAATCCTCTGCTGACCAGCCCGAGAAACAACCGCCAGCCGACTCCACTCGGCAAAAGCTTCCGGACCAGGCGAAATGTAGCCTTAGCCCCGCCCCGCCCCGCCCCGTGACGACTCGGAGGCCCAATAGGAAGCCGCTGAGCACCCGCGTGACACCGCGGAGGCGTTTCCTCTTGCAAAGGCGGAGCTTCCAGTAGGGAGGCGTCCCTTCGAGCTGGGAGGGTTTTTTTTTTTTTCCTTTTCATTGCTAGGAGGAAACGGGGAGGTGGGGAGGAGAGAATCCAATGGTTTTATGCAAATGCTTAATTTGCACCGTCGACGTTTCATTTCGTAGAGGTATGCACCGGGCGCCCTTGTGAAACCACTGGTTCCTGGAATGGCATCCTGTTTTCAGTCCAGGTATCTGTTTGCGTACAGTCCGAGCTGTTCAAGGGTTGCCACCCGAAAGTTTCGCTTTGCCCGTGCATCACGGTTTTTTAAAAATTAAAATTAATTAATTAACTAATTTGTTTGTTTGTTTTGTCAAGAACGTATTTGGTAATAAGTAGAAGCATGGATTGGATACAGAAAATAGATACAAATAGAAGAAACCTTAGGACAGGGAGGGTAGGCACCCTGGTGCTCTTATGCACGCCCCCCCCCCCTTACAGACGTTATATAATCTGCTTGGTTATTGACCGAAAAAATACCTGTTTGTAACTTTCCAGAGTGTAAACAAAAGATTCACTGGAGGGATCTAAAGTTAAAACTTCCCCGCCGCCTGGTATGCGTTTATTTATTTATTTTATTTGTATCCTGCCTTTGTTAGTTTTACAAATAACTCAAGGAGCTGAACATATCTAACACACCTTCCTCCTCCTCCTCCTGTTTTCCCCACAGCAACAACCCTGTGAGATGAGTTGGGCTGAGAGACACTGACTGACCCAAAGTCACCCAGCTGGCTTTCATGGTTAAGGCTGGGCTTGAACCAGTGGTGGGTTTCAAAATTTTTTACTACCGGTTCTGTGGATGTGTCTTGGTGGGCGTGTTGTGTCTTGGTGGACGTGTCTTGATGGGTGTGGCAGGGGAAGGTTACTGCAAAATCCCCATTTCCTCCCAATTAGCTGGGATTTGGGAGGCAGAGAATAGATGGGGGTGGGGCCAGTCAGAATTTTTACTACCGGTTCTCCGAACTACTCAAAATTTCCGCTACCGGTTCTCCAGAACTGGTCACCACCTCTGGCTTGAACTCTTGATCTCTTGCTTTCTAGCCTGGTGCCTTAACTATTAGAACAATGGTTTTTAAAGTTAAGAGTACTGTTAGGTTTCAGACTGACTGTTATTTGAATTTATGGCAGATCCAGCAGGATTCTCTTTTCTTAGCCAGCCAGACTTGGAAAGGGAACAGGGAAAAAAGAAAAGTCCAGGGGAAAGAAAACTGGGAATCAGAGAAAAGCAAAAATAATGGAGTCCAGTAGCTTCAGAAAAGTAACAGAAAGTCCATAATGGTTGATTAGGGTTATTAAATTATAGTTTCTGATTAAACTTATGTTTTAGTAAGGACGATACTCTAAAAAGCTGCTTAGTTTTATAGCAGGATAAATATTCAGAGCAGAAAAATATTTGAGATATCTGAAAATAGAAAGTTCTTTAATCTTGTTTGACAACAGGATCTGCTTTTTGCAAGCCATTCTACACAATGCTTCCAGATGCTGGAACATATCACTTTCCTTGGGAAATAAACTCTACTTCACTACCGGAAGGGAAAGCCGTGAGAACATATGGCAGGTAAGTGTACGTCTATTTTTCTTTAATTTGGTCAATACAGTATCTGCTTATTTTCTCTTTAATTGCAACATCTGTTTGTGCTTTCTGTAATTACTATTGGAGACAATGTCACTGGTCTGATTTCCTGCCGTCATTGGGAAACGGCTGTTTTGTTTTTCCTTTCACTTATTAGATAACTTGTGCTTGAGAGTCCAAATCAAAGATGATCAGATATCCAGCAGTGTCAAGCTAGGGCCAGTAAGATGGCACCCAAAGATTAGCTGCTGAGAGAACACCTGAGGCAGCACCAGATGTGGGAGGAAGATCAAGCAGAAGAAGTGCTATGGCAAGACATGATTCTCCATGGGATGTACCATCGACAGATAGCTGAGGTAGCAGATGTTGGGAAATCCTACCAGTGGCTGAAAAAGGCTGGACTAAAAGACTGCACTGAGGCACTGACCGTAGCAGCACAAGAACAAGCACTAAGCAACAGCTCCATGGAAGCAGAGGTCTACCACACTAGACAGGATCCAAGGTCCAGGCTATGCAGGGGTAACAGAGATAGTCCAACAAATGGCAGGGTATAAGATGCAGGCAGGAGCAGCATACACTGAACAGCACAACAGCATACGCTAAATGGCACCACCAAGTAGCTGGCACTGCATACAGGAACATCTGTACAAAATATGGGTCAGACCCTCCTAGGTCTAGATGGGAGATCCCACAAAAGAATAAGAAAGCTAAGATCCTGTAGGAAGAAATCTCCTCCTGGGTTCTGCTCCAAGTGGGGAAAAAGACACTGGAAACATGGAGACTGCTTGGAAAGATGGTTTAATGGTGGACAGGATCACATGGCTTGAGTTCCTGAACAGAAAAGGGCAGATACAGTAAATCCTCGGGTTTTTATGCCCTCTCTGGCTTTGCATTTCCTGGGGCCCTGAAACAGTATCCTGATTGGTTGTCAGACTCCCAGGAGGTGGGGGTCTTAGCTAGCCTTGCTGGCTGATGGTCACATGTGCTTCCCAGGTCACATGCTTCCCAGGTCACATGTGGTGAGTTTCTGCTGCTATTGTGTAGAGGGCTAATCCTATCTTTGTTGGATCTTTGGCAATTCCTACTATGGCTCTGCCTGAAGGAGGTAGATCATTCTTAAGAAGAATAGACTGGCCCAGGCCTTAATGGCCCATTGACAAAGGGTGGGGGCAGGAAGATGGAAGCTGCTTCAAAACATACTTATCCATTTCTCATCCAGGGAAATATAATATTCTGCCTTTTTCATATTTCCTAAAATATTTCACTCTTCCACAAAAGGGGTGGGTGCTAACCTCCTACAATCCTATGGGACTTCCATATCCAGCCCACAGGTGGGCTTCACATAATCTAACAACCGGTTCCCCCCCAGCACTGAAAATGTGAGTGTGTGTGCACCCTCGCTTTGCTCATGCGCATGGTCTTCTGCACATGTGCTTTGCTCATGCGTGCGCTTGCACACATGCACGTGGCTTAAAACACACAGCTAAATAGGACGGCATCGCGCCAGGGCGGATGGCGACCCAAGGTCACAACTACCGGTTCACCCAAACCGGTACGAACCAGCTGAATCCCACCCCTGATCCAGACAGACAGGCAGTACTGGCCAATCAACCAGACATTGTGGTAATAGAGGAAGGACCAGAAGACGGCAGTGGTGATAGACATAGAAGTGCCAGGAAGAAGGAGTTTGAGAAACTGGAGAAGTGCCAGGGAGAACTGAAACATAAAGCTATCCCAGTGGTAGTAGGAATACTCAGGATTGTGACTCTTGAGGAGTGGCTCCAACAGATCCCAGGAATGGTATCAGAGCTGTCCAGAAAAGTGTAGTGCTAGGAAAAGGTGAGAAGAACCCTCAAACTCCCAGACTTCTCTGGGAGAAGTAGAGGACCTGAGATTGAGGAAGACACAGACCACTCATAAGGGTAAGAAGAGAATTTTTATACAGGTAGTCCTCAACTTATGACCACAATTGAGCCCAAATTGAGAAATTTGTTAAGTGAGTTTGCTCCATTTTGTGACTTCTCTCGTCACATTTGTTAAGTGAATCACTGCAGTTCTTAAATTAGTAGCCTGGTCGTTAAGTGACTCTGGTTTCCCCATTGACTTTGCTTGTTAGAAGGTCACAAAAAGAGATCAAAGGACCTGGGACACTGCAACCATTGTCATAAATGTGAGCCAGTTGCTAAGCATCCAAATGTAAATCACATGACATGGGGATGCTGCAAAGGTCATAAGTGTGAAAAATGGTCATAAGTCACTTTTTTCAGTGCTGTTGTAACTTTGAACAGTCACTAAATGAACTTTATAAGTCAAGGACTATTTGTATTTTGAAGTGTGTGTGTGTGCGTGTGCATGCACTCGTATGTATGCCTTTGTATTGTTGGGCTAATATTGTGGCATCAATATATTAGGTGTTGATAAATTAAAAGAAATTAGATGATCTCATTTTCAACAATTATCAATAGTTGACTTCCTTTTTTGACTAGAGATTAAAGAAGATTTGGTTCTAAAGAAAAGAAATAAAGACCATTTAAGAGAAGGGCATTCTTTGTAATGGCCAAAATATTAAACCAGTGTTTTCCTTAATATAGGATTAAGGAACTATACTCAGCTGGGTTTGTATTTTGCATTGGACTATAATGTGGCATGATTCAATTGTATTTAGCATACGGTATGGATTTAGCTTTGAGATTTACTTCTAACCAATGTTATTGGACCATGGCACACTATGTTCCATGGTTTGCAAAGAGTTGGACACGATTTGGCAACTGAACAACAACTAAAGATGTTATTGCATTTAGACTTACTTTGAAAGCATTCCCTTTCAAATTTAGACCAATAACTTGCCTTCAGTTTAGACCAGGGGTGTCAAACTCAAGGCCCGTGCACTGGATCCGGCCAGTGGGCTGCTTAGTTCTGGCCTGTGGGGCCAGCCTGGAAATATCAAAGGACCGGCCTGCGGTGCCTCTGCCGGCCGAAAACGGGCCGGCACACAGCCCATTTTTGGCCTTCAAGGCCTCCTGCAGCATTCTGCCAGCCAAAAACGGGCTGCGGGGGAAGGGGGGCTCGCACAATGTAATGAGTGGTTATATGGTAAGATATATGATCTACCTTTTGAATGGTATCACCAAACCTTAGCATTTACTATATTCCCTAAAGAAATTCATTATTCTTCGTTACTCCAGTGAGTTGTGTTGACGGCAGCCAATACGCTCAAAACCCTCAAGAAAGGCTGAGTTAGAAGGACTAACTGAAGCCATAAGGAGGTGTTTTTTTTTAAGTAAACATTAATTTACTACAGTAATGCCTTACCACTCTCCCCATGTAGTTTTATTACTTCTCTTAAGGAAAGGAATCTGAGAGTATTTTATAGTTGAACAATATTTGAGGGTGAAATGTAGCAGTTACTATCCCAAACACAAAATCCTCTTTGGAATTTTTAAAAGATTAGTTAGAAAATCCAGGTAAGCATTCCCTTCATCTTCACCTGAAAATATCTCAAAACAGCTCTGTGAGTCAAAGGGCAATGAGTGTATGCTATAACTCAAAAATAATGGGAATCCCTGACTTACAACCATTTGTTTAGTGTCTGTTCACACCCACCATAGCCACACCCACCCCCAGCCACGCCCCACCACTACTCCCAGCCCTCCGAGGTCAAACACAACCCCTGATGCAGCTCTCAATTAAATCAAGTTTGACATCCCTGGTTTAGACCAACAAGTAGATTTTAAACTATTTTTTCTGAATATTATGTATATTGTTTTACATATTCTATTTCTGTCATACATTGTTTGACTGTTATGTCTGTCTAATTAAAATAAAACATGGCTAAAACATATTTTTAGCCACTGTATTATTTGATATGAATTAATATTTCTACCCCTACCCCATGATATAAACATATTATTAGTATTATTAGTATTCTAGAAATGAATGTGTGTATCTTAACTATTAACAACATCTGAATTTTTCTTTCTTTCAGGCTTCACTCTTATGATATGGCCATTTCCCAAGCCATCTTAACAGCTCAGCATGCATCTGATCAGCACTGTATTCCAGTTTGCACAAAGTTCGTAGAACCCTTTCAGGCCCAGCTTGGGTCTTTGTATATTGTCCTGGGGGAAACGGAATTCAAGGATGGTAAGGATATCTATGATTTTTAATTCTATGGGACCAAAAAGTCTCCCAATAAATATGAACAAGTAGAACCATTCTTAAGGACTCGGCAAAAAAATAAGCCAATTCATACTTAAGGGTAGCTTAACGTAAATGCTACTATCATTCATACTTAAGGGTAGCTAAACATAAATGCTACTATCATAGGTGCTTTATAATAGAGAAAAAAGATGCAGATTGTACGTCTGTCATTCTAGGCAGTAGCTCTATCCCAGCCGGAGGCCATGTTGGAATAATCCCGGAATTACTAGGCTTCTGAATTAAGTCACTAAGTCTTACTTGGGTTGAATTGGAGCCTGTTTCTCCCCATCCAGGCCTTGGAAGTCTCTGAACATGAGATCCAGACTTCCACTATATTGCTGTTTGGGCCGGTATATAATTGGGTACCTATCAGCTGTATTTGAACAAAGATCTTTTAAACATATTTTACTGTGTTTTACTAATCTAGGTGAAATTTTAATATATATTGCTAGTTCATGTATGATGGACTATCCATACACTAAATATTGTAAATAAATAAACTGGGTATCATAGCTGTACTGATAATATCTCACCCTGAACCAACAAGGTGGCTTCGTGCATAGGTTAAACATGTTTATTCTGGGGTAAGCATTGAGATTGAGGACCTCCCATCCTGGAGTGCCCAAGGGCTGGACGTCTTCTTCATAACTACCAATTACAATCCCTTGTTTAGGAAGGAGTAAAACTACGATAGTACAATGCCCTCCATTCCCAAAATTTGCAGGTAATCCAGAATAATAACTGTAGTTGACCATATTGAAAGCTGCTATGTATTCTGGCAAGACAGTTGCATTTCCTTCATTCATGTCCCAGCGCAGGTCATCCATGAGAGTGACCAGTATGATTTTCGTCTTGTGTCCAGGCTTAAATATCATTCTGGCTTTTTCTTAAATGAAAAATGGTATGTGTAGGCAAGAAAAGAACCATTACTGCAACAGTTAAATGTCAGAGTTCCTACTAGAACTTCTTTTCTTTATTCACAAAGGGGTGGTGGTAGGGGAATGATTGAGGTAGGGGTAGATAGCTACCTTGGAAAGCTCAGGAGAATTTTGAAAGATTAGGCTAAACAAATCTTGGGCTTCATCATACTATCATATCAAGTTGATTCTTTTTTAATCCCAGAAACATGAGCAGCAAAGATTTCAATATTTTTCTGTGGAATTTGGAATGCTGCAATAGCACTAAATACTTCAGAGGGGAATTTTGAGTAACAGAGTTCTGCTTCTGAGGCCCCAGGGGCAAGGCATTTCTTCATATGTTAATGGTTGAGTAGCAGAGTTCTCCTCCTGAGCCTCAGGGGCAGGGCACATTTTCATAAATTGTGGAAGCGCATTCATGACTTTCAACTCAAACAGATTATAGCTGCCAAGTATTTCATGCATTGATCTGCTGGTGAGATGTTGATGTGGAAATTCCCCTTTCTTCCTGGAGAATTATCTCAAGTGTTTGATTACTTTTAACAGTGCCACTCAGTAGACAAAGCACCTGAATTTTTTCTTTATTTCTCCTACTTGCTTCTTTCTGTTCTGACTGGGATTTGAGAATTTTACTTCTTTTGTAGACCTGTTTTTGAAAACTTAGGTGGGAGAATTGGGGAAATGTGGGAGAAAAAATGTGGGGAAGGTTAAAATATCTTGCCTGTCCTGTAAAGGACTTCTTCCATGCCACTTGCTTTTTTGAAATAATAATTTTATTAAATCACGATAATAAAAAACTAATAAAACCAAAAGAGGAGAAAAAATGGAAAGAAAAAGAAAAGAAAGAAAAAATAAGAATAAAGAAAAAGAAAAGAAAAATATGCAAAGGGTTTCCACAAAAAGCATAAACAAATTTAGAAGTTTACTACCTCTTAAAATATAGCAAATTATCTCTCCTTCCCATATCTACAAATAAATCCTTAAAGCCTTGTCATTTCAATGTAGATGTCAGCAAAAGTCCATTAATACAGAGATATCACATCTATTTGATCTTGATCAGATATACTAATTTTATATTCTTTCCTTCTACATATATCAATCTTGATCTGTAATCCCTTCAAATAGTGCCCTAGAACAGGGGTCCCCAACTCCTGGTCCGTGGATCGGCACCAATGCTTGGCATGGCAGAAATGGGGCCACGCAAATAAGCAACCACCCTTCTCCTGGATGCAGGCAGCATGCAAAACCATGGCCCCTCCTGTCCACGGAAAAACCTCTCCCTAATGCCCAAAAGATTGGGGGCCACTGTCCTAGAACTTGATTTCTTTTTTTCTTTGTCTTTTTCACAACAAATTCTTCAAAGGTTTAATAAGTCTCTTTTGTAAATCCAATATAAGGAAACTATCCAAGTCACTCTCCTGAATTGTTATTTGTATAGCCCTTTAATTATTAAGACATCAGCCAATTTCTTTTACATGTCCAGTGTAACATCGTGTTCCATTTCATTCTTGTTGGTTGCCACTTGTAAAATCCAGTTTTAAATCAGTCTCAGTCTTGTCAGATACAACTTCCTTTTCAATAATATATTTAAAACACAATCTATCTATTTAGGCAGACTCTGATAAAATTAACTTGTGGGCCTGTCGTTCATTTATATCCTTCAGTATGTCTTGCAGTCCACTCCAGAGGAGCAAATGTCTTGAGCACTTGTGGATGAAAAGTCACTGCTTTCCAGATTTCTCGTGATACTGAATGTCTACTCAAATATTAAATCAGAAATATCCTTTAGGAGTATAAAACTGGTTTATTGTAGCTTAGAACAGGTAGTACAGGCATATTTGTCATTTCCAGTTCTTCTTGTGTACACTGTTTGTTCTAGTTGGGTGAGGCTTTCCACTTTATGCACACTGTTGGTTAAGTTTCTTCTGTGAATATTTGCTTGGATGCAGAAAGAATTGCATATATTCCTTTGAATATAGATTCCCAAAGAGGATAAGAGAACAGAGAAAACATAAAATGACTGATGTATATACCATAGATTTAGATTTCATTGAATCTACACTCCACTTTAAAATTTTATTCCTCATTAATTCTGTTTGTGCACTCTGGAATTCTCTGTTACCTGCATTTTATAAAGTAGCAATTGTTAGGCCCCCTCTGAAGACCTGTCTCTTCATCTAGGTCTTGTACATATGAATTTTCTCTCCCACCATCTTTTTTAGAACCACCTATTGCTTTCAATTTATTGGGTCTAATTGCATATTTTTCATTTTATAAACCATTTAGAGATGGTATTTTAGAAAAAGCTGTATAAAATATATATTACAAAATAAAGTGCTATATATATTGAAGTAACAAAGAGTGGAATTGCCACATTGTATGATTTGGGTGAACATTTTGTTTTAATTGCATTATTAACTATGAAATTGTTTTAAAGATCCTTTAATTCAAATGGTGATTTATTTATTCATTTTTTTTTATTGCAGGTGAGATTATTATAAAGGCTCGTGTATTTACATGTGTAGAAGGAATAAATCTTCAGTTATTGGAAAAAGCCATAGAGGAACAGAGAAAATATTTCCAAGAGAGAAGGAAAGATCATGAAGGAAGCATATGTTAATGCTACGCTTCAGCCAGGATTTATTTTCGAACACAAAATTTGCTGTTCTTTATATGATCACTCATCTCTTGCCTTTACTCCTGGTGTTGTTGTGGATTATATTGCTTTGTGAATACTTATTTAAAATTGGTTTGATACAATGCGTTAGATTCAAACTGATCTTTGTATTAGATTGTGAATCTTATACATAATTTTGTTTAGAAACCCATATAAACGATAGAGCATGCAAAGGGCTAATAGAAATCTTTATTTTGGAAGATGATTTTTGGAAATCATAGAAGCTTGATCCTTAAGTTGTTTGGAAGCAAAGAAGTTTCTTAATATGCTAAAGAAACGAACGGTTGGTGGCTGGCTAGGGGCATGGCTTTTCATTCTAATTTTATTGATAGAAAAAAGTGTTTTCACTGGCTTGGAATGCCCCCATTTCCCTTTATACAACTTCCTTGTTTTCCTGACAGTTGTTGAACACCTTAATCTTCCATTTCAGAATATATCAGAATTGTGAAAATAATTCAGCTTTTAAATTGAGCCTGAAATAAAACTGGTTCTGGAATAATAATAATGCTGGTTCTGGAAGAAAATAAAAGGAACTTTTCCTTTATTTTTCAATTTGTATTATAGAATCCTACTAAGATCTGTCTTGTTGCATGTATTTATATTTATGTGACACTGTAGATGTGATCATTAGGCTTTAGGTAGCTTGTATCAATGTGCTAATGGCATCCATCTTAATAATTTTCGTCAGAACCATCATAAAACTCTATGTGTTTGCAGCTAGAAAAAGAAGTTGAATACTATCCAATTTGTTGACTAGATGTGGTTCCTGGACCTTGGAATCAGTGATATGGGTCCTTTATATGAGCTGGGCATTGATCATGAGAGAGCAGACTCATGGTATGAAGGGTCTTATCTTGTTTCTATCTTACAGAGCCCTACAGGGTTATTGAATATCCCCAGCTACAGCTGATTTTCCAATTATGTTTATCTCTGGACAGAGGTAATTTGTCCATAATAACTCATGGTCTAATTAACTCCAAAGTAGAATTTTAAATGTGTGCTTTATGAAGCTGCCCTTAAGAATGGCTAGGGAACTGGCTTGATAAGACCGTATAATATCAGATTTGTTAAAAGCAGCACTGTTTGCCTCTTGGCTAAATACAAAAGCCCCAAATGTCTCACTATCTAGTTACTTATCACATAGGATGGTTAAAAGAATTATTACTCAACATCTACATCTGATTTTTAGTAATAGTTGAAATGCATAGTTTCTTAAACAACATTTAAGAAATTAACAGATGCCTGTTAGTATCTGGACTGCACCAAGGCTTTTTCCTATTTATTTTTTATCTTAAAGTTGAAGTGTGTATGCTTACCTTTCTGTTTATTAGTTTGATGTAATTAAATAAAGTATGAAAAAGTTATAACTTTAACTAGTGCTGCTTATGTTGAATGGGTCATCTGTTGAGATTTGCCATTGTGGGATATAAAAACAGTTGATATATATAGTCTGAAGTTTGTTTGTTGAAATCATTCATATACTGAAATTTAGCACAAACTGTTTCCTTGCCTGAAAGACCACCTACAATTTCAAAAACGATCTTGACTTGGAGGGATATGCTTGCTTTTCCTAGCTGGAAAAATATTATTCAAAATAATATTTTTTTTCTCCAGACTGAAAAAAAAAAACTGTTAGGGCATAGAAACATGCTGGGAGAAAATGCATTACTTATTTAGGCTGCATCCTACAGCAAGCCTACTTTGATTTATAATTCTCTCTTCACAGGAATGGTTGTTTTCTTTTTCTTTTGTAGTTTGAACAGATGAAGGACAAAAACAAAAACACAAAAAAATCAGGAGAACTAGATCCAACTAGAACTCTGGAGAGGCAAGGATACCGTCTCTTTTTCTGTCTGAGAAATTTACAGTATACACTGAGAAAAATAAAATAAAGGGAAATGCTTAATCATTTATATTGCAAGCCTCATAAAGTTCTCCCTGTACTTCGTTTTTCTTCTGACTTTCTATATTCTGCTTCAGAGGGCAAAGTCTGCTATTTGAGGGGAAGGATCTAAAGGCCTCCCCAGCCTAGCTTAGGGTCAATATATATACTTTTGTATCTCCCTCTAGTGGTGCAGAAACAGGGTGAGTTTTGATCCTTTGGGAAATCCGTGGTTCAGCAAGAAGGAAGGCATGGAGGCTAATGGGAGGTTGGATCAGCAGGTGAGAGGCCTCTTGAGGAGAGCAGGAGCTGACTTTTACACACGAATAACCAATTTTGGCAAGGGTGGTTCATAAACGCACATGGAGTGCATATGTGTGACTGCTTGGTCAGTAGCTAATATTCTAGGTTTGGTTCGAGGGTTGGCCTGAGGCCTGCTCCGATTAGTAGAGCGATATGCGTCCCTTTCAAAAACGCTACATTCCAGAGAATCTCCTAAGGGTAATTCTTGAAGTACCAGCTCTTCATTATTTGTGTCAGGAAGCATTGTGGGAGCTTGTAGCTCTGAACCACTGAAGAGAGGAATCGATTGAGCTCAGGAGTTGCTTCCTAAGAGGAAGTGCCTCTTGAAAGCCTTCAAAGAGGCTTGAAAATAATAGCTTTCTCTGAAGATTTCTCCTCAAAACAACCATCGTCATATCTTTCAGCCATGAGGTCCCCCCCTGTGGGATAAAGAGGTTTTTTTTCCATGCCTGTCCTGGTTATAAATCAGCCTTGCCTGGGGTGTGTGTGTGTGTGTGTGGAAGGGGGGGGGGCTGGGCTGGGCAGGACATTTTGCAACCCAAGAACAAGTGGCATGTGGTTTTATAGAAGAATTAAAGAATTTGAATATTAATAGAGGTTTGGGCAAAGAGCTGCTGAGCATAGCCAGAAGTTTAAATATAGCAGGTATTAGTTAGCAAGTATAGGTAATCCTCGACTTATGACCACAATTAAGCCCCAAATTTACATTGCTAAAGCAAGATAGTTGTTAAGTGGGCTTTGCTGCATTTTATGATCTTTTTTAACCACAGTTCTTAAGTAAAGCGCCACAGTTCTTAAATTAATTTGTTAAGTCAATCTGGAATTAAATCATGGCAGTTCTTAAATTAGCTTGTTAAGTCAATCTGGCTTCCCCATCTGGCTTCCCCACTGACTATGCTTGTCAGAAGGTCACAAAAGGTGATGACATGACCCCAGCACTCTGCAACCATCAGAAATACATGCCAGTTGCCAAGTGTTTAAATTTTGATCAGTTTTAAAATCATTGTAGTATTTTTATTGCACAGTATGAAAGGAAGAAGGGAGGGTTACAGCATTTACAGTTAAATAACTTTACATATGGCAACTCTAGAATTCTAATACATGTTACACAGTATTATGAAGAGGTCCATGTGTTTGGAATTCCGTGAGGAAGCAATTCCTTTCTCTGCTGTATTTCATCCTGTCTCATTCATGTGAGTTTATTATATAGCCCAGCTATCTAGGCAAGTATTTTCAACTTGGTCCAAAAAGCTTTTCTGAATCTTCATATATTTATTAGTTTATCATAATATAAAATACAGAAATATGTAGAGAAATGAAAAAAAATGAGAAAATAGGGGAGGAAAAGGGGGAAGAAGAAAAAGTATGGGGAAATGGGAAAAGAAAAAGAAAAGCATTGACTTCCATCTCTTTGGCGCAGTAAAATAAGATAACAGCCTCAAGTTTTATTTTTGTGTGATAATATATACAAGCCATTTCTATAACAACAGCAAAACCCAAAGTCAAAGTTTAATTTTTTTCAACTTCAATCACAACGTCCAAAAGTCAAATAGAAACAAAATTAATTGTATTCTTTTTTTTAATAAAAGGAGGCAATTTAGCCACCTCTGTTAATTCCAACAACTTTTACAGCCATTTGTTCGTTGGGGGAATCAAAATATCCTACTTTTGTGCAGAGCATATTCTTGCTGCTCTCAGCATATATAACATCAAATTCTATTTTCCCCAAGTTTTTTATATCCAAATTTTGATCATGTGACCATAGGAATGCTGCAACATTCGTGTGAAAAACAGTCATAAGTCACTCTTTTCAGTGCCGTTGTAAATTTGAACCATTGGAAAATGCATGGTTGTAAGTCGAGAACTACCTGTACATAATAACTTCTAATCTCTATTAGAGGAAGTTCAGCAGAGCATTTGGAGCAAACTGAAGTCATGGTTCATTTAACAGGTCCCTAGAAAGTCAATTTTAAACCTTTAGCTTTTTTATAATCGATTTGTAACCCATTACTTTATACTCCTTTAGTTCCTTCCCTATTTTCAGGATCTTGCCCATAGAATGCTATTAGACATGTCCATGCATGCTTGACCTGACTTTGGAAACCTATAATAAGTTTCAGAGACTTATTATTGATTCTTATTATTGATTCTGTGTTGTCGTACTTGAGTAGAGAAAATAAATTTCATCTTGAAGGGAAAGGGAGAAAGGAGAAGAAAATATAAACAGGATGAAATGAGAAGTTGCCTCTTATAGTTTTTTCTCCAACACTTCCAGTTCATATATAGAATCTGTGGGAAGGGTGTTTTACTTTCCTGCTGGTGGTGAGATAATGTGTTTTCTACCATGTTTCAGAGGATTACTCCCCAGCCTCTTGTTATCTAGATATGCTGGATTAGAGTTCCCCAGCCAGCCAACAGTGGGAAACCTTTAGGGAATTCAGGAACAACAGCTCTCAGATGCTGTGTTCTTGCCTAAAAGGATGGCCAATTCCATAGACAAACTCATGAGTGACCCTTTTATAATAAAGAGCATGTTTTTTTCCACATATTGGTGGAACATTGGTCCTTCACTGGCAGACTGAGAGGAATGAATACTGTAAACCTAAGAACCCCTACACCTTGGGAGAAGCTAGATGATGAAATTCACCAGGTTTGCTTATACAAATTATTGCCTTTCAATCTTGCTTATTTTATTAGAATGAGTCCTAACTATTCTTGGAGGCTTTGGAGCAGGTTTAATATATCCATTAGGCGGCCCATCTAGAGATAGGCCAATCAATTACTGTAGGTAGAATGAGGAAGCCACTATGGGACAGTAAATTGTTTATTTTTATTGTCAGGGAAGTTAGATTTTCTGTCTTTTATATTCCAGAGTAATTTAGCTAGTTTAGCTAACTTAGACTCATGTAGATAGGGAGTGAGAGGGAAATAGAAAGACACATACACTGTGCTTTAACACTTTTTAACACTGTGTGTTAAAATTTCATATCAGAAAAGTTTTTGCCCTTCATGGATATAATCATTTGTTATGATCAGGATGTGAACGCATAAATTGGCAGAGGTAATAGTCAAACATCATTCATTAACCTTAAACCATTTGTGAGGTGGAAGGAGTGCAAGACAGCCAAAATAAATGTACATAATTGTACATGAAACTACATGAAATGTTCATGAAACTCACTGGCAGGCAAAAAATATTACACAAAAAATACACAATAAATGTTGTAAAAGCTAAACATTGTACAAACTGGCTTTACTAACAGAAGCTAAAATGTAAGAAAAACGATGGTAGTTATTCTAAAGATGTTGTTAAAAGAGGTCTTTAAATAACATTCATGCAAATTTACATAGCTGGTTTTGTAGGAGATAAAAGTAACGACAGCATGTAATATTGAGATGTATAAAAATGGCAAGTTGTATTATTTGTATAAGCTGTGAATAAATTTTATAGCACCAAGTCAGAAAGCAAAAAATGGACACATTCCAAGATGTATTCCAGAAAGTAGAGAAGATTGGAGAGGGCACCTATGGAGTCGTGTACAAAGCAAGAAACAAGCAAACAGGCCAGTTAGTTGCTCTGAAGAAAATCCGACTTGATTCGTAAGTACTGAAACTAAACCCTGAACTCTTAGTTCACAAGGTTACTCCTAAATCTGCTACTCCTAAACTGATTTTCAAATAGAATTTTGGAATAGACTATAAAAAAAAGTGTTGGTATTTCGTGAAACATGTTTGGGATGAGGGAAATGTGGACTTCTAAAAACTTTTCTGAAAGATCTTGGTTAGAATTTGTTCATAGTGATAATATGACTTTCCTAACAGATTCCAGATCAAGTATATTTTAAGGTATCTCTAATAATATAAGAGCAAGTACCTCAGGAGCGTAAGCTATGATGAATTTAGGCTCAAACTGGATGTATGAATATAGTTTGCATTTCACAATTTTTCTAAGTGGCAAACCTTTGAGACCCAGCTGGGCCAGATAGAGAAATTGTATCAGAAACCATCTCAATCTATTTATGTTCTATCTTTTACTAGAAAGGTCCCAAAATATCCTATCCTATCCTATTCTGCATACGCAGAAATGGCCGGGAGGCTGGGCAGAGCCTCCTGCCACCACTGCTACCAGTTCACCCAATCCGGTGTGAACCGGTAGCAACTCACCACTGCTATCCAGGCACTAGATATATTTGGTCTTATTTATTTTCAGTAAGGAACTGTATTATATTCCCTTATACCATGCCCTATATGTCAGTTTCATAGCAGTGGAATTAATGGGATACCTCTCTGCAGGAACAGTCTTTCTGGATCATCTCAAATAGTGAACAAAACTTCTCTATCAGGATGTGCAGAGTAATGCAGAATGTTAACTTGAAAAATGTTTTTTATCCCTGGCATTATTTCTATAAAAATGTGGCTGCTTCAAGCAATTAATCAATAATTGATAATTAACAATCTGACCATAACAATTCTTAATATGTGATAGGTACTTCAAAAGCTTCTGAAGTTTACTAAATTAAATTTTACATGGCAGAATTCCTCTCTTGCTTTGTGTTCTAAGCCCCTCAACAACAACTCTGTGCATTCCTAGAACTAATCCACTACTTACTAGGTCCCCTGTTTTTAAACTTATGGGGTGATGGTTCATCTTGACAGGTGGTAATTTATAGATCAAGAGTAGTTACTGTATAACTTTAATTAAATCCATAGATGGAATTTGTGATCAATCATGTAACAATCCCCATAGAAGATGAGGATGATGAACTATCCTGCCTAAAACATTCCTTAGAAAGATTGGGATTGCTTCATCATGAAATATATTTCTTCCACAGAGAGACAGAAGGAGTACCTAGTACAGCAATCAGAGAAATCTCACTGTTAAAAGAATTGAAACATCCAAATATAGTGAGGTAAGAAAAACCTCTTCCTCTTCTAATGCCGTATCCATCGTCGGACGTCGCCGATCATGTTGGCAATCCTATTTTTATCAACAGCCGCACTAAAAAGTGCTGTTGAGTTTTCTCCAAACCAGTCCCTTAGATTTTGAAGCCATGATGTTCTCCTTCTGCCTGGACCTCGTTTGCCTTCAATCTTTCCTTGGAGGATTAAATGAAGTGTGCCGTATTTTTGTGGGTGTCGCATCACATGTTCAAAATATTCTAACTTTCGCTTTTTTATGGTTTTGATTATTTCCCATGACTCTGGGTAGCAAACAATCATAACATCAATTATAAAAACTCTGAGAGGTGAGAGACTTACCCCAGGTCACCCAGTGACTTTCCTGTAAAGATTTCAGATTGGACTTTCCTTAATCTTAAGACACTGTAACAGGGGTGGTATTCACTTACTTTCCCTACCGGTTCGCAAATGTGAGCATGCATGTGTGCACGCTCGCTTCACTCATGCGCGCCCTGTCCACTCATGCGCCCGGCCTTCCGCTCATACATCCAAACTAAAAAACGTGCCTAAATAGGATGACATAGAGCCTAGGTGGTTGGGCCCACCTGCGATTTCTGCTACTGGTTCGGGCGAACCGTCTGAACCATCTGAATACCACCTCTGCACTGTAATCACCCTTTTACATTGATTCTCCTTCTGCTGTATTGAAGAGCTTGCCGTAATCATGCTTACATATTTTATCTAAATCTAAATACTCAAGTCATTGTGTTTACTTTTTTTCCAGGCTCCTTGATGTAGTACATAATCAAAAGAAGCTATACTTAGTCTTTGAATATTTGAATCAAGATCTTAAAAAGTACATGGACTCATCTCGTACAGGAGAGCTTCCTCTAAGCTTAGTCAAGGTAGCAATTGGCTCAAATACCCTCCCTCACGGGCCCCAATCTGGAGAACTATCCTTTATCTGTCTCTGGCAATTAGCTAGCACAATTTCAATCTTTTCAGATTGTTCCTTTGCAACATGGATGCTCAACCTACAACTCATATAGATCAACAATTGTCTCTCTGGCCCACTGCAGTCAACAGTACTTTCTGTCTGCCTGCAGAAAAATGACTGTCATATTCCTAGGAATGTCATAGTACCCCACCAGCTATACAGTTAGATGTCTTGGAAGCTGCAGGAAAGGACTGTTCAGTAAAGGAAGAGGAAAAAGAAGATGGGTGGGTGGGTGATTGTACAGTATATATCTGCATATATGTATGTATGGTTGTAGGAACCCAGGGAGGTAATCTTGGAGAAACCGCCCAGAAGTCATTAAGACAACAACAGATGCAGAAATATGCACTGAGTCCAGGGAGGCAGGAAAGTGTTATAAAAAGACAGAATGGCTCACCCCGCAACTCTCTGGGGTATAAGTGGGAAGGAAGGGAAGCCACGGGTTGAGTTGCAAGATTCTGTTACCATAACCTGGCTCAATAAAATATTGTTTTAGTATACCAATGAATTTATTTTTCTGATTGGGTGCACCTCATAAGGCTGACTATGTGCCCCAGGTTGTTTGTGGCTCCTAACAGACCAGCTGGTATCCCATGTGATTCTTGTGGTCAAAAAGGTTTCCAGTTCCTTTTACTTGGAGTGTTGCAAAATCATTGACATATACTTTATTCTTTTTTCCTCTGGCTCATGATAGAAAACCTAGCTTTGACAGCAGTTATGAAGTTGTTATGGGAAGAATTAAATACTTAATCTTTATTCTTCCTGCTGAGATTGCGCTTCCAATTGCATCTCCTTTCAAATCTACATGGAATTCCCAACCCATGTTTAGAAATTCATTTTTAACTGTGAAGGAAAAAAAGATTTCAGGAAATGATTTGGCATTGCAAAAGTAGCAGCTGTGCAAAAGTATTAAACAGCTTTACCTCATACTGTTTTTTAATAAAAATGTTATCCTGAAGCTGTTATTTAAGGGGAGAGGGCCGTAGAATGTTGATATGTGGTATAATATTTGAAAAGCCTGTAACGTTGTCTTCATTCAAATTATATGTAATTCTCAGTATGGAATAATATATCTGAAACCAAAGTTAAGTAAATGCTGCTTCTGGGTGTAAAAGCACTAGGTTAAAAATCAGCTGGTGGTGAGTTCTAGTCCTGCCTAAAGTCAGATTCATGATCTTGGGCCATCACAGAGTGAGGGAAAGCTTTATTCCAATCCCTTTTCCCAGAATTACAGTGCCCATCATGCTTCTCCAGGCCACCCAAATTGTTTTTTTGAAGGCGAATAATGTCATTTTCCAGGGCTAAAAAAGATACTAACCTGGAATCTCTTTATTTTGTGTGCTAATTAAGATGAAGTCACCTAGTTAGCAAAAAATGTAGACAATCATCATGTGGCAGCTAAGATATAAATTCTATTCTAACTCTTTGCTATCACTTATTAGCTGTCACTATTTTGGAAGCCCATATATGGTAGCAAAATTTTGAGATACAACATAGGAGCTGTGGTGGTGCAGTGGTTAGAATAAAGTATTGCTGAATGCAAGCAGTTCAATCCTCACTGGCTCAAGGTTGATTCAGCCTTCCATCCTCCTAAGGTCATCAAAATGAGGACCCAGATTGTTGAGGGCAATATGTTCACTCTGTAAACCACTTAGAGAGGTTTATAAAGCACTGTGAAGCTGTATATAAGTCTAAGTGCTATTGCTATTTTGCTTACGAAGTGATGTGTCAACCTTACAGTTTCTTCATACGTGCTCTCTGAACTTTTTCTTTCTAGAGCTATCTTTACCAACTGTTACAAGGTGTAAGCTTCTGCCATTCTCATAGAGTTATCCACAGAGACCTGAAGCCACAGAATTTGCTCATAAACGAAATGGGAGCCATCAAACTAGCCGATTTTGGCCTAGCTAGAGCTTTTGGAGTTCCCCTACGTACTTACACACATGAGGTAATGTCTGTTTCTCAGTTATATAGGTTGCTGGGTCAGCCCCTGAAAAGAAATCACACAGAGATGAGTGTGCATGCGAGAAAGAGGGAGCTATGTTTGTAGCCCCTTCCCAAAAAAGAAAAAAATCTTAAGTGTAGCCCTAAGAACCTCTTGAAAATTACATTAAATTTTCATTTTTAGTATGAAAATGGGGGAATTTAGTATGATAAAAAGGGAATTTGTTAAACACACACAAGAAGTAAATCATTTAGGGTTGTGACAGTTTCAGAGACCCGGAGAATATAGACCTGGGGAGAGATCTGTTTAAAAGAGTTAGGCTCTTCTACTGCCCAAAGCAGACTGGTGCTAAAAGATGTGTATACGGGCCATAAAAGAAAGGGTGGCCCCCTGTCAGTATAGAAAGGGCAATAATCTCACCCTATAAAGATCACTTGACTGCAGCAGATTGAATGGTTGTTGCAGTATGTTAAGAGTCTGCCCAGAGTAAAACTGTTGCCTGCTTATAGAGAAAATCGTTAGAAAACTAAAGGGATTTTAAACTGTTAAGTTATATGAAAAGAAACTACTATGATTTGTCAAACTAGTTGAGATTTTAGATCAAGATTCATATAAACAAGATAGGAAAAGCATACAGAACATAGCTTCTGGAATGTTTTCTAATCGCAGCTCTACTCTGGATCTCATGACTGGGGAGAAAGTGTGTGTGTGTGTGTGTGTGTGTGTTAAATGGAGCAGTTGGCAGCATTGAAGGACTGGATCTTTTTAAATGCAGCTTCCAGTCAGATTCTACTGATTTTTCGGTTTGGGGGCTTCCCTTGCATTAAATGTGGACCCATTCTAGTCTATTTTCAGAGTTATCCTGAAGATGGACTTGAGCCGTTTTGTGGAATATCTTCCGAATATTCAATTGGGTTGGAAAGAATAAAAAGTGATTCCCTTCGGATCATTATGGCCGATATTCTCAACCAAATGCATTATGTTATCTTGACATAAAGAGGCAAGGGTCCTTTCAGGGAGTAGAGTGGACAAGCTTATTTTGCAAATGGAGGAGGGTAAAGGTAAATTTTGTAAAACAGCCAATCTCCACCAGTCTAGAATTGGAAGATGTTAAATTAGAGAAAGGGTTTATGTCTTTTTAAATTCTCTATGTAGCCTCCAACACTTTCATATTAACTGGGATGTGAACTTTCCTGGATTTTTGTTTCCAAAAAAAGGCATATCCCAATAAGTCTATTGATTTCATTGAAATCGCTGTTGAAGCCACCTAACATGGTTAATTTGGGACTTAGATTTTTTTTTTTCTTTTTTTGCCTTTGAGACTATTCCTCCACCAGATCTTTGGCCTATATTTTTGTCCATCTCTCACATGATATTGCTTTTTGTCGAGTTGTGAGTGCTTTCCAGTAAAGGGAGAAAATAGAAGAGAGAGAATATCAAGGGATATGAAACTTGTTTGATGTAACATAATAGAGGACGTTGAATTCCAGCAGGTTGTATTGATGTGACTTTTAGTAAATGACTTGGAATTTCTAGTAAATCACTTGAAAAATGTTCAATGTGCTTTGGACTTATGGTTCAATAATTAATGTTTCTAATTAAACCTGAGAAGGCCTTATATATCAAACAACCATTAAATTTGATTCCTTTTAGGTGGTAACCTTATGGTATCGGGCTCCTGAAATTTTACTGGGCTGTAAATATTACTCGACAGCTGTGGATATATGGAGCATTGGCTGTATCTTTGCAGAAATGGTAACATTCTTCATCTTTTTCTATTTCAGAGAAACATTATAATCACAATATAAATGATGAGAAATGCATATGCAAAAAAGGGCTTTGTGAGTGCCCATGTATTTTTTTAAATTCCCTTTTCTTCATCACTACACATTCTAAAAGATACCACAAAATCTATCTTGCTTTCTCTTCCTATCATTTCTAATTGTTAGAACCCTAATTTGAAGTTGGACAGTTTTCTTCTGGCAGTTGCAGAGGCCGTGTCTGGTGATATCATGGTATTACTAAAGAATTTCTTTTTTTTAGTTGGAGGAGTACAACTAAACAATATGCATTAAGCCTCACAGAACAATACAAGGATGGCCTCAGGATGATAATGAGACTGCAAGTAGCCTGTGGGTTGCCTTTGTCTATCTTAGACAGATGATTAGTTTTAGCAGCTGTAACTACAAAAGGAAGTGAGGAAATTCAGCAATAACAATAGCACTTAGACTTATATATAGCTCCATAGTGCTTCACAGCACTCTCTGACAGTTTACAATGTCGGCATATTGCCCCCAACAATCTGGGTCCTCATTTTACCGACCTGGGAAAGATGGAAGGCTGAGTCAACCTTGATCCCAGTCAGGCACGAACTTTTGGCTCTGGGCAGAGTTTGCCTGCAATACTGCATTCTAACCACTGCAGCACCATAACTCCTAAATCCTTATGTTTCAATATTATTTGCCAAAATGCTATTAAAAGCTTACACTTAAGTTTACTTCATTAGTCTTAAGTCTCATCATCTAACTAAATTCTCTCAAGCTTCATAAACATTGTTTCCCTTTGCTTTTTGCCTACTTATATCATTCATTGGTTTATAAGACTGGAGTACAGTATAAAAGCAACCACTGGAGGTTGCTAGTGTCTAAGAGAATAAGCATGATTTTACAATACTAAATTAAATGTGTATAAAGTCCTTCTCCAGGTATCTTTTGCAATACTGAATTTTGAAATGGCAAGAGTCATAAATGTTTTGAAAGATGAACTTAAAAGTTTAGATTAAGATGAACTTAATCTAATTTCGAAAGTTCTCTCTACATGAGATCAGTTAGATCTCTAGCCAAAAGAGTGCTGCTTTTTTCCAGGTAGCTAGAACTAGGAAAATGGCAGGAGGAGAACCAGGAGTAGAAGTAGTTATTAGAATGGCTCATCTCCTGCTAAAGATCAGTGGCAAATTGCATAATTTTTGCCCAGCAGATTGTCTGAATTTCATTCCCCCAAACTGAGCTACTGAAATTTAGAAAATCCCTCCGTTTTTTTCAGTACATGTGTTTGTTACATTTGGTAGTTTGCAAAAATATCTGAGAGGAGCTTTGTAACTGAAGGTCAGTTTTAAGAAGTCTAAACAAACCCACTGAAATTCTTCAAAGGTTTTCTGATCCTTTTGCCACCGTTCCTCTCTTGCATTTATAAATTGATATGAATTGCGAACGTGCAATTATATCACTTGGTCCCATTTCCCAATAGCTCTAACAGTGACTGCGTGTTGCCATGGTGGATGGATTTTGGAGGGGGAAATTAATTCTAAGTGAAAGCAGGATTAGATAGATTGGTCCAAAGCAATGAACTCTAGGCAGTTCACTACTGAACCGAAAGAATAATGCCTAACCTGAGTCCAGGGCATGTGAGGCAAAAGAGCTCACAAGGAGGCTGCCCACAAAGTCTACACAACCACTTCATTTCAGAGAAAGTATGAACTTTGCTCTGGTTTGTAATAAATTAGAAACTGCTTCAGAAACTGATAGGCTGACTTCCCCAAAAACAGACACTGAAAAAGCATTGGGAGCTGATCTCAAAGTGATGCAAAACACTGAAGTCTAAAAGCTTACAAAATCTCGGTATAATTCAATTTCATATTTTAATGTTATACTTGTCCCGATGAATAGGATATGTGTTGGGTTAATAATATATTGGGTTAATATATTCCTCTTCCTCTTCAAACGTAGAATCTTAAAGTATTTTCAGTATTTTATCATCTGTAATTCTTTTGGTCTTTCTAGAGAAAATCTATGGTGTCAGAAAGTTGATACCAATTTGACGGAATATAATCAATTTTTGGTGGTGGAGGGAGCAGAGGAGAGACAGAGAATAGCAACTTGATAATTAAGAATTTTATGAATATTTTGTAAACTGTGTACTGGAAGAGTTGTCGCAGTCTGTTGTTCTTTTCCCATTGATACTTGGTAGGCTACTGGATAGGTCTGTTCTGATATACCAGACTTTTTATAATGGAAACATTTTATTTGAAGAGAGTAATGTTACCCAGAATGAAGATCATATGTATAATAATCCAGGTGAACGAACCTTCTTCTCCTTGATTCAGGTGACTAGAAAAGCCTTGTTTCCTGGAGACTCTGAAATTGACCAATTATTCCGGATTTTCCGCACACTTGGTACTCCTACTGAACCACTGTGGCCAGGAGTCACAAATCTTCCTGACTATAAAGGAAACTTCCCCAAATGGCCAAGGAAAGATATGAAGGTGATAATTCCAAACTTGGATCAAGATGGACGGGATTTACTGCTGGTGAGTAAAAGACTTGTAAAGCGGTTGGGTTGTTTTTTAATACTTATGACAAGAATTGGAAAGTGTCTACTACAAAAATTGGACTGTGCCCAATATATCCCACATTTGTACGAGGCAGCTTACTAAATCAAGCCAAAGGCCCATTTAGTCAAGCATTCATTAGCAGGGCAGAAGTAAACTAGCTTCGTTTGTCTTCGTTCTTTTTGAAAAAAATGAGGACTGCAAAGGGTTATTTCAGGGTTACTTGAAGGGTTTGCTGTAAATGGGCAGGATTTAAAGACTGAGGCACGCTCATATTTCTCTCTTTCTAAATTACAGCAACTACTAATGTATGATCCCAACAAGCGAATCTCAGCCAAAGCAGCTTTGAACCACCAATATTTCTGGCAAGCTCCACGGGATGCTAAACAGTGTGTGGTAGAACAGTATGGGCCATGAGATTAAGAAGTTCTGGTTAATGCTTTGCTGGAAATAGCTACCGGATCGTCTCATTCTAAACAACGTAGCAAAGGAACAGCTGTAACCGCCATTAAAAATGTTCTTGGCCTTTTGCCCAGTTTAATATTCATGCAAACATTTTGACAATTGTAAATGGTACAGATCCTTGTAAGGACTGATAGTTCTTCTTTAACAAAAGTGAAAAAGCTTGATACTTTTAGTATACGAAAAAGAGTAGTACGACATGCTATCAGAGAAGTGGAAAGAGAAAAAAGTTTAACTAAATCCAGTTTCTGTAATATATTATTCACTCTTTGCTGCAGTTCAAGTACTAGCATTACAAGATATGGTTATTATTATTTAGATTAGGCTAGCACATCCTACAGTAGCCTAGGCACCGATGTTGATTTTTCTTTTTTTAATATGAACTCATGCTATATTTCACAACACTACTGAAAACTAACCATGCCAAAAAAAAAAGTGTTTGTGTTTGTGTGTGGAGGAACAAGATATTACAGAGACACACAGAAATATGTTATTCTTGAGTTTCTTTCTATACTTATCCATCATAAAAAACAAGAGCTTTGTATCATCTATTCTAGACTATTAAATAATTAAGAGGCTTCTTTAGCTGCAGTTTGGGTTTTCAGAAATATTATAGTTTCTAATTAAATAAAAATATCAAAATCTGATAATCAATATGCCATGACCTGAATTAGATAGTGTGGGACATAAAATAAATGAATAAATAAATATTTGAAAAATTATATTTGTTAATCTTAGCCAAATATACTGGTTGAAGGTGGAGACCTTGAAATCTCTGGATTCTGATGGAAACTTGACAATACACAGATAGAAAGATGGAAACCTTACACTGATTCAGGTTTCTTTTTGTGGTCTAGAGAACAGTATAGGAAATTACAGTATACAAAGAAAATTTGGAAGAAGTCAGAAGTCCTTGTTCCATTATGCAAATACTGTATTTTATTTTATTTTTTTTGCATTTGTAGAAAGGCAACCTAGCATCCAATAGTAATTCTTTTCTATGGATTTATTTTTAAAATGGTTGTTAATACTTAAGAAATTTTATCATTAATTGTTGATGTTGCTGTTAATATTCCTGTTTGCATAAATAAAAACATGCATCAGTAACTTTTGCATTAAGGAGTTTTGAGGGTTGTAAAACAGTCAAAAATAGAATTTGAAGACAATTATAATCAACATCCCTATTTTGAATGTGAACTACTATATACCATAACAACGCAGTGGAAACTTCATAGCAAGTATATAGTTATCACTTTAAATCTAGGTTCTATCCCTGTTGCCCAGGTAAATGGCAGTACCTAGCCATGTATAGCTAATCTCAAAGGACTAAGTAGGGTCAGAACTAGTAAGTACTTCAGATGGGAAACCACTATGAAATACTGACCTATAGACTAGAGACTGTAAAGAAAAAAAAGTCTTAAAAGAAGAATGTGGCATTTTTCTTTATTGCCAAGAAAAATAGTTAAGTGCAATATGGAAAGAAATGTTTAATTTTAGATATATAGCTCTTTTACAATATGTACGGAATGTCTGGGGTATGTTCTATATTTATTAATTTGATTTGCTTTTTATTACAAACAGTTTTACCTTAGACTTAGAAAGTGTATATTCTCTCCATGTGTTTCCATGTAATGTTTGGTGCTGTTACTTTTTGAGTTCTATAGTTTTATGGTTACATCAGGATAGAGAATCTGTGGTTCTCCAGATGTTGCTGAATTCTAGGTCCCAACTAGGGACTCAGGAACATGTGAAGCATTATATACATCAGAGGGAAAGGGATTGTTAGTGGTTTAAAAAAAATAACAGGATAGCAGTCAGTATTTTAACTTTTATTGCATGCATGATCTTTAAACTGCAACTATTGTGACATGCATCCCTTTAGGAAGGAGCTATTTCCCAAGCATTTTGAAGTTTTTTTCCTATTTCAAAAAAACTCTTTATTCCCTATAATAGATACTGTATTTACTCCCATATTAGATCCCTTCTACTTTTGGAAATGTTTCTCTATGAAGCGCTGCTAACTTGGTATAAAGAAATAAGTCCAGCTATCTAATATAATACACAGCTATCTATAATTTCCAGACACTTTGTTCATCTGAACATGACAGGGCATGAATTCTCTTGTGGATGAAAAGCATTTCAGACTTTTTACAAATTTAAAATTATACTGCCTCGCTTAGTGCCTGAATCGGGGCAGAGCAGCTGAATGGATTGCGGACTGATATCCTTCGGAGGTAGCTGGGAGGAGGAGGAGCCCACTTAAAGGATCTTTCTGGCAACGAGCCATGGCCTCCTTATAATGGATCTTCTCTTTGGTGATAGGATCAACAAGATCTTTTTCATAACTCGATTCATCTTGTAGTAATGTGGCCAGGTCACTACTAATCAGGCCTGTCTGGATAGCTTCTGATATTGGGATGCGTCCTGTTTTCTTAGGATCTATTAGTCCTCCAGTTAGGTGTTGGACTTGCAAATAAGGAAAGGCATTATCTTGAGTTATCCATCCTTTCTGAACTGCTTCTCCTACAGCCAGTCTTCTCTTGGTGACAGGATCTTCAATCCCCGTGAAAGCCTTTTGAGCATTCAACAACCTCTGTGTGTAAGTATTATCGATCAGTCCTTTATCAAGGGCTTTGTGGACAGAGTAGCGATCTCTTGAGATAAGATCAACAATGCCTCCAGTAGCAGCTTGTGCCTCTAAAAGCTTTTGGGCTGTCATTGGATCCACCAATTTCTTACTAAGTGCCAACTTAATGTTGTACTTGTTGTCATAGGTTGTGTCATACACTCCAGCAATAGGAAAAGTATCATCACAGAAAGCCATCTGTGGACCAGAAGAGAAGAAACTTTGCTTTTGTTGAAAAACAGGAGATGAAATTGGAGACTTGGAAATAATTGATCCTAAAGAAAGGGATGTATTCTGCTTAGTTTCCCCAGCTACAAGTAGAGCAAACTCAGAGATAGGGATTTTGCCTTCCTTGTAAAGTTGGTATTCTTCTTTTGTAATCCTTTTGAACCGCAGAGCATCATCAATGGAGTACTGTTTTCCACTCTTTTTGTCGAGAAGAACAGAAACATCCCCTTTGGAGCCCAGGGTTGCAATTTCTTCCCAATCGCATTCTAGTTCTTGCAAATGGATATACTGACATCTATCTATCATGCCTCTCTTGTAAGCCTCGTAGGGTGACATATCTTTACCAGTGTCTGGATCCAGGATAGATATCTTGGTAGAGAGATTTGTCTCTCTCATCTGAGTCTCATTGTTCAGTTCTTCTCTGTTGATTCTGGATTGGAGTTCCCGGATAGTCCTCTCTTTTTCATAAATATTATCCTTCTCCATAAGTATATCTGATTCCAGACGGGAAACCTCCTGGCCAAATTGGATCTTCTTTTGCCTGTCACTTTCAGTCCTTTGGCTCAAGAGCTTGGTCTGTTCTCTAAGGAAAAGGGCTTTTTGTTGCTTCTGTTTTTCCAGTTCCCTTAATTCATCTTCAAGACTGGCTTTTTCTTGCATTGTCACATTCCGAGTTTTCTGGAGGTCAGCTTCTTCTCTGGTCCATGTGCACTTCATGCCTTCTGCTCTCTCAATCTTCTCTTTCAGATGTCTGATACTTTCTTCTGCATTTTGCCGAGCAGTTCGTTCTTTGCTTAGCAGATCCCAAAGACGTGTTCGCTCATTTTCAAGCACTCTATCTTTTTCTACTCTGATTACTTCCTTATATATTGTCTTTTCCTGGGACTTTGTCTTTTGTAGAACATCAATCTGGGCTTGAAGGTTCTTGCATTCCCTCTGGAGGCTTAATACTTGAACTTTCTCCTTATCTAGTTCAGTTCGCAAATTGGTACTAGATTGTTCAAGAACCGGATCTTTCTCTACCTTGATTACTTCCTCCATGATTATTTTTTCTTGAACTGGAACTGGGCTTTCTTCAATTTCTTTTATCCTCAGGGTGATCTGCCGCATCTCCTTTTCCAGAGCAAGCCTTTTGTTTCTGTCATCTTGGAGGTTCAGCATTTTTTCTTTGTCTTCCACTGTTGCCCGAAGCAATTGGACCTCATGATCCATCCTTCGCCGGTTGCTTGTTTGTTCATCTAAATTCCTGCTCAGCCTCTTGTGCTCCTCCCTAAGCTTCACATCTTTCTGAGTAACAACCACCTCCTGCACCACCACTTTTTCCTCAGGCTTCCTTCTCTCCAGAAGCATGTACTTATTCTGCAGGTCATAAATGGCATCTTCAGTTGCTCTTCTCTTTTGTAATATGTTACGTACTTCTTGGCGAAGACATTCAGCCTCTTTTTCTAATAGAGGGTCATTCTCATATCGGACAATCTCCTTAGTAACAACTTTGGTTTCAACTTTGGCTCTTTCTCTTTTCCACTCATCCCTTTCTCCTTCTAACCTGATTAGCTGTTCTTGGAATCGACCGTTTGCATTCACAAGATCATTTAGCTGCTCTTTCAACCGGTCTATTTCTCTCAATATCTCTGGGCTCTTTTCTGTTTTCACCACCTCTTGGATGACTTCTTTAAACTCCACGGAAGGTGCTTGAGATCTAAGAACTTTCAGTTCAGTCAAGGCTGTTTCTACCTCCTGATCAACTCTTTTTCTTTTCCTTGAAATTTCTTGGAGTTCTCGCTTCAAACGTGCTATCTCTTCCTCTGTTTCTGGGTCTAGGTGAAAAATCTCATTGACTCTTTCTTTTATCTCCACCCTAGGCTTTGACTTCTCCATAGTGCTGTATTTGCTCTGCAGCTGTGTCAGTTCACTAGACAATAACAAGTTCTTGTTCCTCTCTTCATCAATAAGCTTTTGAAGAGTGGAAGACTCTTTTAGGAGCTCCGGGTCTTGCTCCACTTGTTTTGTTTCTCTCACAACGACTTTGGGTTCAGTTGCTTCAATCAGCTTCTCAAGATCCTCAATTTTGCTTTTCATTTTTCCTATCGTATCCATTGCAGACTTCTTCTTGAAACTATCTTCATCAATTTGCATTTGCAGTGATCTGATCGCCTTTAGCATTTCTGGATCCTTCTCTAACTTCACCACCTCTTTTACAACTATTTTCTCTCTGATGTTTGACTGCTTTTGCTCCAAGAGGTGCAACTCTTTCCTGAGCTGTTCAATTTCAGAAGAAGAAGTTGAATGATCACGTAGATACCTGATTTCTTCTTGGAGTCTTGCTGCTTGGGCATTTAGATTTGGATCTTTCTCTGTTTTTGTAACTTCTTTTGTAAGCAGCTGGCTTTTCACAAAACTTCTATCTTTTTCCATTTCAAGGAATATATTAGTCACTTTCTCAATATCTGCCTGTAAATCAGCTCTTTTCTTCTTTTCATTCTCAATTTGATTAGAGATTTTAGCAAGATCACGCTCCAGAACTGGATCTCTATAATAATCAATCACTTCTTTCTCCTCGATTCTTTCAATGGGCCGTTGGGTTTTCAATGTCAGAAGTTTAGTTCTCTGCTGCTCCAGTTCTTGCTGTAGGTTGGCTTTCCTGCTCTGTTCCTCTTTAAGCTGAGACTTCAGGATTTCGGATTCACGTATGTTTTTGGACTGCTGGGTTTGTTCATGCATTACCTGCACCGTATCACTTACTTCTTTCTGCAGAAAGAAAGGGGGGAAAAAGAAAACAAAAAGAAAGTATTGTTGATTCTTAATACTATGAAATTTACTTCCAGGCCTCAACTTCTATATGACTGGTTCCTTGGAGTATGTGGCAACATTTGGTGAACCCACAAAAAGTGAGATTAAACTGGGATTAAGAATCAAATCTTAACTGAGCCATGAACTCACTAAATCCTTCTAGGGAATTTTTTAAAAAAAAACCTACATGGAATCCTTCAGATTATTCACTGGATTCTGTTTTTAGCAAAGTACACAGAATGCCTAAGAATATATGGGGACAGATACTTAAGTGCAGCACTAAAAAAACCAAATGAACCTTATTAAGAATATTATATCCTCTGATATAAAGCCTGCATCACATATACACCTTTTTGTGTTCCCCTTACGACAGGGAAAAGGAAAAGGAGGATGTTCTGTTCTTTCAATAGGAAGCAAGCAAAATATTAGGCTTCCAGCCAGGGAAAAGAGAGCAGAAAATATC